AATTACAAGAAAAACCATATTTAGCTGTACAGTTTTCTAAACAAACAAATATCGAAAGACAAAAAATTAAAAGAATTTATTCAACAAAATCCAGTCAAACAATCACATAAAACATCTCTATCAACAACAACTGCATCAATCAACAGTTCTCATTATCATTCATCATCAATTATTATTTAATTTGTTTTCTTTTACAAAATAAAATATTTTCATTTCGATACGATAAAAACACTTTTATTTGAGAGGTAATTTTTATCAATCATTATTAATTGGAAAAAGAACTAATGATAGGAAAATAATTTCTAATGCAAATATCTACTATAGTTATGAATGGATATAAGAGGTAAGAGTGAAAGTGGACAGGTGAAAAATAAAACGAGAATTATTAATGGGAAATTGTTTTAGATATCAGAGCACATTAAAATAAAGTTTGTAACGCATAAAAAATCTTTTTTATAATTATCATCGTATTTAACGTGGACATTGTAACGATGATGATATCGTTCATCTCTTTCTGTTCTTTATTTTCTCACCTCTATATCATACTATCTCTGGGTCATATCTCTCTTTCCTCTTCTCTATATAAGCGCGTATCTTATTGTGAAAGAGATACGTTCTGGTCATGTAGAGTAGTCAATAAACATCGATACCGTGAGAAGTGGTCAGCTACTCAACCACTTTGTCGTTACAGGAGCGAATTATAGATGCCTGAGTATCGTCGATAATGCATAGGTGAGTGTTTTTCATGTATTTTAAGTCATTGATAGGTTAGTGGATGCCGCGAATGGATTATGAGCAAGTAAAAAATGGACCATTATTGACGAGAAAGCGAAGAATGGCGGTGGATTGATACGACTATCGGTAAAAGCTATGAGATGCCTAGTTCGACTTATATTATAAATGGACATCTGATAGACTAATCTCAGTTCGAATATAAATAGATGTATATCTATATAATCCTACACGTTTAGGGATAGATTTAGTTGTACCTGTGTATGCCGGTGGACATAGGCTGATATATAGCTCGTCTGAGAGTATTTCTGAGACTATGTATACCAAAATCTATCCCTATCTATTCTTAAGTATGTGTAGGAGTGTATTAGGAATTCGTCACTTATATTATAAGTCGACTTAGGCAGCTACTCTAAATAAGAGTAGATGAATCATAAAGCACGACAACTTAGGCGGTCTCATCACCAATTATCGTTGTAATAGTAGGTGCAAAAGATTTGAAATAGAAATAGGAAGTAATGCGATCATTGTGGGGCAATCTAGCCGCAATCGAAAACATGGGTTAGTCGTATCCTATTGTAAATGCTCGCTCTCTCATCTTATAATATTTGACTTTTTCCAACTGCAAGCAAACCGCTGTCGATATTTGTCTGTATTAGACAGACGCAACCGTAATCAGAAATATAAGACTATATAAATGCGTAATCTTACGCACAGAAACACGATTATTTACGGAGAGCGGTTTCTTTCTTCTGATCGTAAATCAATTGTATTTGAGCAAGGAACAGCGTATCAAAGAGTATGTAGTCAATCAAGTAATTCTAAATGTTAAGATATAATATTGTTGGTTAAGCTGCGGAAGAAAATTGTGTCAAATATTGCGAAATTTTAAGGTGTATTTAGTCAGTTTAAAAACTTCTTCTACATTTAGCTTTGTCAGCTACACGATAAACTAGTTATCTTTAGTTAAATTCGTGTCATGCGCTTCCCTAAATAGAAAAAAGGTGAATACGGGATTATCATTTTCATGTTGATGTAAACGAAAACATACAAAATCCTCTTAGGAAACTCAGAACAGTAAAACAAAAGATATCGTTACAAAGTGGTAGTTTAATATTATGCTACAATGTTCTCTTCATTGATGTAAAACCTCGACGGCAGAGAATCGTAACAACACTATCTCCGAGTTTAAAATAAGTGAATTGACATAGATGAAAGTGAAGTATACGGGTACGAGGAACATTCGGACAATATCTTTTTTGATCAAAGACTAGTATTTGAAAGTAAATTTTGACAATTATAACTAATACGGGTATATAGACTAGCGTTCTGGTGAACTCTTTGTTAAAATGAGCTATCTTTCAATCATGTGAAAGGATCCTATTGATAAGATTTACATACACTAAAGAGTTCATAGATTCTGGATAAAAAATACATCCTTATAAGTCGTGAATGAATGTTTTCAAAATATCTTCCCATCGAATTGATCTAAACTAAATCCATCTAAACTGTAGATAATTGGCCGAAAATAGAACTTCACTATATCAAACTGAATGAAACGTGAATATTGAAACTGTCGACCACACACGCCTTCGAGTAACGTTGGTTTGATTGTGGTAGTTTTTTTTATTGCACCGAGAAACGTGTAAAATCATTTAAATTTTCTACCGTCACTCTCTCTTCAGTCGCGAGTCATGTTCTCAGAACTCAATGCTTGCTGTCTAAACGTAGAAAGAAGAAGTTATTTTTAGTTTATGCGAAATTTGTTTCATACCGTCTATTTTTTTTTGTTTCTCTTACATGGAATTTTACCAGACGCTTGCGAAAGAACCGTCGTACAAGATGATGCTGAATAAAAAAAACAGAAACACACAAAATTAAAACACATTAACTCTTTGAGCCCTAAAATATTTCCCGCTAAAATGATGAAATTAGCTTGTTCTAGATACAGAATGTATGACATGAAGAACTCTGGCGAATACGCTTGTATTTCACAGCGTTTAGCTCTATTGAATTTTGTTATATGTAAGTAGATATTTTAACTGCTGTTTTTATTGACTACAAAACTTATCCCTCTCGTTCTCATTACGGGAATCATTTTGACCATCGGATGAAAACCTGCTAGCATCATTTTCTTGATCAGGATCCTTTTGTACCGTTTTCGGAACTAATCGTAACACAGAAATTATCTATGAAAAGTCTGATATTTTCGTATATAGAAAGGATAGAAAATGTTCTGTCACGCACATATTCATACAGTATTTAAACACATTTCGGATCGTTTATAATACAAAGCTGTCTTTTGTTCATACATAGTTTCGAAAAGTTCTAGAACATTCTTCTCGACTGCATTCGTAAAGAAACGACGTGCATATTTGCACAAAAGTGTGCCATACAATTCAGTAATAAAACATGTGAAGCAAAAATACTACTATAGAATTCAAACGGTTAAGATGTAGCGATAACGAAATTCACGTGCTGTATATGTATTTCGGATTTTTGTCTGCTCTTCCGATACCATACGCCGTAATATGGACGAAACAAAGCCAGAGGAAGGAATCGAATCTCCTGATGTCTAATAATTTAGACGCATAGATCCAATACGTTATTCACAACTAGAAGCAGAATGTAAGAAGTAACTACATAGACACTCTTTTCTCATTCAATTCGATTGCGTTGTTCTCAGATTTTATGCATTACTCGATGTTGCTTTGACGAAAGCTATAAAACTGTATGGTTAGCGTGATTTGGATGAAACGTTCCCTAAGCAGCTCGGCGATAGATAGTATCCAATTATGATTACCTTGGTATAGAATAAGACGAGAATTTGGCAAAGAACGCTATAATGAAGGCAGATCAAGACGGTGAGGATCAGCTGATAGGCGTGCGTGAAATTCACCCAAACTATCTTGCTATCAGGTAACGTTAACAAAACCATTCCAGATGCGTTGGATTACATAAAGCCCGGAATTCTGTTCGGATACTCAACTGTTTTCAAAATGTGAACTTCTGTTAAATATAGTCAAAGTATGTACAATATGTTACTAAGAACATTTGAAAGCTCTTACTGTTGTAGTATACCGGCAAGCCAATATCTTGTTCGAGTTCAAAGATGAGGATGAGTGGTCAATTCATTATTGAATCATTGGAAAATGACTGATATTTATCTAAAGTTCCTTGTTTATTCTATCTTATACGCTTTTTTATAGTGTATAACACCTTCGAATAAAGTTCGAGGCTTCCGCATTAAACAAAAATTTTCTTGGTAAAAATGATAAAGTTTCTTGTAGATCTACATTTATTTTCATACCGCTATGGAAGGTAGTGGCGATAGTTTCACAGATTATTTGGATTCGTCTGCTGATCAATTGTCTCCATCGGTTATAAAACGATTGAATCTAGGTGATAAAATAGAAAACAATCAACAACAACAACAACAATCGACCACAAGTGTTAGTACATTATTAGATGTCAAAACTAATCCTGACGAAGTTCAATCTTTGGAATCAATGTTGCATAGTGTTGTCAAGATCTTTTGTACTTCAATTCCATGCAGCTTTGATTTACCATGGTAAGACCTATGGATTTACTTCTTTTGATGAAACTCAAAAATCATGATGAGAATGAAGCAAAATATCAATGTGTCGCTATAAAGACGACGAAACAAAGTTTTGAATATAATTGGACCTGAAAATAAGTCTCGTTCATAAAAACGAGGATACATATTTCTAATTTATATCTATATCGGAATATTCTCCTACGTCTCAATTATAGTGGATGAACAAGAAGTTTTCGCAGCGAACCCTTGTCAATGATGCTTTCTTACTTTAGGCAAATGGGATCGCAATCAGCTGCAACAGCATCAGGATTTATAATAAACGATCGACGAATTCTTTCAAATGCTCATGCTGTTTCAAATTCATCTGTTATTCGTATTCAAAAACATGGTGATACAAGGAAATACCCTGGACGTATATTACACATTGCACACGAATGTGATCTGGTTATGTTGACTGTTGATGATAATCAATTCTGGAATAATGTAAATCCATTGATATTCAGTGATATACTACCGGAATTACAGGATTCAATTTTAGTTGTTGGATATCCAATTGGTAAACATCATCTGTATTTCTTTTCATCTATTCATATTATGGATATTTGTTTTTGAGGTGGTGATAATTTATCAGTAACAAAAGGTGTCGTTTCAAGAGTTTGTATGTCGACTTATTCGCATTCATTGGAATATTTGTTATCAATACAAATTGATGCTGCAATTAATCCTGGTAATAGTGGTGGACCAGCTTTTCAAGGTACAAAAGAAAAGTTTCGGAATAATTAACTATATGCATAGCTTTAATCAAAATGAGCACAAATAATTACATATAAAAAAGAAATTGAAGCTGAGTAAAAGGAAAATCATCAACACAGAGTGTTAGATAATTTTCGGGTTTGTTTTCTTATGTGTTTGATAAAGGAAAGAAGAGATGAGAACGAAAAGTATTTGAGACATATAGAAATACGTATTGTGTATTTTGATTATTGTTTTTCTTTTTCATAGATAAAAAAGTTGTCGGTGTATCATTTCAAGGAATGAATAATGCTCAATCAATTGGATACATTATACCAGTATTAGTAATCAAACATTTCCTCGATGATATTCAATTACATGGAAAATATACGGGATTTCCTCGAATGGTCTTTCATTATCAATCAATGGAAAATTGTTCATTTCGAAAATATTTGAAATTAAATGATGATCAACATGGGATTTTAGTAACAGCAGTTGAACCAGCGTGTATTCTTAACAAAATATTAAAGAAAGATGATGTGATCACAGGTATTGATGAGAAATCAATTGCTGATGATGGAACAATTGATTTTCGTCGTGGAGAAAGACTCAGTTTCATTCATTTATCGAAAATCAAATTTGTTGGTGATGAAATTTCATTTACAATTATACGACAAGGTAAAAAGTCATTTATCAAACAGAGAATTCTTTTTGAAAGTTTCATTTCATTTTTGAGGTAAAGAAATGAAATTAACAAGTTTATTAGATAATAATTCCGCACTTGTTCCATTACATTCACATGATAAACGTCCAGAATATTTAATTTATGGAGGAATTGTCTTCACAGTATTAACTCGTTTTTATTTGTATGAATGGGGTTTTATTAACTGGAAACAAAAAGCTCCAAGACATTTAGTTAGTTTAGCACTGAATGGCACACTGGAAGAGTCAGATCAACAAATTGTTGTTATTAATCGAATCCTTGTGGATGAAATTAATTATGGAATCGAATCATCTGTTATCGATGCGATTCTCAAAACTGTCAATGGAATTGAAATTCAAAATATAAAGCATTTAGCAAATGTTATTGATCAAATATCAAATAGCGAAGAAAATATTTTTATTCGTTTTGAAACTCAATCGAAAAGTATCATTGTCGTTTCATGTGAAGATGCTAAACAATCAGAAGAAAGAATTTTAACACAAAATTCAATACCTCATCCAAGAAGTGAAAATTTACGTTAAAAAGAACTCTTTATACTTTTGAAGTGAAATTTTTCGTATGATTTAATTGAACTTTGATCTTCTTTTTCAACATTGTTAAATTAAGAAAGACTTCTCGAACGATATTGTTTACACGAGCCAAGGCACTAGTGTTTCTGATAACTTAATTCAATGAATTGTGTTTGAATATGTATGGACGCACAAATATAAATGAAATTCAATCTACGAAAGGCATGCCGCGATGATTAAGCTTTTTGTGCTCTTGTGGATCATGAGAGCGTTACATTAGTATCTCCATGCAATCAGGAAATCTTTGATAAAAGAAACAAATGCTTGTTCTGTTCATTATTCGTTTTTCTGCAAGAAAGGATTATAGCGTCATAAGTAGTCATTCAAATTCAAAAAGTTTGTTTGTTGGTGTTAAAGAATTAGATTTCAACATTCGATACAAAAATGAATTCTTGACGACAGTGATCGGAAATGGCTGTCCGGAGGATTTTCGGCGTGGGCGAACTCGAAACTGACGTTAGGTGTAACTAATTATTACTTGTTAATAAACTAGCTATCACATATGAATAAATTATTAATACATAGAGTAAGGATTGGCCGAACGGTGATCTTTAGTTTTCTCCTATTCACTGAATTTTGGCTCGTTTCATTCTCTTTCCAAAAGAGATATTTTTCGGTATCTTTGCTGAAATCTTTTGCAGAAAGCAGAGGTTTGAACACTATTCCTAGATATGACGTGCATGAAGATAGAAGATTAGGAGTTTACACGAAAAGGTTCAGTATATCTTTCATTATGACGCAGTTGCAATTCAAGGAATCAGAAGATGTGGTATGGATTTAATATCATTATTGCATTGTTAGCTGCGACATGTCAGCTCTCTCGATTGGATTTCAGCGGAAATATGTTACAGATGATATATCCGGCAGTAGAATCCTATCTTATTAGCTACAGAGGCATCAACTATACGAATAGTATCTCAAACATATGAGACACTATGATGGGTGCTCGTTTCATGATAAATTATAAAATAAAACTTTTTATCTAGTTTCTTTGCTAATTAAATGAAACATGGTTATTCACTTTGAAAGTTAATTAAAACTGGAAGCCATAATGAAGACAGGCACGGGAATGGCTAGCCGTCCGTGGCTGACCAACGTCTAGACGTTAGAATTCCAGATTAACTTTAAAGTATACGTTTGGGGCAACCTTATCAAACTCGAAAGATTTTTAAAAGGATCAGACGAAGATTCCTTAATGAAAATATTGGAAACAATATCACTTTTCCAAAAGTAGAGAGAAGAATCCATTGTCAGCGGATAAAACACAGACGTACTATGAATGCTTTGCAGGCTGTCGATTATACATCGTTCTTTTTTGAGCAACTTAGTGTAGTGTGAAAATAGAAAAACAAACTTCAAAGGTCTATCACTAGCAATGAGTGGTTTAAGACTGGCTAGTTATTAAGCGATGCAGTTTTTAGCAAACACAGCTGGTACTCAAAAATTTCTCACTGACAAATGGCTAGTTGGTTCGATCCATCAAAAACGAGCAATATTTATCTTTTATTAATTCTAGTACATTACACAGCATCGTGATGCAGCTGAGATTCAGTAGCAGTTGTAGTGCCTTATTTGTATTTCAAGGCGTTTGAATGTGTTCAACCTTCGGAGAAGTCTTTCAGGGAAGGATCGGCGTTATTTGAAAGAGAGCAATAATAGGAAAATGGTCGGACGAATAATTTCGAGAACGAATATCTCCTACAGCTATGAATTTCGGTTGCAAATGAGAGCTTCCATCCATTGCATGCTGATACAGAATCCAATCAACATGAATTCGATGTGAACGCCAAAGTGAAATCATATCTGATAAACATATGTTTCGACGAACCTTCCAAATTTGTTTTGCAATATCGATAATAACTGATTTTCTCAAGGATGTTTCATAAGGTAAATCAACACCTAGGCCACGAAAGGTGTATAATATTATTTGAATGAATTGAAATCCATACGTGTTCACTATTGATCCAAGCCAACCGTGAAAAGATGAAGAAAATGAATGAGATATGCATGTTGATGGAGATGTTTGACAAGTTGTCCATGTATCATATAAAAACTGAGACGATGTTAAGATTTGATGTGTCGTTTGTTTTGGAATGGTATTAAAATCTCCACATAGAAAAACGAGATCTTTCGGATATTTTTCTTGCCATTGTTTTATCGTCGATCGAATTACCTTTGCTTGTTCCTGACGCGCTTGTTCATTTCTCACATCCAAATGAGTATTAAACACAAGAATTCGAGGAGAATTTTCAAGATTTTTCAATTTAAACCGTGCGATGTTCAATGTTCGCACACCGTGACTATTCCAATCTTTACTTCCAACTATTCTTGGACATTTCGATAACCAAATGTAATCTTGTTCTAATAACGTCAGTATTTGAGTATTATATAAAATAGCGACTCTAAAGTCCATTTTTGATAGAGAATCTTCACAACCATCCTCGGTATCCATAGGTTGATAACCAACATATCGATAATATTTAGGCAAATGACAATGCCAAAGTCGTATCTGATCGGCAAACGGTTCCTGCACACTTAGGACGGATGGTTTCCATTTTTCGACAGTTTCTACTAAGCGAAAAACTCTCTTCGTAAAGTTATTATTTGGATCACGCTCGTGAATATCATGTCGAATATTAAAGGTCATAACAGACAATAAATTTTGATTAATTGTTTGATATTTCTTTAACGTTGTCAAATCATCTTCTTCTGTGTAACGAGGAAAAGTGAATAGATAACAAATAAACAGACAAAGTAATATTACAAATAAAATCAATACCATTTTGATCACTGCAAAAAGAAAAAAAATAATAACATGAAATTTTATACACAAGTGTCATATATGACATAAATGCTGATGCAATGTCGACTCATGCGTTGACAAATATATCTTTGACACGTGATTTTGACACATTTTCTGTATGTGAGCTATTGTAATGTAACCAATAGATGAGCAGCCCAATCGCTTACAGTGAAATGCAGCATTTTCTTCATCGTTTCAATCGAGATTCGCAATTCAACAGTAAAAGAAACGCAAAATTTCAGTTCTTCATTATACAAATACAGAGATCGAAACATGAGAACGTGAAAAAACTGAAGTAATTCTTGTCGCGCTATACAGTTGCACGGTTCACTTGACGATTTAAACTCGGCGTCTTAAAACTTTATAGAGCTTGTGTCAAGTTCTCAGTGATACAAAGATCGATTATATCCTACAATATTTTTTCTCAATACTTCTCAGACTGTCTGATGAAAGAAGTTGTATTTCTAAGACTTTATTTCCTCAAAGAATGATGAACCAGTGGCAAAATCAAAGATTCACTCAATAAAAAAGAAGTTTTCGCGTAATTTTATTATGAATGTAAATACGTTTGGTGGTTAATGAATTCATATTCCAACCGGTGATATTTCAAAGAATGAATTATCATGTTGTACATTCATTGATATTGAATACATATTATATAAGGTTATGATGACAAATTCGTTACTGTTGATAGTTGTGTGAAATCTCTTTCAGTTTTCTCTTGTTGCTCATGAATGTAAGCATCAAAATTATATTGATAATTGAGAGAATCTTTTGAGAAATAATTTAGAAGAGATATAATAATAAGAAGAAATGTAAATACACCAGTTGAAACGAGATCAACAATGATTTCTGAATTCAGATCAGACGAAGACATCGTATCACTTTCATTTATCTTTCTGATGAAAACTTGTTCACAGTGCTAAGCGCTTTTTATTCAAAAAGGAATAAAATGACTTTGACAAGACATTCGAAAATGTGATATTTGATTTATCTAATCTAAATTTTTCTTTTAAAAGTTCATAGAAAAAGAAACAAAACAAAGCATTTTAAAAAAAGCAAAAAACATCAATGAATAGATAGAACTGAGATAAAAAGTACTTAAGCGGCTGGTGCTCGATTGTGATGTTGATTATATTCTTTTTGAGCTTCTGGCATCCATGTTTGAAGTTGACCAATACGTGTGTTATGTGATGGATGATCAGAAAGAAATGCCGGTGGAGAACCTTTACCAAGTTGTTCATCCATTCGTTGCCAAAAGGCAACCGCTTCTCGTGGATCATAACCAGCACGTGCCATATATAATAAACCAATATGATCTGCTTCCGATTCTTGTTTACGTGAAAATGGTAATGTTGCACCATATTTTGCACCAGCACCCAATGCTCCCATTATTGTCTATTACAAGAGATTATTTTCTGTCCAAATTTGTCAAATATGTGTGTTTACTTGTCTTTGAGCTGGATCCATGTCCATCATACTTCCCTGCACGCCTCCTAATATAGTTTGAACAATTTGAGAACGGAAAAGTCTTTCAGCACTATGTCTTGAAGTTGCATGAGCCATTTCATGACCAAGAACAGTTGCTAATCCAGCTTCATTTTTGGCTATTGGAATGATCCCTGTATACACGACTATTTTTCCACCAGGTAGACAAAATGCATTTTTTTCATGTGATTGAATCACACTCACCTATTCGAAAAACAAACAAAAGGTTATCAAAAATAAACAAAATCATGTTTTGTAATCAATTCTTACTTCCCAATTGTATTGTACAACTGCTTTTTCAGCAGCTGCTCGTGCAAGTCGAGTTGTTACACGTTTAACTAAATCAACATCTGGCCCACTTTGAATAATTTTTCCTGCTTCATCTCGTTTTACTTGAGCATACGCTTCTAAACCTAATCGTTGTTCTTGTTCAGGACTCAATGCAACACGAGCAACTCGGCCTGTTTCAGGATTCGTAACTTTGCTTGCTGTATACAATTTGAATAAAACGAAAACAAGAGCAAGTAAGATCGGAGCCAATGCCAAAGGAAAAGCATGTTTACGTTCGAGTTTAACAGGCATTTCCTAAGTTGAATTCTTTTTCTTGAATAGAAATCAAATCAAAAAGATAATATTTGACTCTTAGCAGTCGAAATAAATTAGATCAAGTCACGTTTTTAGTGAAAATATTGATGTTTTGTTTGCGAATGTCAACAACGTTTCCTGTTCGATTCGATGAGGAAATACAAATAAACACAAATAGATAGATAAGAGAGAAAAATGAACATTGGTCAACTGATTTCATATTATACAAATTTATTGATCAACAGAGGCCACTAATACACATTCTTAGAAATAGTTAGTTGTATTTTGTTCCCTACCAAGAGATGTCATCGTGCCATTTCATTCTTTTGTTTCACATCAATAAGAAAATAAAGCTGCCGCAAAAATGTTATATTGATATGTGAATATTATGTTCATTTTCTGTTAAGACAAGAGAAAAGCATACCGTTCTACACGAAGTTTTATAAGACAAAAGACCATTTTAGTGTCGTATCCTTCTCAAATTCGTCTTGTACCTATGAATATTTCATCCAAATAACAGCAAAAACGTGATAAATTTCTTCTATGAACAAAAAAATGAGAGAATAGTGCGAGTTGAAAAATTCTATTAGCGTTCATGATCTCTGTACGAAGAGATGAAATGCATCACTAATTGATTTGAAAAAAATTCAAATTGTCCTTTTTTTAATGTTTATTAAATCTTCATGTCATCAGTTAATTCGAATATTTATAAACCATTGGAACTTATTCAAAAAACCTACACTTTGCAAGCAACAACGACTAATTTAAATTTAAATCATGAAAATTCACCTTCGTCACGTTCTTCAATTGCCAAAATATCGACACATCAGCCATCGAGAAAGTCCTGGCCTCCGATTGAAAAATTTTTGAAAAAGAGGAATCCTTAGAGGATCGATTCTGTTTAAAAGATAGGATTTTCATAAAAAAAATGGCAAAAATATAGGTACATGGAATCTTTGCCAAAACCGATCATTTTTTTTGTTTTGCTACTTCCTCTCAATCCTTTGATAGATAAAGACAAACGATTACACTTCATTTAAGATCTACGTGTGATGGTTTAGTATGAAAATAACCATTTAAGTGATATCTCGTTGGAAAGTCGGATTGCGACACAGTTTATTCACATTTCAGCAAGCAACGAAGCACTAAATCGCAAACTTCAAAGACTTAGATTCGTTTTTCACCATATATTAAAGGTTACCGTACGCATAACTATAAGTGCATGGAATAGCTTTCATAGATTGATTTTACGAGCTAGGTGTGCACCCGTGTGGCTGTGATCGTTTCCTTTCCATTGCATTTGAATCAGTCCACAGACTGCATTTGAATGCTCGAATTTGAGATAAGATGTGAAAAGGAGATGTGATTTCTTCGTCGCGTCTCTGGGCTCCTTCGTGTTAGCTTCACACTGATAAAGAATTAAAATTGAAAAGCTTCTTCTTCAGGTGTCATAATAAGTTTAAAACATGTTGTTGTCGGTCTAAAAATTGATCTTCTTCTGAATGATTTAAAGTTGACTGCTGTTCACATTTTTCACAAAAAGTTAATGACGGACAATGAACACAATCAAAACGAATTCCATTAACATCACTTTTACGAAGATCCCATTTGATACCATTATGATGAACAATTGCATTTTCAGTTCTTGGAAGATCTAAAATAACTTGTTTTAGTTGTTTTGTTGTTGATGGCCGATATGGTTGAGCTTGTTGTCAATTAAGTTTATGACCACAACCAGATTGAATATTTCCACCATGTACATATTGTCTACATACCATTGAATCACAACCTTCAAGATGTTGAACAACTCATTTACATGATGGACAAAGACGAGAATTTTGTGCTTTATATTGTTCATCATTCATTAATTCATCATAACGACGACGTAAATCACGATTACGATTTTCATTTTGTTTATGTTTTTGATTGTATTCATTTAATTGTGCTTGATACGTTGCATCTTGTTGTGCTCTTTGTCTTAAATAACGTTCACGTTCTAAACGAAACAAAAGAGAAAAAGAAGTAAAAATTTCTATTGAAAGATCTTTGTTCATCACCATCCAGTTTGACACCAAAAGAACCATCGCTGTGTAATCTGTGGAAGTTGTTGACATAAAGGACAATTAACTTTAAAACGTTCATTGGGATCAGCAGCTTCAGCAACCCATGTACAATCTTGTTTCGGACATTTAATCATTCCAACTGTTCGACTTGAATAAACATCAAAGGTTTTTTTGATTTGATAATCTTGAATCTTCTTTAATTCTTCTATTGGTATACGAAGTTGATTTAGTTCACTTTCTTTCAATACATTTGGACAAAGTGCNTGATGGAAATGGACAACCATTACTTCCATGGAATCCATGAAGAGACAAAGATATCCTTCGTTTCACTTGTCAGAATGTGCAGAAATTGACAATTTAGTTATATATTGTGCAATTCATAAAAAGAGAAAAATTCAATTGAAATGCAAAATAAAAAGAAGAGAAAGCGAAGTTTTGTTCGTTTTATTGCATTTGTGGTGCAATGTGTCTTGTCCAAATCATATTTTTCAATTCACTACGAAGTAATGCTGATTGAAGAAAACACGCATAACCAGTTATTGCATGATTAAAGTATAGATATAATTCGCATTACGTTAATTTTTCTGCCATTGATTTTTGAATTCTATAGTTTAGCTTTTATCTTTGTCTCTAATTGAAACTGATGCATTGATAGTGAACGCTCATATCATCAAGAGAAATGCAACGTCTAATTATATGATCGATACGCAACGAACATTTCTTTCGAATGTGAATACGATATCCGTTCCGATAAAGATATTCGGAAAAACATTCCCTAGTGGAAAGATAACACGATAATCTAATCTATTTATTATTCATTCAACAGGCACTTTTCGACTTTGTCTGGGTTTCACTATATGCATTTCTAAATTCAAATTACGTTTTGCTGGTAATGAGTTGCATCAATATATCTGTTGATGTATTTTTCTAAGAGATGAAATTAGGAAGATTTTTTTTCTTCGTCTATCCCGTATGAAAAGAAAGAAAGAAAGAAAGAAAGGGCATGACCTCATCTTCGAAAAAACAGTCGTCAACGACCTAAGAAGCATGCTTCGTGATGAAAATTCGAAAAGAGAAAAGTTCGTTCGTTGACCGTTGTATAATGTCGATTAAGATTGGACAGAAAGAGAAGCGAAAGGAAAATCATTGTTCTAGAATTCACTCTCCATAGTTCTCTCTCCCTTTGTTTCCGTTTGTTCGTATATAAACGGAGGTGAATCGGTCATAAGTAGGGAGTATTCATTTCATCAACCATTTTCCAACCAGAAAATACAATCATCATGACTTTGGATCCATTTTTTCGTCGTATGACCATGATTGCTGGTGTATTCGCATTCATGGGTGTTGTTCTTGGTGTTGTATCATTAGCTACTAATTACTGGACAATGGAATATGAATTTCAACCAGGTATGCCAATGATGATGAACCACCAAAATACCACAATGCGCTGGAATGTAAGTCGTGTCATTACGTAAATCTGAAGATTTATTTTTACTGAATCGGTATTTTAGGGTTTATTTTATCGATGTATGTCAGGTGAAAATCAATGTGTGACAATGTTCTGGCGTACAACTTTTATCTTATGTCTATTGGGAATGATATTTATGTTTGTTGGTGGAATCTTCTCAGTATGGGAAATGTTCCAAACCAGTGACCGACGATTCTTTATCCCAATGTTATATTTCGTTGCTGTTGTTATGATGACAGCTGGTCTTTTTGATTACGGTTCATATCAACGTATGAATTATCATTCATCACGTTGCATGGTTGCGGCTGTTGTCTTCGGTTATGCGGCTTTACCTATGTCAGCTTTCATTGCTGGTCGATATTCTGCTTATGACCGATATGTTAACAATGGTCATGTTAGCAATGGACAAAAGTATGTTCCTGCTGCAACAAATGGAAATTAAATCAAAGGTTATGAATGACTTGTCATCTTTTTCTTTGTTAATGTAGTTCTTGCCTTGTTTTGTGTAAAATGTTTTTTTGGAAAAAATCTCATTATGAATGAAATGTGAATTAGAGTTCTATCAAATTTATTCAATAAACACCTTTAACATCATACACATTTTCGTTTCTGATCTTATGAAAAAGTTGCCATCAGGGAAGGTAAATGAAAACAGAAGTCATTTGATTTCAAAGCACCTTTAACGACAATGCCTTACAAATAAAGTGTAAGTAAATAAAGTTACCAAGAAAGAACTTATAAATATGTCTATATGCATCGTCGCAGTGAATGCAATTAGTGGCCAATCGCTTCAAAGGACGGCAACTAAAGAAGAACTGCTTAATATAAATAAACTTCGCATCACATTGGAATGCTTTATTCTCGGGAATGGCCTGTGTAGTTGTACTAACCCTAAAACTAATCGTGTTCGGTTCAGAATTGAATGCTCTATCAAGTGCTGTAGGCTTCGAACGGCAGAGGAGGAGGGTTACTGAGAAAAAGAAAATTCGCTTTACCCTCACACTCTTTTTTAATTTGAGCTCCATATCTTTCTCAGAAATTTCTCTTCAATCAATCAATATAGAAAACACCACATTTCCTAAATAAAAAAACAGATTTATTTCTTTGTTTCTTTTTTGAAAAATGATGAATAAAGTTCTTTTTCATCGACTCGATGTTCTTTAATTTTTCGATGGCACTCATCAATTAGTTGCTTCGCTTGAACATTTGATGGATTAATCTCTAAAGCGGTTTCAAAATCTTTAATAGCCTGTTCGTAATTTCTTGTTGCCAATCGACATTGTCCAAGACGAAAATGAGATTTTTCATGTCGTTTATCATGTGCCAGTGCAGTTTCACACGATCTTCTACATTCAGCATAGTTTCCCAGTTTCAAATAACATAAAGCTAAATTTGATTGCGATGCAAATTTCAATTCCCACGATTTTTGTCGATCGCTTTCACTGACCAATGTTGCATTTAAAAGATAATGAAAGACCGTTCTATATCTTTTCGCTGCAAGATCATAATAACCAGCCTGAAAAGAGAGATCTTCATTGAAAAGAAATCATTTAGATTGTTTTACTTTAACAAATTCATCTGCACGCGCTTTTAAAATCTCTGATTGTTGTAGTTTTTGATCGTCGCTTAATTGTCGTTCTTCCTTTGCCTAAACAGAGAGAAAAACACTTGCTTTCAAAGTGTCCAAAGGATCGTACCCGTTCTAATTTTGTTAAAATAACGTCATATTGAATTGTTTCATTGGATGAAAGATTAAATTTCTTTTTTAAATCTTCAATTGCTTGATTTTTCAAATAAATTCGATCATGTTCATTTTTAGTCATACGAAATATCGCTCGTTCAATTCTAAATGATCAACAAGTAGAAGAACACTTTGAAAAAGCAGAAATTTGTACCCTGACGGAATATTTTCAACAATTCCTGCACCCGCAATAAACGTCACTGTTCGTTCATCAAATATCTCATCATTTTGACTTCCTTTCAGATTAACTTCAACAATTGAATCTTCATTTGCTGGTTCATAACCTTCGCCTCTTTTAATTATTCGTCGAAGAATACTTTCATCCCTTTCTTCACTTATATCTTTTCCTTAAATAAAAAGAGATTGAAGAAAAGTTTTCATTAGATTTTCACTTAACCTGTTGAACTGATCAATTCAATTTCAAAAATCACATCTGCTGCTGAATCAACTTTTCCAGGTAAACCTTTTAAACCATACGCATATTTGGGTTTCGAGAAGAATTTTGAAATTTCTCCACATAACATTGTTTCTACAGCAATATCAAATGCTTTGATCACTTCACCTCTTCCTAAATTGAAACTAAGAGGCGAATTCTCTTCTCGAGTATCTTTGAAAATTGTTCCATCAAGAAGACTTCCAACATAATGAATGGTTACTTTATCATCAAACCAAGATTTTTCACCATTCGGATTTTCTTTCACAATTTGTTTGTATAAGCCTATTGAATAGAAAACAAAATCAATCTTTTCAATGAGAAAAAAGGGAATATTACATCCGTCTTTTGTTGGAGTTATATCTTCACCATCGAATGGAATGTTTCGTTTCTTTTTTGAAGGCATTTTTGACGAGGACAATATCGCTTACTGTTAGATTTATTCTATTTTGATATTCGTCACACATCAATGAACATTTTCATGGTAAATCGATGATCATTAACCAATCATTTCGACTACGCAATTTTCTGTACAATCCTTTTCGTATTCGAAGAAAAGGAAAAGAAAAAACAGGTGATATAGACTTGTTTGCTGTCGTTTATACAATGTTTTGAAAAGCAAAAGAGAATTGAACGTTGTTTATGAGATTATATTTATGAAAGTCATCTTTAATCGTGAATTTAGTAGTCGGAGATGAAAAATTGACAACTCAATAATCTAGACAATATTCGTAATCGCAAAATCTTTTCTGCATTCCATCAATCTAAAACGCCACCGGATTATTATTGGGTTATTCAATTGTAAGCTGTAAAAACAAACGAATATGAAGAGAAGAGAACGATCACGTGTTGAAAATTTCATCTGCACGATTCACAGAACTTGTTTTTCGAGATAAAATATTTAACATATCTATGCATTTGAAAAGAGAAGATTAACGTTTCAGTTATCAGTCTAATTTGTCTCTGTAATCGATCATATGACCGATAAATATCGAAATTTCTCTAAAACTTATTCTCGAACAAAATCTTCGATCAGTGATGATGAAGATTATGAGCGAAAACGAAGAAAATCATCTGAATGTTCATATTCTCAACGAACGTATGTTTTGATTTTATGCAGAAAAACTTCTTCATTCGATTTCCTTAGGTCAAGTCTTGATGGAAAAGTTTATGTTGGAAATGTTCCAACAGATGATTTATCGGATCGAGAATTATTAGAATTTTTTCGACCATTCGGTAAAATTTCAGGTAAAATAACGATTTCTCTCGCTGAAAAACTACTCTTTCTTATTCAATTCAAAGATATTCGAGTTTATAAAAATCATTTGTTTGTTCAATATGAAAATCTTTCTAATGCAGATCAATTAATTCAACAAGGACAAAGTTCTTTATTTCTTAAAGGAAACAAACTTGGTAAAATCAAGAATTTGAGTTCGACAAAGATTTCTTTGTGATTTCTTTGAAAAGATATTTTACCTGCAATGAAAATATCCGTCAATGGTGAACAAATCAAGTTGGATTTTCATTTGTTAATGCGATGGAATTACTTGTTCGATTTTATTTAGTTGTGATAATTCGGAAAAAACCGTTTGCTCAAAAAACTCTTCTTATCAGAAAAGAAGAAGTTCCTTTTCGTAAGATTCTTCTTTTAATGATTTGATCGAAGAACAGCTTTGCTTTTGAGGGATGATGATCAGCAAAAATCATTCGTAATTCAACCAGATAATTCTCAACAATTCATCGGTTGTCAAATTATTCTCGTCAATCATCGTCAAAGGTTTCGAAGAAAAACTTTAACAAAAGGAAAGTTTTCACTTTGAAATCTCTGTTAGAAACTATGCCGAAGAGATCAGTTCATACCTTGAAAATCATGGTTTGACAACATCGATTCTTGTGATCAGAGAAAATTATTCATTACATGAAGCAATTGACGATGCAATTGAGCAAAAATCTCTCTATGGAATCATCATTTTGCCAATGCATGAAGATCGACGTTCAGCTTCGTTTCATATTCTTCATGGACAAATCGAAGGTTTTCTCTTTCGATTTACTTTTCATGTATGCAAATTCGTCTTGTAGAACATCGAAATTTGAAATTGGAAGATGTTTATGAATTAATTCTCAACAATTATTCGATGTTCAAACAAAAATCTTGTCAAATACCAACGATTCAGGATAAACTTCCATTATCGACATTGTTGTGTCTTTTAGCTGATGGAAGACAATTGACTTTAGATGAAATTGATCGTGTTCTTGTTTATTTACTTGAAAAAAAAGCTTACATGTTGAATTTACCAACAGGCAAATTACCACCATTACCCGTAGAATATGCAAATTATCAAAAAGGTTTTTTGTCACTTCGAATTTGACGTTCAAAGTTCTATTTTCAATTTAGATTCTTCATCGAATGAATTATCTCCAAGATTAATCGAACAAATTCGTGAGATATTTAATAGAAACCTGAAGAAAACCCCAGTATTTCAGGAGGAACACAAATCGAATGAAACGTATCCAACGTCATCTTTATCACAATCGATGTCAAATTGTTCAACAGTTGACAATTCAACTGCGATTTTTCAAGCATATACACAATTCAACGGAATTCCACCATTGATGAGCATCAATCATCAACAAATCAGAAAATAAGATTTCAATTTCTTTTATTGTTTATTTGACTTATTCGTAGAAAATCTACTTTATTGCTTTTCGCGTCATAGAATAAAGACAGAGAGTAGATCTATAAAGCAAATATTCATTCATTCTGCAACTAAGTGTTCATGTTTTTGTCATTGATTCATCCGAAGTAGGTCAATTTCATGATATCTTCAGTAGCATTCAAAAGTACAAATAACAGACATACAATTGAAACATCTGACTCTTTCAAACGATACTTTCACGATGATAAATCCTGCTAAAATTTGCCAATTATTGACGTATTGTATCACAAAACGTTTAATTCAATGAAGAGGATTGAGCCTTTTGAGTTGATAATTATCGTCTAAAACTGGTGTGTTTATTTATGGAAGAAATGTGACTTCTCTGGTAGAATATCTTTATTTTTTTTTAAAATTTTTAGTAAACGGCTTAATGAAAACTAAACAGTTCAATGAACGGAAGCGATTTGAACCTCAAATCGATTTTGTTGTTCGGTGTTGAAGAAATTGTTCGTTGATAAAACGTTCAATTGGTTTGTCGATGAAAACAAACCAAATCGTGGAAATGACTTGACTAAGTAGAAGAACAATCGGTAAAGTAAGAAGAGTTGCATACGTTATCGAATATGTCTTGAATAATCTCAACGGACCATGTACAATCAATTGAAATGCAATACGAATATGAATCAGATATGTAAAATAGCTTAATTTCGATATTGGAATCCAAAATCGTGCTGAGAGAAACGTTTTTAATCTTGATGAATGATATGGATGTGTTTGAGGACATAAAGCAGCGAATAACAAGAATGCTTGGCCAATTGTAAACAATTGTCTTGAAATTCCAATGAGAAATTTTAAGAAAATATCAGGTGGATTTGGAGGAACATCTGCTGTTTGCAATAATGATAATAAATGAAAAGAAATCATTCCAAAGAATAAATATTTTTTCATGATTTGCCATTTGGATTTCTGATTCGGATACGATTTACTTTGACATTGAAAAATTTTTATTGCTAAAATCGATCCAATGATGAAACTTCCGAATCGACATCCTAATGGTAAATAAACATTTTCCATAAATAATTTCAATGGAATTAGTTCAGATGTTGGAGAGAATTTTGTTAAATTATATTTCGTTTCCAACCATTGATTTAAAAAAGGTGAAGATAACACGCGAAACGATGAATAACGATGTCCGATCGAAGCGATTGACATTGTCTGTGGATTAAATACGATCATTACTTGAACGATCGATAAAAGAACTAAAATGAGCAAAGATTTATTCATTGAAAGATATTTTTGCTTTGAATAAAATAAATAAAGAAATAACGGTAAGAGAACATGGATTTGCATATCCAAACTGATGGACCAAAGAGGAGAAAATGTAAAATACCAATAATCAGTGTTGATGTAATTTTGAAAAAAGAGCCAAAGATTGCAATTCCGTAAGAATTCAATCAGATAATTCGCATTGGGATAAAGCGGTTCGCCGAAGATCAATAAAATCAAAGTAACTAGAAGAAATCCAGGCCAAAATCGAAAAACTCGTTTCATCACCAGCAAAGGATATTCTTTCACAAGGAAATCTTCGTAATTTAACCGTTTTCGATTCCATTTCGAAATTAATTTATAGGTTAATAAGAAACCTGATAACATAAAGAAGATTTCCAAGGAAAAACTCATTAAATTTATCAAAGCGAATGCAGCACTGTGTAAAAATGTTTGCCATTCGATGTTCGGATATGGAAGTAGTAACGTACTGAAGATTCCAACGATATGTAATGATGTTATTAAAAGACTTGCGATTGATCGAAATCCATCGATAGGATCGAAATGATTGTCTTGACAATTCGATCGAGTAAATAAAGAAAGAAAATCTTTCGAAATTTGCCAATACATGTTTATGCAGAAGATACGGAATTTATCGAATATTGAACCGAATGTCCTTCTACTTAATATATACATATCTATTCTTTCTCTCGTACAGAAAAATCAAGGGATATCGAGGGAATATTACGATTTAAATTGTCGTGAACGCACATGAAAAAGAGAAAGATTAAGAAAATGTCTAACGAATGAAATTTTATCTATTTAATTCTTTCAAAACAGCATGTGCGTGTCTTTCTCTAACTGATTAATTACCTTTTAGATGGTTTAATGATTTAACCGTCACTCAACACATCAAAAACAGATTGTATTATGAAAGTATTTTCTTTTCGTGACCTAAAATAGAGAATTGTCACTCAGTGAATTGTATTTTCATATATTTGTCTATATCCAATGTGATCGGTCTCGGTAAAAAGAATTTTAAATGTTTTCATATTTGGCCAATGTCATTAATTCATATGAACGGAAAATGTTGTCAAAGGTCTCAAATCATACGTTCGTGATATTTGATGAAAATATCACTTTCAATGAAAGTCGTACATACAGCCTCTTGATTTGCAAAGTTTCTTCTCAGAGGAAACAGCGGTTTGTTTTTCATATACGAGTTTAAATTTGGAAAGCGAATATTTTCATTTGATTTTTGTCTTTTGCACTCTGAATGTCGACGAAGAGAAGGGAGAAAAGAGCCACTCTCGTTTGATTTTTAGACCACTTTGCTATTACACAAATCTTCGTGAAGATGACGTTCTGCCTTTGTAAGTTCAAATCTATCCCAGGTTTTCTTACGTTAAAGTAGATTCGTGATGAAAAAGGATCGAATCTAAACGTGTTGAGAATATATAGAAATGATCTTGTTATAATAAAGTGAGATGATGATGTAATTACTTTGTTTATATTTAGATTATTGCATTATTCAACAATGCTCTTAACACTTTCCTTAGGAAAAACTCGTTATGAACTTAACAAAACTAATAAAAAGGAACTCGATTAAAACACACGCAAATTCTTTCTATAGAGAGAAACCGTTGAGACTAAGTGAATGATTCTCGATTATATAAAGCATAGAGAACAGGATTTAAACAAGAATTGAAATATGACAATGCATGTGCGATAATTCGAATGACATCGAGTAATTGCGAATGTTGATCATAATAAGTTGATAACATTTGTCCACAGTTGAGAAATTCGAGTAAATGAATTGGAAACCAACAAACTGCAAATGCACATGTCAAAGAAAATAAGGTTCGTGTCACACGACGACGTTTCCTTATTAAAAGTGATCCACAACTGATTAAACTATTCTAAAGACAAAGATAAGAATAAAACCAATGAAAAAACACTGGTTTTTCTGGTCACTTACTCGATATTTTGTTACACTTTTTGACATCTGTTTCATATAAATACATAATTTAGTATAACAAAGTGCGATAATCAATAAAGGTAAAATATAATAAGCACAAAACGGAAATAAACACGAGACAATTGATGAATGTGATGACGAAATTGGACAATCGTGTGTCAAATTTTTTTCATTTTCAGATGAGATTGAAGATGAATAAAATAACGATGTATAAGGAAATGCCAATGCAAATGAAGCTAAAATCAATGAAGTTTCATTTGAAAACTGAGAAAAATAGTGAAATTTGTCTTTACCAATCCAAATAAAAATACAAATAATAAAAGCGTTTAATGGTGTTCGCCATTTGGGACGTGGATGTGAACTGGTCACATATAAATATCGATCAATACTCATTGCTGCTAATGTATAACATGTTGCTTGTAAAAGAATCTTGAAAAACAAAAGAATGTTTCAGTATATTTGTTAACAATTTCAATCTCTAATTGTTCATTTTTCAATGAATATTTACAAATCCAGGAGATTTCCATGTGAAAATGAACTTACATGTGCAAAATAAATGTGGACTCGACAGCTGATAAAAGGCGCTAAAATCCAGGTTTCTTTCAAACCCAAATAAGTTGTTAATGGCACGGATATCATTAGAAAAAGAAGATCGGTTATAGCTAAATTAATTATATAACAATTTGTAACAAATCTATAAGTTTGTTTTCGAATTGATAAAATTAAAACAATTAGATTTCCTGAAAACAATGAAATTGAACGAGAAAAAACATGTTTATTGATTGTTCTTACCTATAACACCAAGAATACAAATACAAGCGAAGATAATTGTCATTAAAATTCTTCCAAAAACATTTAATTCCTCTGTAGATTTGATCGAGGTTTCATTGAATAACATGGTTTTAATCTAAAACAAAAGAAACAAGCAAATGAATTGTTTTGAGGAAATGATTCATGTTAATAAATATGAAAAGATCTTCAAAAAGAATTCTGTTGAAAATAGAAAAAAAACTTAAATCGACATCTATTTCAACACAAATTTCTAATTTTCTTCAACGATTTTTTTATTTTTCGCAGAAATTTAAACTCCGCAAATGTCAAACATTTGTCTCGAACAACTGATCTTCTACAACGTTTTTTTTATTGAATTAATGAACTATACTGACAGAAAATACCCTTAATGTTCTTTGCAGCTTTTCGGAAAGCAAATCTTTACGAATCTTCTCATTTTCTTTATTATTGACGCTAAATCACAAGTGAAATGAGATTTGCAATTATTCCAACTCGCATAGGTATCCTCACACACGTAAAAAAGCACTCTGTTTTCATCTAAAACTTGTCGTTTCCTTCTCTGTTTGACAAAGAAAAAAGAGAAAAGAGCTTTCCATTAGAATAATTATATTAAAAAGATTCTTTGAAGAAAAAAAGAAAAAGGAAAGTGGCAGATGAAATAATTCTCACGGCTAATTTGTCTTTCTCTTCTTCTGCCTCTCATTTGAAACATAAAAATCATTTTTATCGTCGAAAAGAAACATATTTTGATGAAAAATATCCTTCAACTATGATTATTCTCCATTTATTCCGGTATATTCTCTCCGCGCGGCTCTTCTTTGATATACTTCGTAGTTTCAGAATAAAATATTATTTTAATACAAATATTTTAACGGGTGTTATATGCATCTTTTGAATAAAACAAAAGATTTCCCCGTCGACATATGAAGAACTTTGACAAAAACGAAGTTTATTTTCCCCACGGAAATAAATTATCGAATGGTTTTCAAATTAAGAATATTCTTTTAATGAAATGTTAAACAGAAATATCTTTCCTTGAAAAGAAAACATCCACTTTAGAAATTGGAATTTTACGATGCACATTTCTGTCGCTAAGGATATGAAAGAACGACTTTCTTTCTTAATGGAACAATCGAACTGGTAATAATACGTTGAAATCGAGTTATTCAATAATAGAATGTGTCTTTATTCAAAATATTGTCAGTTATAATGACGTTATTAAAGTCAAAATAACAAAGGAGATTGTGTGAACAATATCAAAATTAAATTTATATGATTAATCGATTTATTACATTTAAATTGTCCCATTATTAAATCAAAGATGATGAACTTTTGTCAATTATTTCTGAACTAAGAAGATAAACTAAACTTATTGTTGAGAAGCGTTATTATTATGACGAACACGTATTGTCTGAAGAGCACATTCGTTTTGTCTTTTCAAATTAATAGAATAGCTAAATATGACTTTATTAATAATTCATAAATCTACACATGATCTTTCTTTCATGTACTTCGGTCTTTATAAATGTGACGCGATTATGTTTTTTGTTCACAATCCTTTTGATATTTATCAAAAGATAGAACATTGAGTTTCGATTCTTTCATCGAACAATGCATCCCTGTGTCCCTTGACTATCCCTGAAAACTTTAGTTGTTCGAAAATTACGGCAATGATAGACCGTGAAGCGCGATAATGGAATTGACAAAGAAAAAAACGAGAATGAACTGTTCATTTTTCTGCGAAATCAATAATTTATTGAGAGAAATATTCTATAGGTATTCGTTAGTCAACAGTTTGGACTATCCAAAGAAAAGAAAAGAATGGAAATGAAAATCACGTGTGGTTTGTGTTAGAGACCTACTTTATCAATGTAACACGATGACGTTTTCATACATTCTTACACAATCTTCTTCCATAAAAAGTAGGTCACAATTACAAAACTGAGTTCATATTCGATATAAACGCCATAAAACACATCGATTCCCTAGAGTTTTAGGGAAAAGTGTAAGACTAGAATTTTTCACCAAAAATGACGCAGAAATTTCGAAAAAATTCATTTTTATATTCTCCAATACAATACGATGAATTCGACATCGGTTTAAGCTGATCGAGAATATGGACTTGATTTTATGATTTGGGCATACTTTTGTCAAAAAAATCACGGAATATAAATATGAGAAATGAAGAACAGACATAAAAAGTGTCATTGGGTTGCATAAAGCCACCATAAGAAGAACTTTTTTCAGACAAATTCGAATGAATTAGATAAACCATGAAAAAAAAGCTTTGAGTATTCTGATTTTGTTATAGATAGTTATCACCAACAGATTGAAAAAATTGACATCTTTGTTACGAATAATCTTATCTCATTTAGATCATTTCTTTATCGAACAAAATATGATTTCATACACTTTCGACTAAGCTTTGTAAGATGACAATCGCTAAATTTCAAACTCTGGGTCAATGAATTGTCACGATACGTGCATTTGTCAAGTTACACATGACATCGAATTGCTTCAGACAGTAATTCGAGTCCTTCACACTTGAGAACATGTGAAATAAATGAATTCAATTTTATTATAAAAGAACTCCCTGATAAAAAAACGGCTCAATAGAAAATAAATCAAAGTTTCCTATTTGATCATGTCGAATTCTAAGATAAGCATAGTTGTTTTTCTGCATTAAATTTCAAACCTATTGGACATGATAATTGTCTTGCCAAGAATTCTAAAATACAATCCAATTCAATGAGCTCATTCGAACAGTTTTGTCATCTTACCATCTTTGAAAGCGATACACCAAAAGTATTTTCCTTGATCTTTCATTAATTCATCAGTGAAATGTCCTGCTGATTTGCAACGAAAATATTCTAAAAAAAGATTTTGTTTTCAATGAAAAACAAAATTCAAGGGTATTCGTACGTCTTTCACATCGTTTTCCGGTCCATCCCGCTCGACATTGACATGAACTATAGAAAGGTTTTCCAATTTGACGCTCTTTACAAGCTCCACCATTCAAACAATGGATTGACGAACAACTTCCCAAAATGTCTTTCAAAAGGAATGGAATTATAAATCATCAAATGATTTCTTTTATTATATCATTTTACTTTCTCGTTCGCAAAATTCTCCGTCAAAACCCGACCGACATAAACATTGAGGTTGAAATAATGATCCTCCAGCTTTGACTGGCCGAACAGCGCATATACCTTTTGATTGACATACAATTTTATCGCATAAATCATCATCTTCAATCCATCAAAGCAACTTTTATGAAATATTTTCAAAAACACACGCTTACCTGTTGGAGTTTCACATTTGTCTCCGGTAAAACCATTTGGACAATTACATAAATTGGTTATTGGATCTCGTACACCTTGATTTTCACAAGTGTCTTCGAGTGACGGGATTACGTTTCGTTCATCTACAATCAAATTTCATTAAATAAAAGTTTTCCTTGAAAACCAAATCTTTACCACAAGGTGATGTCGAAGCCACCAACCCTCCATTTCCATCATTACATAAACATGAAAAAGATCTATTAATATCGGTACATGTCACAACCGATGGTCCAATTCCACATGGATTTGGCGTTCGATTACAAATTCCTAAGGAGAAAATCCTTTTAAGATGGATAAAAAATGAAATGAATCGAAGACGAACGACACGGTTGATCACGTGTTGTTGAATTATCAGGACATGTACAAATGACTTGACCATTAAACGCATCAAGACAAAAATAACCGTTTCGTGGTAAAAAATACGCATTTGGCGAATTGGACTTATCTAAGTGACATGGATTGGATCCGTCATTACAAACTAAATTTCGAGAAAATAAATTTTTAAGGTACCTTTTTGTTTTCATTTTGGACTTACAGATACAATTCGATATTCCAATTGAGATTACGAAGAAGAAAATTGTCGGGAACATATTCAATAGTTATGATTAGATGAGAAGAATATGTCGATATTTATATATCGCGAGGAGCTCGAGACGAAAAATCTTTGACTAAATATTTTCTCATTGTCTGTCCAATAAAACAATCCTTGAAAAGGAGAAATTCACATCGTTTGAAGGTTAATAACAAACAGATATGATTTCATTTAGACAATATTTAATGTCTAAGACGACATAACACATTTGATTTTATTTTATAGGTTTGTATTCAAAAATTCGTTAAGATTGCTCAGCCGCCTTGGTGGCTCAGTCGGTAGAGCGTCAGTCTCATAATCTGAAGGTCGTGAGTTCGATCCTCACCCGGGGCATTTATTTTTTTTCTTTTAAAAAAGTCTCTTAGATATGATTACAAATGATATCTCGTCCAATTCCTTTCAAAATCAATGAACGAAATTGATCATAGGTTAATGTATCATCTGCGTCAATGTCAAGTTTTTTTATGTAGTTTTTCAAAGCTTCAGTCGTAGCAAACTCGTTGATAATTGGGAGAAAATTGCATAATTCTTGTATAGTAATTGTACCAGATCGATCTTTATCTAAGATTTGAAAAGCTTCTCTTAATTGATTATCTTGATAATAACCCATAATGAATGGACGTAGAATCCGAACGAAATTTTCAAATGATAAAACATTTCGAAGATTTTCTGATAAAAATTCGTATTGTTTTCGAGTGATTATTGTATCATAGACTCGACTACGTCTTTCTTTCTTATTTGTAATTCCAGTTGTGGTATTTTCATAACTAAATTCTTCGAATTGATAATGAATTTCACGAACATCATCCATATTACCACTAATAATCTCTGTTACAGAAAATTCCAAATCCATTTCGATTCAATAAACTACAAAACCAATTGTGAGGAGTTTTTTTGTCGAAAAGAAAACCTACATACTTGAAAATCTTTGGACAATTATGTTTGTTCGATATGAAATAAAGTACTTCTCTTGTTTTATCTATACCACAACTTTCGTTTTTTTTATAGCTGTTTGGTAAATATTTATGGGACTTTGATATCAATTCATAAATTACTTTGTGAAGAACATGACTTTCTGGAATTTCAAGAATATTTCTATTTACAAAAGTTCTTTTTTTGTCATTATATCGAATGCGACTCTTCATATATTCAATGGGGATCAATACGAAAACGCCCATTTTACGATTCTTTCACTTCTAATCAATGATATATGATTACGACTTTTGTAAATGTCAATAAAACGCGTCTATTTCGATATTATTCATCTTCTCGTATCACGGCGCATCTGTTTCGATAAATTCCGAGATCAACGAATCTTTTGTGAAAATTATTTTTTATTTTGAACTCTGCATGCAAAAGAGTTGCCGAAAACGAACCAATATTAAACTTTTGTTCGCGAGTGTAACGAATAATGGACTCTATTTGACACTTAAAGGAAAAAAAAGATTTTTTTCATCATTCTTGCGTCTTTTCTTATTGAGCCATTTCTGTTGTATTAAATCCATCGTCGTCGTTCAAAAAAGAAATCTTGTTTAACGAAAGATCACGTAAGAAGAATTCTATTCTTCATTTTTTCTACTTTGCGATGATATCGCCTATCAACGTTAATCTAAAGTGGCGATAATTTTCATCGAAAAGTAAAGAAAATGGAATATCTTATGCAGCAGAGCCATTGATTATAGTGTTGATCTGAATCGATCACCAACTCATCAGAGCATTCCGCTTCATAATCATTGACATCCGAATATTCCAAGTGTGATTTGTGTTAATCGTGGTGATATCTTTCGTATTCGTATTGAATGTGTTGATTGGAAAGGTGGACAAATAGAAAATAATGATTCAGCTAATGATGTGAAAAATGTTGATTTAACACGTATTCATTATTTTTCAGGACCAATTGAAGTTAAAGATACTCAGCCGGGTGATCTTCTTGATGCTGTCCCACTTTCATCAGCTATGCAATGCTTTACCGGCATTTTTTATGGAAAAGTGGTAGCGGATTTCTAAGGGATTATTATGCTCAAGGACGAAAAGCAATTTGGGATTTTCACCAAGTTTATGCGACAAGTTGACATACAAAAAACGTTCGACTTGCTGGTTTAACACATTCAGGTTAGACAAGATAATTTGTACATTATTTCGAACTTCGAATTTTCTCAGATATCGTCGATGGCGTACCTTCTAATGAATTATTACAACGATGGAATAAATGTGAAGTATATGTTCAGTTCGCCACTGTTCATATTTGCATCATGAAAATGCAGTATCGGCCACTTCGTCGAGTGAAGAAAGAGCTTTGCTAGGTCAATTGAAATTTGAAGAGGATAAAAATTGATGAAAACGAATTGCAATGGAAGAATCACGAATCATTCCATCATGTGAGCATCGAAGAAATGTAATGATATTAAAGTATTTCACATGATGAGAGTGTTTAATTCTCAGTTTATGTTAATAGTCATGAGTTGCCTAATTCGACTTATATTATAAATGGACATCTAATAGACTAATCTCAGTTCGAATATAAATAGATGTATATTTGTATAATCCTACACGTTTAGGAATAGATAGGGATAGATTTAGTTATACCTGTGTATACCGATGGACGTAAACTGACATAGAGCTCCGCTGAAAGTATTCCTGAGACTATGTATAACAAAATCTATTCCTATCTATTTGTAAACATACATGAGAGTGGGCTTAGGCAGCGTTGAATCTATCCCTATCTATTCCTAAACTGGCATGGGTGAACAGGCATAGCTAAATCTATCGCTATCTATTCCTAAGTATGTGTGGGAGTGTATTAGGAATTCGTCACTTATATTATAAGTCGAATTAAGCAGCTACTCTTAATAGTGCAATTGAAATGGTAAGATGGATTTATTTCTACATTCTTTTTAAATGAATCTGTTTATTTGCATGAATTGATTCTAATACGATACAATAAAAGAAGATAATCGAAATATTGTAGCAAACAGAGAGAAAACTAAAAAAGCATTCATGTCGATTGAGCCCATAAGATTAAGAAAAAGCCGACTAACATCACAACAGAAATTCTCGCCTAAACAGATGATGAAATAGTCTGAATCGAGAGATAATTTTCTATACATACTTTTAATGTTTTTACTTCATATCGAAGTTGATCGATTTCCTTTTGATCATTTGTAATGGTCTTTCTTTGTATTGGATATAACACCTTGTACATTAGCATTTCGTAATTCATTGAGTTCAGATCGTGATTGCCTATTCTAAAAGACAAACAGTCAAGTGAATGATAAATAAAATCTAATCTTACCGATCGCAATAATTTTCCGTTTAGTTCTTTGAACTCATTTACTTCCTTTTGTAATTTTGTTCGATGTTCTCGTTCTAAAAGGATTTTTCGTTGTGCTTCGGATGATTGTGACCCCAGGTCGAACAATCCTATACTCGGATCCGAAACATGGATTTCCTAAGGGTCATCGAAGAACATAGCTAAAAAGATCGCTCATAAAATTTGCAACAACCGACGGGATTTGTTGACCTGAGACTGATAAAGCATCGAAGATTTTCCGTCGCCGCTTTTAATGCGCTTTCCCACGAATTTGAATTTGTAGATTCATTCTAAAAAGAAAGATTTGTAAAGAGCAACGTATTTCAAAATAGTTAAATCAAACGAAATTTGATTTTTTAAGATTAGTCATGCAAAAAACGTTAGTGAAACAAATATCGCGCTATTTTTTTTGAGTCTTATACCTCTAAATCAAGATCTACGAAACGACCGCCACGGTTCATATTTCGATACTCTAAATAGCGCACGAATTACAATAAGTTCAAGAAAAATGACATAAAAGCAAAAGAAAGGTGTGTATGATTCAACACTCCGACGATTAAAACGCTTAAAAGCACGATAATTTCCTTATGAAAAGAAAAAGCAAACCAGCATACTTGTGGACCTATCTCTTCTTTCCTTGACACATCGTAGAGAATACAGAATATGAATAGGCAAAGTTACATCTTAAAAATCAAGAATAATAATGGTCGTGCTCGTATTTCTTTGTCTTCTCTATCTTCACTTGACAAGTCAGTAAGAATGAATCAATTACAATTCAGTCCGATAGATGATACCAAAAATCGACAGTTGTAAAACTCAATGAAATGTGTAGAGATTTCCCAATTATTCTTTATTTAAATTGAATATCTGATACGTGAAAACAATTTGAAAAAAAATAAAGTTTGTTAACTAAGGATCAAAAGTAAGTTTGATTTTTTTGAAAATTAATACATATTAGAATTTGAATAGATTCACTGTTGTTTAGCATTTGAAATGCTTTGTGGTAAATGAATATCTTCACTAAGAATTGATTCATCAATATTGGGCCAATGTTTTTGTTTATTGATATGTGAATTTTTAATAAAATCTTGTGACGAAAGAATATATTGAAAATCATGTCCAATAGTAAATGAATGGGAAGCGTTTTTTCTTGCGATAGTAACAATAATTTGCCGATGCATTGATGGAATAACGTCAAATAATTGATGATTTGAATCCTTCCTGGAAATAAATGCATTTTGCGATAAAGTGCAACGAAAATGAAAATGAACATTTTTATTCAGATTTCGATTTTCAACAAGTAAGATTAATCCATCCCAAAATTTCTTTAATTCATAAATTTTCACTCCATCGTCCATTGAATTCCGCGTTTGAACTTGTTCACCATAAAGTATACAAAGTTTGATTAGAAATTCTCGTTGAATTCTCAAAGAAATTCGAATTCGTTCCAGATCGATTGAGCACGAACTATGTACAGCTAGAAGAAAATTTTATAAAAAAAAAGGCAATTTTCTCAAAGATAAACTTACCAATATTGAATTCTGTATTATCCATTTGTTTATTGATTGGATTGAATAGAAAAGGTAAAATAAGATAAGTTCCCGGTTGAAGAAAACCATCTGTTGACACAAATTTATGTTGACCACGTTGACTAAGAATTGGTATCGAATAAATTCGATAATTTCCAGCAGTTCTTTCTTCAATACTCACAATTGCCACACAAAGACTAACTTCACTTCGTTGTATTCGAAGATTTTTACTTATTTTTCTATGAAGTGTTATATCAAGTTCAGTCCGAGATTTAATTGTTAAATAATAACATTGCATCATTCCCTGTTCGGGATAGAAATTCGCCGAATCTCGTACTTCATACCAATCGGGTCTTATTTTACAAATATCCACACATTCGAAATATTTCACAAATGAAGTAAATGGCATCCAAAACACTCCATCACGTTTACTTCGCTTTTCTTTCAATAATTCTTTTCGTAAATCAGCATTTTCCAACCAGAGAGGAGAATCATCTGACCAATCACCTAAAATATTCAATCAAATCAATATTTCGCTGATATTCATCATGAAAACTTCACCATTCCATCGATAAGTTCCGCCCCATGGATTTCTTAATTTCACTAATCGATGTTTTCCATCATTTGACTGTTTAACATCTTGCAACGAATAAGCATGGACATTCAACAAACCCGCTTTCTGAAATTCCTCTTTCGATAATTGATTATTACTACACATTGCACACATGAGAAATTTATTTAACCGTGCATTGTACAATTTCATCCAAAGTTGATCGAGATCAACATTCTTATCATCTGGATTATTCGTTCGACCAAGTATCAATGTTTCGCAAGGACTTCCCGTCACTGTAGCTAAACCTTCACAACAACGACCAGCTATAATTGCTTCATAACTTCCATTTAATTTCGCCAGAGCTTTTTCAATCAATGGAACCTTGAAAGAAAAAAGGATTTTATTAGAAATAAGAAAAAGAAATATTTACCCAAAGTTGTTTTCGATGTGCTTGAGAATATGCTAAACGTTGACTTGATGTACAAGGAAAACGATCATCAACAATCACTTGTGTCCATTCACCATCTGAAATTTCATTCAAACTATCTTTTTTATTTCAAATTAAAATTCTTTTACTTTACCTTTGCACAATCGAACATAATAAAATCCTTGTGGATTATATTCTTTTGTAATCAAAACCTTAAAAATCATTTTCGAAAATATTTTCAAAATGTTCAAATAAAAAGAATTTTTACTTTCATTAAATATTCCGCTTCTTCAGCAAGAACACTTAATGCAGTAATAAACCAACAATCACCTAATGCACCTTGTACAACATCATTTGGTTTTGGATTTCGAAAAACTGTCCATTGAGAAGTGGAATTTTGATTCCATTCCGATGGATTAATTTGATTAGGTCTTAACCATTGAATGTGACGATTTAAAGATAAATTTGTTTGATGTTCAGGTAAAACAGCTAAAGTTGATTTCGAAAATGAACAACCATTGATATAAATCGATTGAGATGAAGCAGGAAATGATTGATCATGAAATCGTCGATGTGTTAATAATAAATTTTGATAAAGTTTTTCAACATGTTTTAAAACGAAATGTTCATCAAATTGGCGTTTTTGTGCGATGAGAACACTTCGACGATAATGATTTGGTTTATCACGATGATTCATTGGAATATAAACATGAAATTTATTTGTTTGACAATTGGAACATAATTGATTTTCAGTTGAATTAATTGTGTCACACAATTGACATTGCCATTGAGAATCTTCTTGGAAATTCAAATGATTTTCATCTAATGAACATGATCGATGACGAAAATCAACTGAATCTTCTTTTTCGATATTGGATAAATCAAGTTTTGATGTTCCACTAAAGTTGTTTCGTGCAAAATCTTCTCTAAATGAAAAGAAAAGATTGAATAAGATATCTCTTTCGACTGTTTTTTTTTTGTTAAACATTCGATGATGTTCTCTATTACGAATAAATGAGGTGAACAATACGACCATTTTATCTGTACGTTATGCATATGTCGTTTGATATGAATATCGCCTACATCAATAATTCCTCGCTTTAAGGTATATTATACGTTCATTTAATTGTGATTATGATCGATGTGAAAGAGAAGAGAAAAAAGTGCATATCAATCAACAAAATTGAACAATTTTTCTTTTTCACATTAGATCATTTAAATACAAAATTATCACAGGTTTGTCTCCGTTTTGTTTTTCTTACTGATTTAGTTACCTATTAATTGTCAATTAAACTTTTTTAGTTATTCTCTTAAATTACCTGAGAGTTTGTTCATTTTTATTTGATTTTTTGTGATTGAAAATCGATTTAATACGTTTCATTGAATAAACGATCTAAAAGAAAAGGAATGAATAATCAAATCCATTCGTGATATACTCTCAAAAGTTTTTTCGTTTTTCTTTTTCGTTCTTCCTCGTCTATATTTTATGATTCATTCTTCAAACAAATCAAATAAACCTTGGATAAAAAAAAAGAAGTTATTTCCAATACAAAACTTTTCAAACTCATTTCAAGGTTTTTCGTTCCATTTTTCCTTGATGAACACAAGACATACTTACCCTTCTTATAAAAGAATAATTGAAAACTGTGATTAGAAAACATCTTATCCTTGAGATCGAACTCGATTTTGTTCTTCATTTCTTTTTCTCTCTCTCTAATCGTTTTTTCATTTTAAGTAAATGATCAAATAAAACCATTTGATCGATTATTAAACGTTCTATTTTTTCTTTCTTTAGTTTAGACCTGAGTAATATTATTATTATATGGTATGAAAAAAGAGAAAAAAAAGACTTTGTTTTTTTCCTCCAAATCCAATTAAATTAGGATTCATCATGTAATTTCGATTAATTTGCTGCTGTATGTTTCATTGGTTCTTTTCTGCTGAATTCGAAGGTTCATCTGCAATTGATTTTTGACTTTAATATGATGAGTTACTGTTCGTTCGATTCATTCGACGTGATTTGGATGATTTTTTGCAAAGAATTGCAATTCCGATTGTAATGAAAAGTAAAGCAAAGGTACCTAATCCAACAAAAGTCCAAATCGAGTTGTTTTTCTTTTCCAGTTTCTTCTTCTTGTTCTTCTTTGTATCAGATTGTTTCGTATTCTTTTTGTTTGTTTTCAATGAATCTACTTTGTTCTTATCATTTGTAAGTGTAATTGTCATAGTATTAGTCGAAATTGATGTTAAATAAAGATAATTTTCTTGAGTTTTATTGATGTGAATCATCATCTTCTCAATCATTTCATCTAATCGTTGAGATGATGGAGTTTGAGTTGCACTAACCTTTGAAAATAAAGAAGACAAATTGGATTTTGTTTCGAAAAGAAAAGAATTAACTTCGTAGAAACATTTTGGATTTATTTGTTGATCATCAATTTGAATTGATTGACACGAAGTCTTATTGAAATCTTTGGATTTAAAATGAAAAGTAAATTTACAAATCATCGGTCGATTGACAAATTTCAAATAAAACTCGAAACTGTTGTTTATATTTGATAAATTATTCCAATGAACTTTATCGAAAACCAAATCCATTTGTTGTGTTTTATCGAAAAATTTCATTTTGATCGGATCACTTTTCTTTTTTTCTCCATAATCTGTTTGAACAAATGGCCATTCGACACCATTTGTATCTTTATCTTTCGATGGTTTCTCTCGGCTAAGATGTCCCTTCATTTTGAATCCTTTCTTTTCACATTCAATTGATGTTTTCTCAAAATTGACAATTTGAACTTGATCAATTTCATGTTGGAAAATCTTTTCACGATTTTGACATTTGAAATTGAAAGTTAATTCATCAAAAGTATTCACTTTGCGAATGATTTCGATTTCATCATTATTACATTCAATTATTAAATAACTTTTTTTTATTAAAAAATCAATTCTATCGATCATTTGATCCCAGTCATTTTTACAAATTATCAAATCAATTAAACTCAAAATTAGTAATTTACATAACATTTATTCAGAACACAGAGAGCGCGTTTTATTTCCATTAAAAGATTCTTTTAAAAGAGCATTTGATTGTCAATTTAGGATTTATTCCAAAATTTATAGAGCATCTTTAATAAATCGTGAAGCCGTTGTAAAACCCACGTAGAAATTTTGTTAAAACACTCATTTAACAGTTCAAAATGACTAAAATATGCTTTTAACGAGTCCTTAAAATGTTCATACGCATGAATATTGAAGTTTTCTTCATGATAAACGGTCATTCTGCTCGATTTAACACGTTAATATCTGCGCAAATTTATGGAAACGAATGAATTTTAACGAGCATCAACTGTTGAAACATCATTGTGGTAAAATAATATCGAAGTTGATTTCTTAATTCGTAGAAACAATTCACCAATCTATAAACCAACCAATGTCATATCAAATACCTGAAAAATCAGGTAATATGCTAAATATTCACTATATACAATAGTTTCTTACTATTTTTAATTCTTTTTTTTTCTTCTGCCAACGAATGTCATACCGACATAATTCATATTCGAGATGAATCTTGATGTGTTGAAAAGACTGCTCATTTCTTTGTTTTTCTTCAAATCGGGCATTCGTATTTACGTTCATTTGATAATACTTTCTTTTCAGGTGTAACTAATGAAATACGTATCAGACATCTTGTCAACTCTCGGTCACACACACAGCTCTTATTCAAACATAATCGTTCAAGAAAAAATAACTGACTCGATTCCAAAGATACCTAACACAAAGACGTTAAATAATACACTCAGGGTAAACAACAACGCAAAGTACGACTAACTTTAGCTAAACGTTTCGAACATTCACCAGATCCGATTCCATTGCAATAATACTATGATAAAACGAGGCTTAGTTTTTGCATCTGAAAATGATCTTTTCTATCTAATCAAAGAAAAGCATTGGTATTGTGATTTTTGGCACATTCTATACTTCTCTGTCGATATATTCTATCAAATTTACAGTATTCATGCATATAATAAAGGTTTGTCAAAACTGCGTGTTTCCGCTTTACTTGTTCACAAACTTGAAACAACACACCAAGCATTTTTCATCATGTTATTCAATATACGTAATTGAAGGTATATTTACATATGTATTGATATGATCAACTTGAACACTGTGATGCAGATGAAGCTTCACCTAAACGAAAAAGAAAAAGATCGGATTGCTGAAGAAGCATGAAATCACTTGAATATTTCATTTCTCTAGTTTTTACTGAGAGAAAAAGATGAAAAGAATTCATACAAAGTAAAATTGATATTTGGATTTTGAAATCTCGAATTTCCTCGCCAATTACGGACAATATTTAACAATATTACTAAGTCATTAGTTGATATTCGTATCAAACTGTGATCTTATCCATGTCAATAGTATTATCAATATTTTCGGAGGTGAAAAGAGAATGATTGTGGTGCTAATCAACGTAATGCAATCATTCCTGAAGAAAATCAGCTATCGTAGTAATAAAGAAAATATACCACATTCATTCGTTTGGTTATTTGATAATTAATTTCGAAATGTAAGAGTAATAAAACACGATTATCCAGTTTTTTTTCACAATTGTTTATGGCAGTTAATTCTGTGATAGTAAAATCTAGGTCTCAATTTTGAAGCTAGACATAATTAGTTCGTTATCATTCTTGCATTTCGTCGTGACATTTATTATTGAAAAAATATTCATAGACTAGTTGAATGCTGCTGTCATCTTTTTTGCATTTTCAGTTCAAGGTTCCTTTTCCCTCTGTCCATAAAGATCCATGTTTTACGCTATATTATTCTATATGCGATCGTTTGTTTTTTTCTCGTCTAGAAATCGAAGTACTGCTGTCTCTCATTACGTGTTGACTATACAAAATAGAATCAAAAACGAAATACTGCATCTTTTTTAAACATTGTTTCAATTAAAATTTGACTAATTTTATCGATTGTCTTATAGACTGAAAAACATGGACAAAGCTGAAACGTGGGACTTTTGTGCACCAGAATATGAAACTCTTGCTCTACCAGTGACAGTTCCATGCATCACTAAGTTGCTCGAACAGGTTTCTATTCTACCTGTCACGGTATCTACTGCTCAAACCATTAAAGCAATTGATATTGCCGGTGGAGCAGGATTTTTAAGTACATTACTTGGCGAAGCGTATTCTAAAGCGGGACTTCTCGAGAAAGTAACAATTTTATCAAGTGATTTTTCACCGAAAATGGTTGAATTTACCGAGCGTTGTTTTGCCATAAGATGGGGAATATGAATTTGCAGCAAATTCATTTAATTTTAAATAGGAGTAATTTGTAGTAATATGAAATAGAAGGACATCAATGTGGTCAATGTGGTCATTGTGGTCAATGTGGTCATTGTGGTCATTGTGGTCAATGTGGTCATTGTGGTCAATGTGGTCATTGTGGTCAATGTGGTCATTGTGGTCATTGTGGTCAATGTGGTCATTGTGGTCAATGTGGTCATTGTGGTCAATGTGGTCATTGTGGTCATTGTGGTCAATGTGGTCATTGTGGTCAATGTGGTCATTGTGGTCAATGTGGNCACTTGACTGTTTAACATCTTGTAAAGAATAAGCATGAATATTTAATAAACCCGATTTTTGAAATTCTTCTTTTGATAGTTGATTATTACTACACATTGCACACATAAGAAATTTCTTTAATCGTGCATTGTACAATTTCATCCAAAGTTGATCGAGATCAACATTTTTATCATCTGGATTATTTGTTCGACCGAGAATCAATGTTTCACAAGGGCTTCCTGTCACTGTTGCTAAACCTTCACAGCAACGACCAGCGATAATTGCTTCATAACTTCCATTCAATTTTGCAAGAGCTTTTTCAATCAATGGAACCTTGAAAGAAAAAAAGGATTGTATTAGAAATATAAAAAAAAAGAAAAAGAAAATATTTACCCAAAGTTGTTTTCGATGTGCTTGAGAATATGCTAAACGTTGACTTGATGTACAAGGAAAACGATCATCAACAATCACTTGTGTCCATTCACCATCTGAAATTTCATTTAAACAATCTTTTTTATTTTCAAATCAAAATTCTTTTACTTTACCTTTGCATAATCGAACATAATAAAATCCTTGTGGATTATATTCTTTTGTAATCAAAACCTTAAAAAAAATCATTTTCGAAAACATTTTCAAAATGTTCAAATAAAACTAATGTTTACTTTCATTAAATATTCCGCTTCTTCAGCAAGAACACTCAATGCAGTAATAAACCAACAATCACCTAATGCACCTTGAACAACATCATTTGGTTTTGGATTTCGAAAAACTGTCCATTGAGAAGTGGAATTTTGATTCCATTCCGATGGATTAATTTGATCAGGTCTTAACCATTGAATGTGACGATTTAAAGATAAATTTGTTTGATGTTCAGGTAGAACAGCTAAAGTTGATTTCGAAAATGAACATCCATTAATATAAATCGATTGAGATGAAGCAGGAAATGTTTGATCATGAAATCGTCGATGTGTTAATAATAAATTTTGATAAAGTTTTTCGACATGTTTTAAAACAAAATGTTCATCGAATTGACGTTTTTGTGTAATGAGAACACTTCGACGATAATGATTTGGTTTATCTCGATGATTCATTGGAATATAAACATGAAATTTATTTGTTTGACAATTGGAACATGATTGATTTTCAGTTGAATTAGTTGTGTCACATAATTGACATTGCCATTGAGAATCTTCTTGAAAATTCAAATTATTTTCATTTAATGAACATGATCGATGACGAAAATCAACTGAATCTTCTTTTTCGAAATTAGATAAATCAAGTTTTGATGTTCCACTAAAGTTGTTTCGTGCAAAATCTTCTCTAAATGAAACAAAAAAGAAAAGATTGAATAAAATATCTCTTTCGAGTGTTTTGTTTTTGTTAAACATTTGATGATGTTCTATTACGAATAAATGAGGTGAACAATACGACCATTTTATCTATACATTATGCATATGTCGTTTGACATGAATATCGCCTACATCAATAATTCCTCGCTTAAAGGTATATTATACGTTCATTTAATTGTGATTATGATCGATGTGAAAGAAAAGAGAAAAAAAGTGCATATCAATCAACAAAATTGAACAATTTTTCTTTTTCACATTAGATCATTTAAATACAAAATTATCACAAATTTGTCTCCGTTTTTTTCTTCTCTTACTGATTTATTTACCTATTAATTATCAATCAAAGTTTTGTTATTCTCATAAATTACCTGAGAGTTTGTTCATTTTCATTTGATTTTTTGTAATTGAAAATGGATTTAAGACGTTTCATTGAATCAAAGATCTAAAAGAAAAGAAATGAATAATCAAATCCATTCGTGATATACTCCAAAAAGTTTTTTCGTTTTTCTTTTTCGTTCCTCTTCATCTGTATTTTATGATTCATTCTTCAAACAAATCAAATAAACCTTGAATAAAAAAAAACGAAGTTATTTCCAATACAAAACTTTTCAAATTCATTTCAAGGGTTTTTTTTTCATTTTTCCTTGATGAACACAAGATATACTTAGCCTTCTTATAAAAGAATAATTGAAAACTGTGATTAGAAAACATCTTGTCCTTGAGATCGAATTCGATTTTGTTCTTCATTTCTTTTTTCTCTCTAATCGTTTTTTCATTTTAAGTAAATGATCAAATAAAACAATTTGATCGATTATTAAATATTCCCTTTTTTTTCTTTCTTTAGTTTAGACCTGAGTAATATTATTATGATATAAAAAAATAGAAAAGGAATGATTTTGTTTTTTTCCTCTAAATTCAATCAAATTAGGATTTTTCATCTAATTTCGATTCATTTGTTGCTGTACGTTTCATTGCTTCTTTTTTGTTGAATTCGAAGGTTCATTTGCAATTGATTTTTCACTTTAATATGATGAGTTACTGTTCGTTCGATTCATTCGACGTGATTTTGATGTTTTTTTGCAAAGAATTGCAATTCCGATTGTAATGAAAAGCAAAACAAAGGTACCTATTCCAACAAAAGTCCAAATCGAGTTGTTTTTCTTGTTCAGTTTCTTCTTCTTCTTCTTTGTATCAGATTGTTTCGTATTCTTTTTGTTTGTTTTCAATGAATCGATATTATTCGTATCGTTCTTAAGTGTAATTGCCATAGTATTAGTCGAAATTGATGTCAAATAAAGATAATTTTCTTGAGTTTTATTGATATGAACCATCATCTTTTGAATAATTTCATCTAATCGTTGAGATGATGGAGTTTGAGTTGCACTAACCTTTGAAAATAAAGAAGACAAATTAGATTTTGTTTTGGAAAGAAAAGAATTAACTTCATAGAAACATTTGGGATTTATTTGTTGATCATCAATTTGAATTGATTGACACGAATTCTTATTGAAATCTTTGGATTTCAAATGAAAAGTAAATTTACAAATCATTGGTCGATTAACAAATTTTAAATAAAATTCGAAACTGTTGTTGATATTTGAGAAATTATTCCAATGAATTTTATTGAAAACTAAATCCATTTCTTGTATTTTATCGAAAAATTTCAATTTGATTGGATCATTTTTCTTTTTTTCTCCATAATCTGTTTGAACAAATGGCCATTCAACACCATTTGTATCTTTATCTTTCGATGGTTTTTCTCGACTAAGATGTCCCTTCATTTTAAATCCATTTTTTTCACATTCAATTGATGTTTTTTCAAAATTGATAATTTGAACTTGATCAATTTCATGTTGAAAAATCTTTTTATGATTTTGACATTTGAAATTGAAACTTAATTCATCAAAAGTATTCACTTTACGAATTATTTCGATTTCCTTACTATTACATTCAATTATTAAATAACTTTTTTTTATTAAAAAATCAATTCTATCGATCATTTTATCCCAATCATTTTTACAAATGATCAAATCAATTAAACTGAAAATTAGTATTTTACATAACATTTATTCAGAACACAAAGAGCGCGTTTTATTTCCATTTTAAAGATTCTTTTAAGAGAGTATTTGATTATTAATTTAGAATTTATTCTCAAATTTATAGAATATCTTTAATAAATCACCAAGTCATTGTAAAAGACCAATATTTGACTTACTTTCAGCTCAGATAGACAAACTTTCTTGAAATCCACGTAGAAATTTTGTTAAAATGCTCATTTAACAGTTCAAAATGACTAAAATATGCTTTTAACGAGTCTTTAAAATGTTTATACGCATGAATATTCAAGTTTTCTTCGTGATAATCGGTCATTCTGCTCGATTTAACACGTTAATACCTTCAAAGTTATGGAAGTGAATGAATTTTAACGAGCATCAACTGTTGAAACATCATTGTGGTAAAGTAACATCGAAGTTTATTTATTAATTCGTAGAAACAATTCATCAATCTATAAACCAACCAATGTCATATGAAATACCTGAAAAATCAGGTAATATGCCAAATATTCACTATATACAATAACTTCTTACTATTTTCAATTCTTTTTTTTTCTTCTGCCAACGAATATCATACCGACATAATTCATATTCTCGATGAATCTTGATGTATTGAAAAGACTGCTCATTTCTTTTGTTTTCGTTCAAATCGAACATTCATATTTACGTTCATTTGATAATACTTTCTTTTCAGGTATAACTAATGTAATATATATCACACATCTTGTCAATTCACGGTCAAACACAGATCTTATTCAAACATGATCGTTCAAAAAAAAAATAATTGACTCGATTCCAAAGATACCTAACATAAAGATGTTGAATAATACACTCAGGGTAAACAACAAAGCAAAGTACGACTAATTTTAGCTAAACGTCTCGAACATTTACCACATCCGATTCCATTGCAATAATACTATGAGAAAACGAGGCTTAGTTTTTACATCTGAAAATCATCTTTTCTATCTAATCAAAGAAAAGTATAGGTATTATGATAACACATTCTATATATATTTCTTCGTCAATCTTCTATCAAATTTACAATATTCATGCATATTATAGAGGTTTGTCAAGTCCGTGTATTTCCGCTTTACTTGCTGATAAACTTGAAAGAATGAGTAAAATAAATAATTCTCGATAACCATTTATTTAATCATATGCAAACGAATGTAAAAAAAGCATTGGGAAAAATCATGAAATTACTTAGATTTTTCATTTCCCTAATTTTTACTGAGAGAAAAAGATGAAGAGAATTCTTTACCAGAAGATATTTTCGGTAAACAAATCATGAAATTCATACACAGTATAATTCATATTTGGATTTTGAAATCTCGAATTTCCTCGCTAATTACAGATAATCTTTGTTTAAAAACAATATTACTAAATGATTATTAGATATTCGTATCAAACTTAGATCTTAACCATGTCAATATTATTATCAATATTTTCAGGATGAAAAGAGCATGATTGTGATATTAATCAACGTAATGCAATCATTTCTGAAGAAAATCAGTTGCCGTTGTGATAAGAAAAATATACCGAATTCATTCGTTCGATTATTTGATAATTAAGAGAACAATAAAACACGGTTACGCGTTTTTTTCTTCAATTGTTTATGGCACTAAATCCTGTGATAGTAAACCTAGTTTTTAATTTTGAAGCTATATAGTTCATTATCATTATTGTATTTCATCGTGACATTTATTATTGAAAAAATATTCATAGATTAATTGAATGCTACTGTCATCTTTTTTGCATTTTCAGTGCAAGATTCCTTTTCTCTCTGTCCATAAAGATCCATGTTTTACGTTATATGATTATATATGCGATTGTTTGTTTTTTTCTCGTCTAAAAATTGAAGTACTAATTATGTCTGTCATTATGTATATAAAATAGAATCAGAAACGAAATACTTCAACTTTTTTTAAAACATTGTTTCAATTAAAATCTGGATTTTGTCTATTGTCTTATAGACTGAAAACCATGAACAAAGCTGAAACGTGGGACTTTTGTGCACCAGAATACGAAACTCTTGCTGTACCAGTGACAGGTCCATGCATTACTAAATTGCTCGAACAAGTTTCTATTCTACCTGTCACGGTATCTACTGCTCAAACCATCAAAGCAATTGATATTGCCGGTGGAGCAGGATTTTTAAGTACATTACTTGGCGAAGCGTATTCTAAAGCAGGACTTCTCGAGAAAGTAACAATTTTATCAAGTGATTTTTCACCGAAAATGGTTGAATTTACCGAGCGTTCTTTTGCTTCTCACAATTGGCCCTCATCTCAATTCTACGCTCGTGTTCTTGATGCTACGAATCTTGTTGATGTTTCATCCAATCATTTTACGCACGCCTTCTGCACATTTGGCCTTATGATGATACCCGATGCTTCGAAAGCTCTCAACGAAATGCTTCGTGTTCTTCAACCATCTGGAACAGTCGCGATAACGACATGGCAAAAAGTTGGTTGGGTACCTATTGTGTCCGAATGCATTGCACGAGCAAAGATGTCATCGACTAAAGAAGAAAATTCTGTTCCAATTCTTCAAAGTGTACGTAACTGGGCCGATGTATCCTATGTTCAAAAAGTACTTGAAGATGCTGGTTTTGTCAATGTACAAGTAAATACTTTTGAGTCTCATTGGTCATTCGTGAATCATGATGACTGCGTAAAAAAACTGACAGAAGGTCGTTGGATCGCCCCATTTCTTAAAGAAACCAACATGACAGATGTACAACGAGATAAATATAACAAGGTAGTATATGACGTATTACTAGACATGGTTAACAAGCAACCCAATGAACCTTTCGATATACCAATGGTTGCTATTCTTGCTTATGGACAAAAACCGAAGGATTGATGTAGCGATAGAACTTTTACTAATTATTTGATGAACTCATATTTATTTAAAGCTTTTATAATGTCCAATAATCTGCTTAGAATTTTATTAATATATATACATATTCTCTATCTCGCGATTACTAACGCGTTTACTAGATGTTCATTGTATGAGTATATTAAGTAAAATTTTACACAAAAAACTGAATTTCTGTATTGCAGTATTTTCATGCTAATTTTGTCTGTCACACTGTTGTATAAGCTGTCACCAATGGTCCTCGCGGTTTTTTCGCATAAATAAATCGATGAACAGCAAGACGTTTGCGGTTCTCTCATCAGTATCGTACTATAGTTCATCCGTTGTGGAATCAATACCAAAACCATACTTCAAAATATACATTATTATAATAATCAGGATAAAACTTATGATGACAAGAATTGTAATATAAAATGCTGATTTTGAAATCATTTATGACATCCAAATTTTTGTCCCAATGATTTAACAATGGTGGTTCGAATAATTCATGCCAAAACATTCATATTTATAATTGCCTAATAATGGTCGACAAGCGCCATTCTTCGAGCAAATTGTTTGATGTATGTCATAGTAATTTTTCATTGGTTCACAATGAGCATTCTGCCAACTATCTGGACGTATGGAAATTAATGAACGATCTAATGTCTCACTACATACACCCATTGTATCAAAAGAAAAACGAAGGATCAGATTTATCGGTTATATAAAGTACAACAACAAATAAATGATGTACAACGCCGTAGATTTATTTCACAACAGATGCGAGTAAAACCAGATGAATAGGTACAAATATATCCATCAGGGTCAGTATTATTACTGGCACAGCTGGAATGATTTTGACAAAGATTCTTCTCATTGTATGCTTCATTCGAAATACTACAATGAGAGTATCAATACATGATGAACTGCTGGAAGTTTCAGGAACGAAGCGTATTTGAGCTTCTTTTTCTGAATTAAATAATGAACAGATCAATAGTGCTAGAGAATCTAGAATCGATGAGCTGCCTAGAAATGACATTGGTTGATGATGCTATTGAAATTAGAATAGGGAAATTTTCTGATATTGTTAGTTCTTATTGCATTTGCTGAAGATACTGATACCATTGTCGATATGATCTGTAGCGTAGTTGTTAATATTGATTCTGATAGTTCTACATACCTTGTTGTTGTTAGGTCATGTTTTTCTTGCTGCCCATACCTTGGTCTTTACATGTAAAAAGAAACAATATGCAGGTCTTCACGCATCTGCATGAAAGTGAATCAATAGTTGAAGATACAGTTGAAAAGATTAAGGACTGCACTTTTATTCCCTTACTTATACTTTTTTTTTGTTGCGGAAGATATAATTATCACTCACTTGATGGACGAAATCCTAATGAGAAAATGGTGTGAACACGCAGTTCAATGTCATCAATGATTAAATCTATCCCATCGTCACCATAATCTTCTGGAATGATTCTCCAATACAAAGATCATCAACAATGACGCTGAATAGTATACTATTAGTCTCATCGAATATTATCATATATTCATTCGAATCAAAATAGTATATGCAAATCTCGAATGTATTGGGAGCATTTAACGAGTGATTGAAATCACTATTTGACTTTGATTCCGCTATTCATCTTCTTCGGAAAAGTATGATCGATTCAATTTTTGTCTCCATGCATATAATCAAATAGTCATCAGATCTTTGAAGAATAAAAACTCATCGGGAATGGATGGAGTATCGAATAAAATGATCAAGTTGTTACCTTCATCACATCATACTTTTATTTGCTCCTCTTTCAATTACTTTATGTCACATCTGTGCATGCTCTCGCATTGGAAGATGGCTAAAATTATTTTACTTTCGAAAAGTAACCAAAATGTAGCGAATGTAAATGATACGCGCCTAATATCGCTGCTTCCATGCTCCTTGAAAAATCTTTCCCGAGTTTCTTCGCAAGTGGACAGATGAAAATAATATAATACCGGAAGAACAAACCAGCTTTCGGCCGGGCCACAACATGGCAGTACGGCTCGTTTCAATTATTGACCAAATTGGGCAAAGTCTGACAGTCAATACAGCTGCTGCAGGTTTATTTATCGATTTCAAAGCTGCTTTTAACCAGCTCTGATTCAATGGTCTCATGCTGAAACTCTCTCATTTGGAATGTCCTGTTTATTTGATGGCTTGGATCAAAGCCTATCTCTCGGAGAGAACAGCGTGCATCACAATCAATGATACAGTATCGGACATCTTTGCTCTTCATAAACGTGTGCCGCAGGGGTCCTCTGTAGGACCTGTGATCTTTATATTGTACCACCACGACATACTATATGGTATTTCCAATTTGCATTGGAAGCATCTCTTTGCAGATGACCTTGCAATCGTTGTGTCTTCTTCTGCGACATGGTCATCCTACAGATTATTTAATGCCTGCATAAGATCACATTATCAATCGTTACTAAACATTTATCCAATTCTTTCTAATTCTAAACAAAAAGGCATTGAAGCCTTTAATAGACAAACGTTTAGACTCATACATCATTGGTTTGATGCAACAAACGATGAAATTTGTAATCTACCTAAATTTAAATCAGTAGAAAAACAATCGAAAATGCACTTCACTAAACTTATTCCAAACATTATTGCAACAAATCCATCTACAATAGCTGACTATCTTCGTCAGCATAGATTGTATTTGTTGTATATATATATGAATAGTACAACAATCATAGTCTTCTAAAAGAAAAAAGAACAATCGTAAGTCAAGGAAGGACTAGTGATAGGATCCTGAACTTGTTTACTGTAGACCAAGTGTCTTTATTTGATCATGTGTTGTGCCATTAAATTCTTTTATCTACTTTTCCCTAAATGTTTATTTACTCTTTTTCTTTGACATCTGATTATATCTTTGATCTTTCACGTGTATTTACTACCTTTTTTGTCTCTTTTATGGTCTTACCTGTAGATGATCTGTAACCTTGTATTTATATCAGGAAGAATTGAAATATTCTTGCTTCCTTTCCTCCTCCTTATGCTCATTATTTCTCTACTTCCTCTTATATTAATATATTGTTGTATTGCATTTACTGTCGTGGTCTAGTGTACTTGATCTCTTTCTGTAAAATTTAATTCTATCTGTAGTGTAATATATACATGGTTTTCTCTTTTCTTTTTATTTTTATGTACAACATCTGCCTCAGGAACGTTTTCGTTCAAGGTATCGAAGTTGAGGACATGTCATGCCACGCTCCTCTCTGAATTAATTAAATAAAAGCATTAAAATATATATAATCAAATGATATTGACATTAAAATGAAGTCAAATTCTTCTGGAGAGAGAAACAAATATTTTATAAAAATAGAATAAAATCTGTCACTCGAATGAATCTTTTCATCTGAAATTACTAATAACATCTATAAAATTCTTTGCTTCAGACAGATTTCATAATTTATTTCTTTATCTAACGATTTACTTCAACTAAGAAATGTCGTTAACAATACTCGGTAATGAAATCATCGTATATACAGGTTCTGTATTTCTTGCAATAGGAATCTTTGGTAATATTGGAAATATTTATATATTTTCACGTCTTTCAACGTATCGTCGAACACCATGTATATTTTACTATTTGATTGCTTCAATGTGTAACTTACATGTAATGCTTTTTCAATTAATTCCACTTATCATAACATCAAATTATAATTTTGATTTATCTCGAACATCAATTGTTTGGTGTAAAATGCGAACATATTTTACTACCTCCATAACTCCCATATCATTCACATGTGTTTGTTTAGCAACAATTGATCAGTTTTTTGCAACATCACAAAATGATCGCATTCGTCGTTTCAGTCACATCAAAATAGCATATCGATGTGTTGTAATAACGACAATTTTCTGGTTAATCCATGGAATATCTGGTGCAGTATTTTATTCAAATATATCAGGTTGGTGTACATCGACGAATGCAATTTTTAATACATATGCAACAATATATGTTTCTGTTATTGTTTGTCTTCTTCCTATAACTGTTCAAAGCATATTCGGATGGTTAGTTTATCGAAATCTTCGTCAAACAATCATTCTTGCACGAGAACAAGCTGATCGGCAAGCAACACGAATGATATTGATGGGAGTTCTGCTTGTTCTCATAAGTATAAGTCCTTATGGAGCAATTAGTATATATCTTTTAACTACAGCGAATATACAAAAAGATGTAAATCAACTAACAAAAGAATATTTCGCCATAACAATCGCTCTTTTAATCACTTATATGTATTTTATTGTAAGATTTTTAAATTCATTTGATTAAAATTGATATTTCCATTTAGGGAAGTTTTTATATATTTGTTTTCGCATCGCCTCGCTTTCGTCAATCAGTTCGAAGACAAATATTTTGGCGGTTTAAATCAAATAACATTCGTCCGACTTAAAATATTCAAAACAAAGCTGGATGTTTTCATTTTGTCACATAAATCATTTACCTATTGTAACAATTCAAATGATTGTATACCTTCTCTCTTCTTCTGCTTCTTCTTGTTGGTATTGATGGTTAGTATTTCTCAATACATTCGTTTGTGCGATGGATTTCAATTCTTCAGCAATACATTACCGAAAGGTGAAAATCATGTAAGTATCATGGCACAATCTTTGATCTCGGACTGAGTTTTTCCTCAGAAAATTAAATATTTTCTTCTGTGTAATTTGCTGTTTAAATAAATATCCAAAGTATCTTCTTGATTTACGGAAGTTTCTATTTCAAATTTCTCAAAACCAAGAATTTTTACATGATCAAGTTAGTACATATAGGTCAACATTCTAAGTATTCTTTCACTCAAACAACGAGTAGTGATCAAGAACTGGAAGAAGTTTGAAAAGAAAACTAGAACAAAGATGCTGATAACCCGAAAATAAAGTTGTGACAAAGAACAAAATTGGTTTGACTTTTAAGAATTATTTCCGGACTATGACTACATCTTTTCTATTTTCAGAATCACCTTTTTAGGTCATATCAAACTACGTTTAGAATCTATTTATCAATTAATATAATAGTTCATGGACTGGAATTATTGACTGGAATCTGATCGATTATAATAGATCCATCCGTATGAAGATTTTGTTAGTTTTATCATTTATATTTTCTTGTTTATTCAAACAGATAACACAGAAGTGCTAATAAAATTACTTTTTAAACTTAAACACTTGCACGACAAACTTGTTTATCAAATTGTCGGATATCATAAAGAAACGAATCCATTTCATACATATCAGCAGGTGGTGTGTAATGAAAACTAATTGTTGTTTCACTAAATGCTTCGTAACCCTATGAAAAGAAAAAAGTCAATTAATCGAATAAAATAAGAAATGACTTTACAAATAAATTATGATGATACGGTCGAAAATGAATCCATTCTCTTTTGGTTTTATTCGTAGGTCCTTTAAAATGAACACGAAACGTTAATGGATGAAATCTTTCTCTTCCATGTTGATCAATTGTATCTCCAACATATCGATAATGTTGCGTTTGATCTGATGGTGCAAAATCAAATATTCTTTGTAAACATAATCCCACCATCATATCTTCCATCGATGAATTACACATTGAATATTTGACATCATCATTCATATATGAACTGAATAATTGAAGACCATCACGTGTTATCACATATCCACTTCCACCACTTACATAATAATCTTCACGAAAACGATATCCATATAGAATTGGCTTTGGATATCGTCTAGAAAGTATTTCATAAACAAGACAAAGAACTTTGTTTTTGTCTTACTTGATTGTACTAATCAAAAATCGAAGGAGATTTTCTACAATGATATAAGTATCATCATCAGCTTTCAGATACCAATCATAATTGGGATAAATTTCATTGAAAAATAGAAGCGATTGTCGAACTTTATCTGCTAAATGTGAATAAGTTTCATTGGGTAATGTTGGAATATATTGAATAGGCAATTGATTCTCTTCAAGATGTATTTGTTCATCATCAAATATTGTATACGAACGCGAAGAATTCAATCGAGTGATTAAAACAAATCGTCCACATCGATGGCCCCATGTTTCATATGTTGCTCGTGCACGTGTTTCTAAATTTTCTTGATTTGTTAAGACAAAACAGAATAATCGCGAACGATAATATTCAACTAAACTAATTGAATTTATCAATTTGAAAGAGTACGTTGAAAAGAAGAAGAAAAACTCACGTAAACAATTTCCTTTCTTTTGAATTGAATAGAAAATACAAACGCAACTAAGAATTCCAAAGACAAGTACCAATCGTCGTAATCGACTTTTTCGATAATAAAGTATTGAGAATAATAATCGTTTCAAATGTAAACGAAATGACATGAAAGTGTTTGATCGAATGCGAACTTTTGTCACCGAACAACGTCATGATATGCTTCGATGATTTTTCGTTCGAAGTCACAGCCTCTATGAGATTCACACGTTTATTCTGATGCCGAAATAAACAATGACTTTTCTTTTCGAAAAATGAGCAAATTAAAGAAATTGTTTTCAGAGAATTTTCTTTTCTTTGACATGAATTATTCAAGAAAAACGTAGGCAAAAGTAATGAATTGTCAAGAAGAATTTTATTAATACGAGCGTTTCTTGAAAAACAGCTTTGAAGCTAATGGCAGCAAACTTATTTTAAATTATTCGTGCCAAGTAAGTCTCGTTTGACATTTCATATGGAAGTTTTCTACTGAATGACAGCGATTGACTATGTGCGACATCTATCGTCGAATGAATTTTCGTATAAAATTATTTTTCTTTTCTTTTTCAAAACAAAACAAATGTTTTCAAGAACGAAAAAATGATTTTACATTTGAAAATAAAACCATTGCTTAATATCTCATTTTGTATTAGTAATTATACTTGTTCCGTTCTTCGTGTTATTTGAGTTATGCAAACAAATATATCAATATTGTAATTTTGGCATTTTTATTTTTTTTTTTTGATAAAATAACTCTCTCCAAATGTCCACTCCAGCAGAAAATGAGGCTGATAATGAACACCAGAAAAGCAAAAAGCCAGCAGGTTGGTTTTCAATTCAAAACAAAAAACGGATTATGAATCATTTCTTGTTGTTTTAGATACCGCTTTTAAACAACAGAGACTCCCGGCATGGCAACCAATTATCACAGCAAATACAGCATTACCTGTGTTTTTAGCAATTGGTTTGATATTCATTCCAATTGGTATTGTACTGGTCGTCACATCCGAACGAGTAAAAACGGTTTGAAAAGGAAGTTCATTGTGGAATTGTTTTCTGTGTCATAGGTTTTGGAGTTCGATTTGGATTATACTGATACGAATTGTATGAGCTTGAATGTATCAAATACAACGTGTGCAGATGTTTTAGCACAAGCAAATTATACAGGTGCAAGTTGTACATGTCAGAAGTCTTTTACTTTAGACAAAGATTTTGAAGTAAAAGGATTTTTTTCAAAGAAATTTTCCATATTGATTTTGTTTAAGGGTGATGTATATTTTTACTATGGTTTGGTAAATTATTATCAAAATCATCGTCGATATGTTCGATCTCGAGATGATAATCAGTTATTAGGAAAGAAAGACGCTGTTTCATCTGATTGTCAGCCATTCCAAAAATCAGTCAATGGTACAGACATTACACCATGTGGTGCAATTGCAAATTCCAAATTCAATGGTAAATCATCTGACAAAACAATTCTCTCAATCGAATTGTTCTTTAGATTCATTGGTCTTATCTATGAATGGGAATATCAGTGTACCACTCTTGAGAACAGGAATTGCCTGGTCAACTGACAAAGCAGTCAAATTCAAAAATCCCGATAATCCTCAAAATTGTAAAACAAAATTGAGATTTGAAAAAATGAATTTTGATTTGACTTGAAATGTAGGGTTCGCGACAAATCCGCGACCACCAAATTGGCAACAAGATGCTTGGCATTTAGATACAAATCTGACTGATGATAATAATGGTTATCAAAACGAAGATTTTATCGTCTGGATGCGAACTGCTGCAATGCCAACATTTAGAAAATTATATCGAAAATTGAGTTTAACTGAATCAACCACGTTTCAAAATGGTTTACCCAAAGGAACTTATGTTCTTACAATAACTTATAGTAAATCTCTTTTCAGAGTATTTTGATGTGAATTTAAAAGATTTTCTCCTATGAAAAGATTATCCGGTTACAAGTTTTTCTGGACGAAAACAATTTATCATTAGTACGACATCATGGATGGGCGGAAAAAATCCGTTTCTCGGTTGGGCCTATATCACTGTTGGCATCATTTGTATGATCACATTTGTCGTATTCCTTGTTCTTCATAAAACATGGAAAACGTAAGTTTCGGATTGATTTTTCTTCGTAAAAAGTTTGATGAGAATCGAAAAACTCGAGTAAATAATTTGAGATTTTGTTCAGTGATGATCCATTAGCATATCAAATGCGTTCAATGCAGATGAATCAAAGAACAGCAGCTGGTTATAATTGAAAAGAATTTGTCGTTAGTTTTCATTTGCTCTCGCTCAGCTCAGCTCGATGCTCCGTTTTTTCATCATTTGTCTTCGATCATATCTTTCTTTCGTTTTTCTTTCAGACAAAATCGTCCACCAATGTAAATTAATCAAAATCCAAACAAATACTCCTCGTGATATTATACACTCGCGTTCTATCTATCATATTTTCGTTTCTTTTGTCTCCTTTCAATACAAAAACTCAACATCAAAGAACAGACGCTATTTGTAATTGCTTTTTTTCCTTTCAAATCAATAAAACATTTCTTTTTCGTCATTGTTAATCGCATCTTCTACAATTCTTCGAAGAACAAAAACGTCATTATCGATTACATCAAATTGAGGAGCTTCGAACAATGAACGAAAGCGACATCTATTGATTTCATATATTTTAGTTTATTTTTTGAAAATGAAAACGAAAACTGAAAACTTTTCAAATAAAATTATTTTAAAATTTGAAGAAATTTTCTTGCTTTATTTCCTGATGACAAATTTCTTTACCGAAAGAGATAAATTCGCTGTTCTGTTCTTTTGTGATTGTTAATCAATCAATCAATCAAACTCTGATTAAACACTATTGATATATTTTCTAGATTGACATTACAAATGTCTCGAATTCCCCCTGTTATTCCATTAGATGGAAGGACTCTCAGGTGAGAAAAAGAAATTATCGAGAAAAATCATTAGTTTTTCTTTGAATAGTTCATCCCCTGAACGTTCATCAGTAGATGAAATCAATCCAAAACCAGTTGTTTCGTCATCGATCACATTTCCAGCAAGTAACCAACAACATCAGAATGGTTTATCATCGAATCTCTCTGGTACAATCGATTCTTTCAATAACAAAACTTCAAGTAAGTGACGAAAATATCTCCATAAATTAATATCTATCGAAAATTTGATTTTCTCTCAAAAAGTCATTTTTGTTTAGCTGTTGGAAATGTTCCTAGTGGTGAAATGTCGAGCATGAGTATCTCGATTGACTCTTGTTCATCTCCAACCGATGATTTATCATTGGAACAAAAGAGTCATTTATTACGTGAATCAGCTGATCAAGTGAATTTATCTTCGTTAAAATATCTTCAAACGAAACAACGTCAGATAAATCATCGACGGAATAAAAGTGAACCAGTTATTCTCGGAAATCTTGCTGAACTTTCGTCTTTAACTTCTTATCCAAATACATCAACAAAAGCCATGCTTGAATCGTCATCGACAAGCACGACCAGTAACGAATCAGCATTGAGTGCAAATGCTTCGTTTGAAAAGAAAAAGAAAAGTTCAAACAAGAAAACTTCACCAATTTTAACTGATAATAAACAAATATTAAATCAAGAGAGACCTTCGACATCGTCGATTACAAAGAAGAAGAAACCTTGGTATAATGTAAGTGAAATTTTCGATATAAATAAGAGAAAAGTTCGTATTTACGGTTGAATGAGTCAACAACGAGAAATGGCAATGAAATCGACATTGATATCCTTTCCCTCCTCCATTTCTGCATATCTGCATAGTTGAAAAATATTTTTCTCGAAATAAGAAAGATTCTTTTCATTTTCGAACGAAATCTCTTTGAATGGAGACATTGAAATCACTTTTTCGTTCGAATAGTTTTCGAAATTCGCATTCGATTGATGAACATTTCATCAAACAAACATTTTCATTCGATAATCTGAAAAGCTATTTTTCCACTCATCCATCATCAACTTCTTTTCCACATCAATCTCCATCAAAATCGATTCAATTAGAAACCTATTCAGGTTCATCTTTTCCAATATTAAATCAACAAACAAATATTGTTGCAAATGCATCAGAATCCATTTCAAATGTTCAAATATTTACTTTGAAAAATCAATATCGAAGACATTCATGGACTGGCAAAGACAATCCTCACGAAATCGTTTTACCAATTCGAAGAACAAAATCTCAAACAAGAAAAGTTCGAATTCGAAGAAAGAATTTTGTAAATGAACCGTTGAAATCTGTTACTTATCCTTTAACAAAATCTTTTCGTAATCAATCTCAACGCCATTCATTAACACCAACACGTTCAGAAAAATCAACAGCTTTTCTAACTGCTACTTCATTATTGAAATTTTGGGTAGATAGTTTAGATAATTAAATAATCAGCGAAATTTACTTTTCTTTCTTCATGATGATTCATCGAATGTTTTCTTTTAGCCATTTCAATCGACATATCGACAAAGAAATGAAGATTTTCGAAAACTATTCAAAGATTTACCAGCGGACGAGCGACTAATTGTTGGTAAGTGAATTTTCACATGAGAAATCAAATAATTAGAATGCGATTTATAGATTATTCATGTGCATGGCAAAAAGAAATTCTCACACAAGGTCGAATGTACATATCACAAAATTATTTATGTTTCCATGCAAATTTTCTCAAATGGGAAACGAGTTTATGTTTAAAATTTCAAGATATTATCGGAATAACACGTGAAAAAACAGCAAAAGTCATTCCAAATGCCATTGAAGTTCGAACGAATAAAAGTGAAAAANTTAGAATGCGATTTATAGATTATTCATGTGCATGGCAAAAAGAAATTCTCACACAAGGTCGAATGTACATATCACAAAATTATTTATGTTTCCATGCAAATTTTCTCAAATGGGAAACGAGTTTATGTTTAAAATTTCAAGATATTATCGGAATAACACGTGAAAAAACAGCAAAAGTCATTCCAAATGCCATTGAAGTTCGAACGAATAAAAGTGAAAAATATTTCTTCGCAAGTTTTGCGACACGTGATAAAAGTTATGCAATGATATTTCGAATCTGGCAAACAATATTTGCTGAACAAGTTTGTCATTGAGAAATATTTGATGAAAACAAAGAATTTCTTGTTTTTAGCCAATCTCAACTCAACAAATGTGGAATATGATTCGTGAAAGTTATGGAAATGATTTAGATATGATTACAGATGAAGAAGATTCATATAACAAAACAACATCAACAAACTCAACACCTGATAAAACTTCACTGAGACAACAAGAGGTTCGTTGAAGAGGAATTTTTATCTTTGTCAATAGATAAAAGTTTATTTTGTTCTTAAAGCGTGATATATCAAATTCAATAAGTTCGACAAATAGTAAAAAAGAAGAAATAGACGATCATTCAAGTATTTCATCGAGAAGTGAAAGACCAACAGATGATGATATCGATGTTGATGATGATCTTGGAATAATTCCAATTGGAGAAGAAGCCAATACAAATACATTAATTCGTCAACCTCCATCTACTCTCAATAAACAAGAAAATCCTTTATTAACAATGACAGATCATTCTGGTTTGTTTATTTTCATAAATACAATTGATTTTATTGCTTTTTTTCTCCTTGTAAATTAGAACAAACATATTTAAATACGTGTCCATGTCAATCCCATTTAGCAACAAAATTAATCGATCGATCATATTCAACATCAGTTCAACGTTTATTTGAATATATATTTGATGATCGAGATTTTCTCGCTGCTTATCACGCTTCACGTCGAATAAAAGGTTTAGTTTTGTCTCTTGTTTTCTCTTTTCATCGTTTTTTTGTCTTCGTTTCGATAGATTTTCAAACGGGAGAATGGATCGTCAATCCTGAAACAGGAAAAAGAGAACGTCTTTGTACTTACAAAGTTGGTGTTGCTGCTGTGTTCGGTGCAACAACGATCTGTTCCAATGAAAAACAAGTCAATTTGAAATTTTTCTCATGTTTTCTTTGACTTTTCACATTCAATTTTAGATTATCGATTGTGAATCATCCAAATCTCATTACATAATCGATACGGAAGTTCGAAATGAAGGAATTCGATATGCGGACACATTCTTCATTGCATCTCGTTATTGTCTTATTCAAACAGGTCCAAACAAATCCCATTTGAAAGTCACGTGTGAAGTTCGATATGTAAAAAGTGTTATGGTGATCATCAAATGTAAGTGAAAATCCCTTTTCTCGAGGAAAACATTTGATTGGTGAATATGAAAATACTTTCTAATCACGCCATTCTGTCAGATTTTTGATAGGAAAACATTTTTTTTCTTCTTTCTTTAAACGATGGGGTGATGTTCGCAGATAGAAGAACAGAAAACACCATGCGATCGTGTTCGAGGTTGATTAAAAAACAAGTTTTCTCTTTTTATTCAGCTTTTGTCGAAAAGAATGCCATGGCTGCTCTTCAGGATTCATTTACAGATTTGAGTAAGTTGAATTCGATTGAATTATGCCTAAGCTCATGTGTTTCGCTCATTTTGCTTTTCTTTTGTTTTTCAAAGACAATCGAATCGAATTATCAACATCAACAGGTACCTTTTCTTGCTCTTTCCAATCATTTTCTTCGAGAAAGAAAAAGTGTTTCTTTTTTTTTCTCATTGAATTTAGTGAAACGAATTGAACATGAAACATCTGGTCGACAAAGATCATCAAGTCGAACGAATCATTATGAGAAAGAGAAGAGTAACTCATTACCGAAGAAGAAACATCCGAGAAAACAACAAATTAATGAAAATGATTCTTCAATTGATAATTCCACATCTGTTCGATATCGAAATGTCACTCGTCAAGAAGATCAACAACCGAATGATTCAAATTTATCTCAATCAACCGATTTGACTTCATCAACATGGTCAACAAAGAATTTCTTATTTCCATTTTGTATAATCATGTATGTTTATCAAACAAATCTTCTTCTTATCTTCTCTCTTTTCATTTAGAATGTTAATTTTACTTACTGTGAATATCTTTCTATGCGTTAAATTAAATGAAATCGATCGAATGACTGATCGTCTTGTACAAAACTATCCATTGTGGTCAAACGATTTCTCGTAAGAAGAAAAGACAAAATATGAAGAAAGGTTTTCATCATATTTGTTTAGATATCCGAAACAAGATAATGAATGGTCGATTTTATTAAAAAGACAAGAAGAATATTATCAAACGAAGTTAAATGGACTTCATTCGGTTTTATTATCAACTCACAATGCATTGAAAAATGTTTGTTCGGTATTTGAAAGAAAAATTCGATAGAAATCTTTCATTTTAGGTAACCGATGCTCTTAATGAATTATCGAAATTGAGTAGTGGATCGAAATAACAAGTCATCGATGAACAATCGTCTTCGCTCATCATAATTCTCTCTTGGTGCTCATCTTTTCTTTTCAAAAACCGGTGTTTTTTTATTTCTAAAGCGAATATTCCTTCTTTTTTCTGTAAATTTTTCTTCCTTATTATTATTTATTAACTCAATCGTGAGATATTGTGATTTCTCTTTCTTTTTAAGTAAAACCTTCAAGCTAATCAGAATATCTGTTAGGGAAAAAAACTGCCATGGAAATGGTTTAGTTCAATAAATTCTTTTATTTGATAAAATACGAACATTTCTTGTGAATTTACGACAATGGTTTCTGTGCTTTCAATACTTCACATGGCCACACTCCGAACATCATTTTCATTCCTGCCCATGTTCGTTCTATTGAATTCCATTGCAATTCTTTTAATGTATTTTCATAAAGAGAAACATTTCCTTTCAAATCCACAATTAACAACCAACCAGCAGGTTTTGTTACTCGTGCACATTCCCTAATTGCTCGTTGTTTTTCATTGGTATTCGAAACATTATGAATTGCCAATGATGAAGTAACTAATGTAAAAGAATTATCTTTGAATGGTAAATCAAGGAAACTCCCGGTGTTTAATACAACATAATCTAACAAATTTGCAGACGCGAGATTTCGACATGTTGATAATGGCGAATTCGATGTTTGATCAAAACTATTGAAAATATCGATCCCATACGCTGGTGATCTATTTTTCATCAATTTACTTTTATTTATCAATTAGAAAGAAAACTTACATTGGTTGATTAGTTTTTGTTCCGATTTCCTTTTTCAAACGGGCTAATATTAAAAGAACCATTCCTCTTCCACATCCACAATCTAAACACGGTTCGTGGAGATCGATTTCTTTGACTAAATCACGAAGAAGTGCCTCCCATACTTGAAATTTACCGCTTAATGTCGCGTAAAGATAAAGTGGAGCAGTGAATGATGATGCAATTAATCCCAAAGGAGCATCGATGCCGTAGCTCGGGCTTGATGGAATTGTAGGTGGATCGGATTGCTGACGGAAAACTTCAACATGATCAAGGGAAATCGATGAGACGCGATACAAAGACATGTGCTTGAAAAGAATTTCTTCTTATCTGCAGTTACGTACAAAACTAATACGCACGTGTTGTGTCACTATAGAAGAAAAATACACAATTTTGTACCATTCTTTTTTTATCATCAATGAAATGAAACAAGATCGTCTTCTTTCTTTTAATTGTTTGTAGACATACTCTATGAAATAAAATGATTTTTTTCTAATAAATACAAGTTCAATTAATATTTTATCTGCACGCACGTTGATGCCCGAAAGGTATTGTGCTAAACCGTCATAACTGTATGAAATCAATTGAAATCAGCAAGAAACAAACAAGGCACTGATGTGAGTGAATTATTCGCTCGTTCAGGGTAGGAATTAATGAAATAGATTATCATTATTTTACCAGAGAACAACAGTATGAAGTTCTGTACTTCTCAAGAAAAAGAAGCCATGATCGACCAGATCATTTCAACTTCGACATTTATTTATAGAAAAATATAAAAAAACAGATCACTGCAAAATGTCGATGTCGAAGGAAAAATAGTCAAAAAGTTGACAAATCATATTGTATGATTGAATGTAGATCGACATCTATAATAGTACTTGCTTCAGTTTCTGATTGGAGTCGATTTCTTCTGGAAGGTGGAGCTGATTCATCTGTCATTTTCCGTGCTATACGGCTATGCATAGAAGCCACATCTAGATGACGCTTTAGCAGTCTTATTCAATTCTGTCTTCTCCGTTTTCGCCGATAGGTAACACCATTTGTTTATCAGTACACTTACAAAAAATACGAGTATGTAGAACTTCGATCCAAATATGCTTATGTTTTGTATTTACTAAAATTTAGTGTCACTGCATACTCCGCAAGATACAGCTTCTAGTAATCAAGTTGCGCCGGTTGGCAGGGATTCTCGAGCAATAAATAGAGAAAGTTCGGGTTCTCCACTTGATGAAAGTCAACAAACAGCAATCCCAACGAAAAAATTCAGTAACATTTCAATATTACCTCGAAAGACATCTGTTTTTCTTGTTGCTTTTTAGAGAAAAACGTAGATTTAAATGATCCTTGTCCTGAAGGACAAAAAGCATCTAAGTGGAAATACCCAAACTGGACCCTCAAAACAGTATATTTCAATGACAACAATCAAAGTCCAATGTCTCTTTCTTGCGAAGTTTGTCGATATACATTATAGTTCAGCACATTTCCTTCTATTCTATGGATATAATTATTTCTAGAAGCTAGGAATATTACGTTGGCTAGGTCTTAATCAAACTGGAGACCTGGAAATGTCATTGGGCACGAAAGGCAAGATGTACCGTTATCAATTTATTGAAAACGGGTCAAAGACAGACACTCTTGTTATTGAAGCAATCCATGAACCGGACCGCATGTAAGTCGAGAAGTGAAAATATAGAATCAATTTATACTAGTTAACTATTCAACATATGAAAACTGCGTTGTCTATGTCATTAGAGTCGTAGTCAAACAAGATTTCTATTTATAAGATTCGAAGTGTTTTCCATTCGGCATATGTTTTTCATAATACAGAGTTGTTATTTGTGATAATGCACTACAAATGGTGTGCCAATGATGAATCGATTCTGAATATCATGCATAAANAGAAGTGAAAATATAGAATCAATTTATACTAGTTAACTATTCAACATATGAAAACTGCGTTGTCTATGTCATTAGAGTCGTAGTCAAACAAGATTTCTATTTATAAGATTCGAAGTGTTTTCCATTCGGCATATGTTTTTCATAATACAGAGTTGTTATTTGTGATAATGCACTACAAATGGTGTGCCAATGATGAATCGATTCTGAATATCATGCATAAATTAAGATATTTCTTGTTTTAGTATTAAGTTCACTGTTTGTCGATCAAGCTGCGCACAAGTAAATGATGAACAATCTCAGATATCTTCTGATAATGAAAATTTGAGTGGCACGAATCGTAAAGGTATTTTATTAGTTACTGATTATGCTCGTTCTGAATTGAATACGTTATGAGTAGATAATTTCTCTATACAAATGAAATTGATTAATGTTACAAACGTCGATTTGCCTGGTTCGTCATCTTTTGAAAGTTTCAAATTGTCGCCTTTAAACTTTATTGGAGGTATATCAAGTCTTTTCTATACACCATCATTAAGATAAATAATCAATGTTTTCAGATTATCGACCAAATACTATTGGTCAAACTATTGGTCAAGCACCAACAGAAATTATAAATGAACGAAGTAAGTATCGAATTGTTAGGCTTTCTGTTTATTTGATATATATCGGCTGATAACGCAAATTATTATCAAACTCTTTCATACATAGATCTGGATACTAACCAATCAATTGATGATCTTATTGTCAGAAACTAAAGACTTTTCGCTTCGGTAAAAAGAATGATGCAGTCCATTAATTATTTTACTCATTATACACACCAAAACTCAACTGTCGAACAGTGGAATGCTTTTTTCTCTGGAACCGGTATTTTCTTATCCTTTGCTACGTTTGCTTCCGTCTAACTCCATTGCTTTGAAAGTTAATTTTTTAATCCAAAAAAATAAATCTGATACAGATTTTAGAAGTGTGTTTTTGTAAGTTCATATCATACTCAAATGAAGAAACAAATCTTGAGAAAAAGACAATTCTGAAACGCAATGAAGAAGTTTAATGAATCCGTGAATGCGTAACTTGTTTTCTTGAATCAAACCCATTTGAAAATGGAAAATCAAACAGAATGTGGGTGAGACAGAAAATCTAAATGGATGATTGATTATTTTTGAGTTTGACATGACTACACCCTCGATATCTTTGTTTTTTGTTTTCTTCGACAATTATTCATATTGATTTCAAAACAAAAATTAGCATTCAGACCAAATTAGACAAATATTTTGAGGTAGAAAGAAAAGAAAATCATATGATCATACGTTATTATATCCATGGGAAGATGAAAAATAAAAAAAACCATATGTGCGAGTATATCAATGATTGATTGTGACATGAATAAATATATATTTTGTCGTGTTGTTTTTTTTCTTCTTTCTCACCGTACCGATTGATAATAAATATGGTTGGGTAATCACAACTCACAGAATATTCTTTTTATGGATAAGAAATCTTCGGTTTCTTCTCGTCATTCAGCGAGTACATTATCTGACATTGCAACACTTCGTCGTCAATTGGATGCGATTGAACGATTTGAAAAACAAAATACTCATGAAAGTTCTCGATTAGATGAAATCAGAAAACAATGTGATGTTTTACAAAAAGAATCGATTGAAAGATTATCTTCGATTTCTCAAAAACAAATCAATGCTCAAGAACAATTACAATTCGTTTTAAAACGTACAAAAGAAATTAATCAAATGATGAAAGCTTTACAAGAAAGTGAATCAGTTGATGTTTGTTTTCTTATGGATTGTACAAATAGTATGCAGAAATTTATTATCGAAGTCAAAGATCGAATCTTTGAAACAATTCGATTGTTAAAATCTCGTTTTTCACATTTAAATATTCGTTTAGCATTTGTTGGTTATCGAGATTTAAATTTACCCGAAGAAAGACAATTTAGTATTTTAGATTTTACTGATGAAGACAAATTTCATTCATTTGTTTCCATGGTTAAATGTGAATATGGTGGCGATGCTTGTGAAGATGTTCTCGGTGGTTTACAAAAAACAGTTCATCTTCAATGGAATCAACCAGTAAGAATTTTAATTCATGTTGCTGATTGTCCTTCACATGGAAGACGTTATCACGATTTACCAGAACATAAAGATCATTATTTATCATCAGACAATGATGGAGCCATTGGACAAGAATTGTTTGATAAGTTTGTTCAATTAGATTTGAAATATTTCTTTGGACGATTAACATCACATACAGATAAAATGATGGAACAATTTATTCAATTTGGACAAAAACGAATTTCTATTGAAGAAATTAATTTAAAGAATTTTCAGAATTTATTGCCTTTTATTGTTGAAAGTATTTCTCGATCAATTTCGAAAACTGCTTCATCATTATTGAAAAGTCATTCAGCTGTAGAAAGTAATCTTCAAAATACGAAAACAAGTCGAATTTCTCGAATTAGTTTTGATTCGATTGAACCCGATTGGTTAAATATTCCAATGAAAAAAGTTCAAGTGATTAAATATCAATGTAATGATCAATTAGTTTGCGAACAAATTAATGAATCGACGAATATCAAAATTGCAGAAAAGCCTTTTGCAGAAGGAGCGATGAGATTGGCGTTTTATGGATTAATGCAAAATAAAGATAAATGGGAAAAGGTCGTTTTGAAAAAATATAAAAATATTCATAATAATATTGATATGAAAGAGAAATATTTAGAATTATTAGATTGTCAAACAATTGCTGATCATCTCGCTCAAGAATTCAACAAATTATCTCTTTCAACCAATGAATCAACATCAACAATAAAAAAAATCAAATTCATTATGACTAAATTAGTTTTCGATCCAGAAAGTGAAGGAAATGTTCACTTTTTCACCATTGAACGTTTTATCGATGGATCTTATAAGAAATTTTCAAACAATGCTGGTTATGTCAATCACGAAGATCCAGCTGTAACTCTCCAGGCATTTTCACATTGGACTTATGAACGAACAAATGGAAATATGATTGTTGTCGATCTACAAGGAATTGATATTGGAGATAATCAAACATATTTGTTGACAGATCCTTGTATTCATTCAACGGATTTAACAAGATTTGGAAGAACTAATTTGGGAAAACCTGGAATAAAAAGATTTTTTGAAACTCATGTTTGTAATTCGATCTGTCAAACGTTGAAATTGAAAATGATTGAAAATCAAAGTGTAACAAAAACTTCATCAAAATATGATTCAAATTTTATCGAGAAAAAATCTTCTATAATCAACAAATCGATTTCAAGTAAACATTCTTAAATCAATATTCATATAAACCAAGACTTCGAAATCTTTTTTCTAACGGAAAAACTAATTCTTAGTTGATTAGATTTATCTTTCACATTAACTCTTTCTTTTTCATTTCAAACAAATCTCAAATATTCTTTTTTTTATCTAAATTAACATCATTGATCGATTTTTTTAAATAAAACACAAGTATGTTCCTATTATCTCCCTATTTTTATCATGAAAAGACGAAAAACAAAAAACGCATGAATGATTTTTCAAGCGTGTCTCGCCTCTTTAATTAATTTTTTCAAATTTCAATCATATTTTTGTCGTGATAATTATTTTTGATAAAAACATTCGTTGTTTTTCTCTTCTTTGAAAAAAAACTGAAATGGAAAGAAGTCGTTCAACTGGCCGAAGAGCTTTATCGAACATCGCAGCACTTCGTCGACAATTAGATGCGATCGAACGAATTGAAAAGAAGAATCTTAATGAAATCAATCGTTTAAATCAAATTCAAAAGCAATGTGATCTTTTACAAAAAGAAACTGTCAGCAATTCATCGATCATTTCACAAAAACAACACGAGGTACAAAAATATAAAGAACATTTAGTTAAACGAACAAGTGAAATTCATGATATTATCAAAGAATTGAATAAAACTCAATCAGTTGATGTTTGTTTTCTCATTGATTGTACGAGTAGTATGCAGAAATATATTGATGAAGTTAAAGATCGAATATTCGAAACAATTCGATTATTAAAATCTCGTTTTCCACATTTAAATATTCGTTTAGCATTTGTTGGTTATCGAGATGTTGATTTACATCCTGATAAACAATTTAGTGTATCAGACTTTACAAATGAACAAGATTTCTATTCATTTCTTTCGACAATTAAATGTGAAAAGGGAGGAGATGCTTGTGAAGATGTTCTTGGTGGTTTATCCAAGTTAATTGAACTCAATTGGAAACAACCATTACGAGTAGTGATGCACATTGCAGATTGTCCATCTCATGGAAGACGTTATCATAATTTAGCGGATATTTGTGATGATTTTATTAAAAATGATAATGATGGATTAGTTGGATATAATTGTATTAAACAATTAATCGATTTACAAATAATGTACTTTTTTGGTCGATTAACACATCATACTGATAAAATGATTGAACAATTTACAAATTATTCACAAAATCGAATGACCATTGAACAAATTCGTCTGGAAAATGCCGAAAATTTATTACCATTTGCTGTTCACATTGTTTCTCAATCGATTGCAAAAGCAACAGCAACTGTTTTGAAACATTATTCATTAAATAAAGAAAATCCTTTGACTACACATTCAACAAATAAAAGTCAAAATCAACGTGAAATTATTTTGGATAAAAAACAACCTGATTGGTCAAATATTTTAATAAAAAAAGTTCAATTTCTCAAATATGAATGTAATGATCGATTACGTTGTGAACAAACGACTCAAACAGGAAATATTAAAATCAATCGAAATCCTTTTGCACAAGGAGCAATGCGTTTGGCATATTATGGATTAGTTTTATACAAAGATCGATGGGAAAAAGTCGTTTTTAAACAATACAAATGTTTGGATAATTGTGTTAATATCAAAGATAAATATTTAGAATTATTAGATTGTCAAACTATTGCGGATCATCTTGCACAAGAATTCAATAAAATCTCTTTTTTACTTAATGTTACTCTTATTGTCAAGAAAATTAAATTTGTTACGACTATTTTAGTTTCTGACCCACCAAACGAAGGGAAATATCATTTTTTCACTATGGAACGTTTTATCGATGGATCTTACAAGAAATTCTCAAACAATGTTGGATATGTCAATTACGATGACCCTGCTGTGACTCTCCAAGCATTTTCACATTGGACTTATGAACGAACAAATGGAAAGATGATTGTTGTTGATTTACAAGGAATTGATATTGGTGATAATCAAACGTATTTGTTAACAGATCCTTGTATTCATTCGACAGATTTGACAAGATTTGGAAGAACTAATTTGGGAAAACAAGGGATCAAGAGATTCTTTCAAACACATATCTGTAATTCCATCTGTCGAGCATTGAAATTGAAAAGACATAAAGATCAACCGGATGTATAATTATACAAACATTTCCTCGATTTTTTTGTTTACTCAGTTGGATTTTTAACAAAAAAAAAGATAATAAATGATTTTTCTAGAATTGCTCGTATATACAAAGTAGAAATTTAAGTCGTTTTCGAACTAATTTTGGTGAAACCTAATGAATTCGAGAAATACTTTTGACTTTCAATTCCCGTTCGATCTTTTTCCGCTGCATTTGGATTCACAATTTCTAAACCCTAAAATCCAAGACAAATTTAGTTGATTTCGAAAAGAAAAGTTTCTTACTTGAAGTGGAGTAAATGCAACACTCGATGCAGTACCACTGATTTGTTTTCGATTGTGAACTGTTGTTGTTCCTCCATATGTATTGTTTTGTTGTTGTAAAGTTTTCTTAAATAAAAAGAAACGTTGGTTTTTGAAAGGAAAAGAAAAGAAGAAAAACGAACTTGAAGTTTTTGTGAAATTCTTGCTTTGGTTTTCGAATCAATTTGAGGAGTTCGAAGAATTCCTGAACCTGATTGACCAATTCTTCCTCGTGACNAAATTATTTTGGATAAAAAACAACCTGATTGGTCAAATATTTTAATAAAAAAAGTTCAATTTCTCAAATATGAATGTAATGATCGATTACGTTGTGAACAAACGACTCAAACAGGAAATATCAAAATCAATCGAAATCCTTTTGCACAAGGAGCAATGCGTTTAGCGTATTATGGATTAGTTTTATACAAAGATCGATGGGAAAAAGTCGTTTTTAAACAATACAAATGTTTGGATAATTGTGTTAATATCAAAGATAAATATTTAGAATTATTAGATTGTCAAACAATTGCTGATTATCTTGCACAAGAATTTAATAAAATCTCGTTTTTACTTAATGTTACTCTTATTGTCAAGAAAATTAAATTTGTTACGACTATTTTAGTTTTTGATCCACCAAACGAAGGAAAATATCATTTTTTCACTATGGAACGTTTTATCGATGGATCTTATAAGAAATTCTCAAATAATGTTGGATATGTCAATTATGATGATCCAGCTGTGACTCTCCAGGCATTTTCACATTGGACTTATGAACGAACAAATGGAAATATGATTGTTGTCGATCTTCAAGGAATTGATATTGGAGATAATCAAACTTATTTGTTGACAGATCCTTGTATTCATTCAACGGATTTAACAAGATTTGGAAGAACTAATTTGGGAAAACAAGGAATTAAAAGGTTCTTTCAAACACATATCTGTAATTCCATCTGTCAAGCTTTGAAATTGAAAAGACATAAAGATCAACCGGATATATAATTCTATAAACATTTGATCGATTTTTTTTGTTTACTCAGTTGGAGTTTTAACAAAAAAGATAATAAATGGTTTTTCTAGAATTTCTCGTACATACAAAACATGAATTCAAGTTGTTTTTAGATTAATTTTAGTAAAACCAAATGAATTCAAAAAATATTTTTGACTTTCAATTCCTGTTCGATCTTTTTCGGCTGCATTTGGATTAACAATTTCCAAACCCTACAATTCATAGAGATTCACTTGTGTTTTATAAAAATATTTTCTTACTTGAAGTGGAGTAAATGCAACACTCGATGCAGTTCCACTGATTTGTTTTCGATTGTGAACTGTTGTTGTTCCTCCATATGTGTTGTTTTGTTGTTGTAAAGTTTTCTAAAATAAAAAGAAACATTGGTTTTTGAAAGGAAGAGAAGAAAAGAAGGAAAACGAACTTGAAGTTTTTGTGAAATTCTTGCTTTGGTTTTTGAATCAATTTGAGGAGTTCGAAGAATTCCTGAACCTGATTGACCTATTCTTCCTCGTGACAATCCGAGATCTGATTCATAAGCATCTTCTACAATCTACAAGAAAGAAAGATTTTATTGAAGAATGGAAGAGAATTGATTATTACCGTTGCAAAAGTAGATTGTTCTACACCAGCTCTTAATTCTGATCTTCGATATCGGTCTTTCATTTTTCCACATATTCGTCCCCCGCATGTTTTTCTTTTTGAATCGATGGATGCAGCTAACGGTTTGATTGCTTTGACTGGTGGTGGTTCAGTTAGTTTTTCAAATCGTTTTTCGATTTCGCTCAGCAACGCTTTTCCTCGTTGACCTTGTGGACATTCGTGACAACTGTCAATACGTGCAGCTAATGACACTTTACATGAGACTAGACGAGCGACTTGGACTCGAAGATCCTGAAATAAAAACAATCGAATAAAATCTAATCTACATGAATTATTTTCTCTCATCCCTACAGACAGAAAGAACAGAACTTTTTATGTAATTTGAGTACTTCCTACTTCTGTAAAAGAGATTTCGACACACGCACGGCAATTATTTTTGCACCCCACTGTGATTTTCATCGAAAAGAAAATCAGGTAAAGCATGAGAATCAAAGAAACTCACAGGTGGACAATCTTGAACAATTTTCGAATAGTAAATCGCTCCCGCGTGTGGCATTGCTGTAGTTGTTGAAAATCCTCCGAGTTGTTTTTTCTGTGCTCCCAATAATAAAATATTACACGAAGGCATTTTCGTCAAATTCGTCAATCCACCAGCCATTCCAATTAACTTCGCTGCAGTTGATGCACCAACAATTGTTGATAAATTTGGTGCAATAAAACTCATTCGTGATTCGACATATGTCAACATTGTTTGTTTATCTTCACTCAATTTCATCGCCTAAACAAAAACAGATGAAATGAAAAGAAATTTACATCGAAATGAAATCCAAACCATTTGACATCCTTCCATCACTCTTTCTAATTCTTCATCTGTTAAGTTTTTCCTGAGAAAGAAGAGACAAAAATCAGTGAAAAGAATCTTTTCATCTGTTCTTCACTTACCCCTGAGTTGTTGATGCAGAAACACTGACGATCATAATCGTCGCTTGTGTCAAGAACTTCTGAAGGTGTTCATTGTTTTTTGCTCGATCAACATTATTTGCCAACACCTAAAAAAGATCCATTTCATTCTTCTCATCCACTTTTATCGAAGTTGATCTCACTTGAACAGTTTTAAGATAATCCAATGGTAATTGAACAAGTTGTTCCAATTCGGGAAATCGTTTTTTATAGATTTCTTTCACGAAATTATGAATGATGTCGATTTCATCATCAATTTTCACGAGTAAATGATTTGCATCAACAATGAGAAGATATTCAGGATCATATTCAACAGGTCCTTCGATTTCCATTGTTGATTTCCGTTGATATTTTGTATGAAAATCGATTTTTCTCATTGTTTCTTGTAATAAGATCGATTCTTGTAATTTGGCAACATGATGAACACTGTTGACATTTCTCTTCAACTGATTTGATACATTTGGATTTGAATCAATGTCCATTTTCACCTGTATTTCCTCATTTTCATTTGTTTCTTCCAAATCAGCCAAAAGTTCATCCGCTAACGACATTTTTCTATCTGAAATTGTGTAAGAAGGTATACTGGGATGAAAAACTTATGCTCGTTCTTTCTTCCTTTGGTTTTATGCAAGATCAGTTTTGTAATTACATCATAGATGAAAGACATGAGTAATTTCAAGATCCCTTTTATGAAATTTTGATTATTCCGAGCGATTAAAAACTGAAAAGACTAGGCGCATGAACTTTCGAACAAACATTGGAAATCATTTGTATTTCGCTGAAGAATTTACGATGAGCCGGTTACGACTGAAACATGATCTCTTTCATTGCCATGTGACATTTGTATGGCAATCATAAGCAGGCAATGTTTTCGAATAACTCAACAGAAAACGAATCTTTGTTCAAACAATGAAAATGTAAGTTTAGTTGCTAAATCTCGATATTAGAAGGTCAATGATCTCAGTTAAACGGAAGCAGAAAATATAATTCAAGAACATTATTATCTGATCGTGATAAACCAATTAGGGGTGTTACTTTATCTTTACTTTATTCGAAGAAAAATAAAGAAAAAAAAACATATCTAATTTGTCAGCTAAGTGTGAGATTGTACGTTAAGTCAGAAAATGAACCTAATCTTAGGTAAAGTGTAACATCCTGTCTCACGAAATAATTTCCTGTTAATTTAATTTGTGAATATGAAAAAATTTATAGAAAACCTTTATTCTTTATCTAAAGAAAAAAAAGTAACACTCGTAGAACCAACACAAAGTGACAAAATCATTTCTCAGTTTGTATCAGAAAATATCTAAGTTATTGACCATCATCTCGATAAAACAATCCATAATACCTTTTCTATTAACATTCGACCAATTCGATATGAATTATAAATACTTAGACAGCAATATATTTATTTGAATCAAGATTTACCAGCAGTTGTTTTTGTTCAAAAAGGTTTCAAAGTCATAGATGCGAATACGACGGTGATTACTGTGAAGACATTCTTTGTGGTTTATAGAAAGCGATAAATCTCATCTGGAGATGCTCATTACATGAGAGACGTTGTCATGATGATTTATCAGAAGGTAAAGATCATCACCTTACAAATGACACTGATGAATCAATTGGATCTAGTCATAGAGAATACATCCTATTCCGCCCTGTTGCACATTTAGGAACAAGTTCCGAATCCGAAATCGATTTCTTTGATTCTGGAACTGATACAAACAGTTTCATGGCATACCGTGGAATTCCTGCTAATTCTGGAATCACAACCACATCCTCAGTTACTCGAACCAATAAGATTTATTTTACAAATCTTTTATACATTCTGCGACACAAGAATAGTTTACATTTTGATTTGCAATCTACACAAGAGAGTCATCGAAGATGTTGTGTGGAGTAATTCTCCCAATAGAGAGCTTTCCAACGTTTGCGTTGCGTTATTTGTTATTAGTAATCTTTTGCATACGTGAAAAGAAAGAAAAAATCTTGAAAGAAAACCATTGGTAATTTGTTGATGGATTGGGTTTTTTCCCACAAAGAATTAATTTAATTTTTATGTTATAAAAAGACCATCGTAAGTTTATTCCTCGTTACTGACGATAAGATATCAACAAGAATTTGCTCGCATTGCGAAATTCTTATCATAAAAAATGGCCCAAAGAAGCATGTATTTTCCACGTACAGCAGCGACACTCGATGTCGCTGCACTTCGTCGTCAATTAGACGAAATTGAACGTCTTCAAAAGAATGATATTAATGGAAATATTCGTCTTAAACAAATAGAAACACAATGTGATCAATTACAAATGGATAGTGTTGATAAATTAGCTGCAACATCGCAAAAAGAATTACAGGCTGAAGAGCATTTGAGAAACGTTACGAAGCGTACAGAAGAAATTAATGGAGTTATCAAAGCATTGAAAGAAGCTGAATCAGTAGATTTATGTTTTCTAATGGATTGTACAAACAGTATGCGAAAGTATATTGACGATGTGAAAAATCATATATTTGAAACAGTTGAAGTTTTGAAAACTCGTTTTCCACATTTAAACATACGTTTGGCATTTGTTGGATATCGAGATCTAAATTTACCTCAAGAAAGACAATTTAGCATTTTGGACTTTACTGATAAGGGTACTTTTCATTCATATGTTTCAATGGTTAAATGTGAATATGGTGGTGATTACTGTGAAGATGTTCTTGGTGGTTTACAGAAAGTGATAAATCTTAACTGGAAGCATCCAGTGCGCATTTTGATACATGTTGGTGATGCTCCATCACATGGGAGACGTTATCATGATTTATCAGAAGATGCAGACTATTACTTTACTCATGATACTGATGGATCAATTGGATATAGTCATATTCACGAACTAATTGAATTACAAGTGAAATACTTTTTTGGACGTTTAAAGTCACATACAGACAAAATGATCGAGGAGTTTCTTAAATATGCACAAGAAAAAATGACAATTGAACAAACTGATGTGGAAAAATTTACTAATTTATTACCATTTATTGTTGAAACAGTGTCACGATCGATCTCTGACACAACGTCGGCGTTATTGAAAAACGAATTATCTAATCCATCAAAAACCAAAATGTTACGCACTGTGAATTTTGATACGAAAGAACCAAATTGGTCGTACATACCAGCTAAACGGGTACAAGTTGTGAAATTCGAATGCGACAGTCAATTAAGTTGTACTCTAATAGATCAGCAATGGAATATTAGAATTGCTTCAAATCCTTTTGCTGAAGGTGGAATGCGTTTAGCTTATTATGGTCTAATGAGATATAAAGATAGAGAGGAAAAAGTTGTACTTAAAGAATATAAACAAACGGATAAGAAAGCCAACATTCAAGAGAAATATTTCGATTTATTAGAATGTCAAACCATTGCTGATTTTCTCGCACAAGAATTTAACAGATTACCATCTATCAGTAATTTAACAATCGTCAAAAAGATTAAATTTATTATGTTGAAATTAGTTTTCGATCGATTCGTTGATGGAAGGCCTCGTAACTTGACGATGGAACGTTTCATCGAAGGTTCTTATAAGAAATATTCCAACAATGCTGGCTATATCAATTTGGATGATCCAGCGTATACTCTCCAAGCTTTTTCACATTGGACTTATGAACGAACAAATAGAAATATGATTGTTGTCGATCTTCAAGGAATTGATGTCGGAGATAATCAAACGTATTTACTGACAGATCCTTGTATTCATTCAATTAGTGTGATGAGATTTGGAAAAACTAACTTGGGAAACCCAGGAATCAAAAGATTCTTTCAAACACATGTGTGTAATCTTATTTGTCATGCTTTGAAACTAAAAAGACATAAAGATCAACCAGAAATAACATCATCAAAATACGATTCATACTTTATCAACAAACCCAACAAAACTTTATTCAATTAGATTTTGTGTAATTCACGCTTCTTTTCACGTATGATCACTTTTATTTCATAGATTTTACACATGAATATCACAAATAAACTTCAATTCAATCCAATTTTCTGCGCATAAAGAACTTTGATACATATTTTTATTGGGAGATGTTACTACACCCAAAGACCACATTTTCTCTTGAAAGTATATGAATTCGTATTTCCTTCAAATTCTTCGTACCACTCAAAAAATTAAATTTAAAAAAACCTAAAATGACATATGATTTTTTCAGTGCATCAGGTTTATTTCGCTCTCGTTTTGTTTTTCTTGTGTCGTGATTAACAACATCCTTATCTTTCTATAGACTACATGAAACCATACGACACAACAGCATCACATTTCATCAAACAACGGCAAGGTTTTTCGCAACTACAAAATACGATGGACGATGATTTCATGGGAAATCGTGAATTTCACCAACCTGATCTTCCTCCGTTTCCATTAAATGATTCCAAGACTATTTCTATCACTAAGTTATCTCCTCAAACAAGTATTCAAACATGGCCACCAGGTTTTCAAACTGGTAATGATGTTATTACTCACACATATCATGAAGAAGTCTATATACTTGATGGTTCAATAACTGATCTTTCTCTTGGACAAACTTTCGGCAAAGGTCATCATGCATGGAGAAATCCTCAGATGGAACATGGACCCTATCAAGCTAATGACGAACTTGGATGCCAAATGATCGTTATTATTAGACATGAGAAGAAATAATCAAACGCTGATGAATGTATTTTTAACGAGAGAGAAAAGTTTTATTCGATTAGTATTTTTCATAAAAACTAATAAAGTAAGGGAATCGTTTTTTTTTGGATTGAAACGATAAATGATATAACATAATATAACGCGTCGAAAACATGACTATCTGATGAGACTCCTGAGCAGAATCGAAATCGATTATAGCTCACCATCGCCATCAACGAAGAAAATTCATAATACTGAAATGGAGAAATGGAATGCACTCCCGCACAGACACTCTCATGATATTTCTGCCGTAAAAATACTTCAGATAATTCATAGATCAAACACATAGTAACGAAAACATGAGCAGAATTGCTGCGACCGGTCAATCGACGAATTCGGTGGCATCAGCTAATTTCTTTATTAAAGAGCCAATTCGTTATTGGAAAACGTGCTTTATAGAATGCTACTTTGATTTGATGATCTTTCTTTGCACGTCTTTCGTTGCATTCTCTCCAAAAAGCTCTATGAAATCGTAGATAAACGACACAGTTTCATGTTCCTACACTTCGTTCTAACTCACGCCCTGACATCTTACATGAAAGTTCGTCAATCATCAAACTCTTCTTCCTTCCTTCATGGTGATGTACGAAGGTATGTACAATTATGCTGATAATAATCTTATGACGTAAACATTATGAATTTCTTTTTTCAAACGAGGAAATACTCGTTCGATTGAGTAATGACGAGAGCGTTAAACATCACCATTATTTCCGCCCCGGTTCTTATTCTCTTTACTTCTACTCAGCGAGATTTTAGTCTTGATTGTGAAAAGTCATGTATTGGTTATTTCCAAGTCAGTGCACGTATTTATACCAGGAAGAATACGCATTACTCTATATACTACAATGTCTTCACGCTATCATCAATACTCCAATGACGACCTTATCCGCATGGAAGTCAAACACAGACGACGAGCAAATCGTATCAAGGCTGGTATGGGAATGTCCATCAGCGCTGGAATGGGTTCAATCTTGGCGACTGGAGGAGTTGCAGCTCCTATTGTCATTCCACTCTTCGGCTACAAGTTGTATAAGATGATCTCTCATGAGAATAAACGTGATGAAATTCGTGAAGAGTTAGCCAGACGTGATATTTCTCCCAAAAAGAAGACTGTTGGAGATGTATTGAATTATGTCGTTGGTGTTGGCTTACCTGTGGTCACACATGGCATATCACAGGGTATTCATGTTCTATGAAATGAATTTATGTGGTGCCCCGCGGTCATTTATACTGTGTGTTCAATGCACATAGTGGTATGAACACAAAATGTATCAATGCGCTCGATATCAGTACCAGCAGATATGACAAACTTTAACAAAAGCATTTCGTCACTTATCATTGAGTTTTCTCTCTTATTATTTTTATTGATCTTAACTGTCGATATGTGTGTGTGTGTGTGTTTCTTTGGTCATTTTTATATTCATGTAACATTTTTCTTATTATTTTATGGATTTTGTTTGTACTGTACGATAACTAATATAAGGAGAAGAGGGTGAGTCGAGCGGACTACGACGTGTTTCGACCTGGCTCAAAAGTCTCATCCGACAGTTTTGATTTCGTTGTTTTCGAAGCGATTTGGAGAAAGCTAACGGTTGAAGATTGCGACGAATTTTATTTATTAAAACGAATCATTGGTAATGCAAACGTCCTAATCTGGTAGTTTAATTAAAATACATTATTTGAATCGAATCCTTTCGATAGAACGACTGATTTGATAATGTCATGATAAGATCTCTAAATGCAACTTCAAATGAACTAATTAATTGATCTTCATTTAATCTTGTTCTCAATAGACGACCATAGAAATCTATTGAAAATAAAAATAGACAACGGAGTCAAATGAAAAAGTATCAAACTTGTTTGAATAGACTTTTGTGAACGCGTAATAACGAAGGAAGAGTTTTGAATTGCCACGTCAAATTGAATTGTTGAATATGGAGAAAATATTTTGACTAAATTTCAATTGAATCAAATAAATATGAAAAGACAAAAAGTAATTTTACAGAAAAGATTCACTCGTTGAATTGTTTGTGTCATTGATGAATAAAACAATGGAATTGATTGTAAATGACGCGTTAATTTCTTTAACGTTCTTTTCGATAAATTCACAGAATTCATTTGATTTATTTGAAAATCAATTTTCCAACTGAAATAATTCAACTATTTTATAGAGATTTTCTTGAAAATCCCATCTTACTCCATGAAATTCATTTGATCAGAATAAATACATTTATAAAAAGTTGTTTTCAATTGTGGAATTGATTTCAAAACATCAATTCGATCTTTATCTAAAAGACAAAATGATATTTCATCGTTAAATTCAAATATAAATCATACGTGGTCTTAAATAAACTATTTTGAGATCATTCAGAATTAAATTATATTTCACATAAAATCTTCTTTCTTCCGTATTTTCTTGATTGTTGTTGTTCAATACTGATTTGATCAGAAGATTCTGAAATTGAACACAAACTAATTTCGAATCTCTAAAAACCAAACACACAATCAGAAATCAAATGAAACAACGAAACAAACTGAGTATAAATTCCATTTTCCGGTGACAAAAGCGATAAACCCTTGATTTCAATTGTCATATCAAAGATTTTCTTATTCAACAAATCTTTTTCAATTTCTTCAAATGTTCTTTCTTTCATTCTAAATATCAAATCAAAATCGAAAGTCTCTCTAAAGAAAAATACACACTTTGGTACGATAAAGGGTAAATAATCTTCTCGAATTGGTTCAAAATTTTCCACAATTTCATTAATTGTCGCCTATATTAAAAGAAAAGTTTCTTTCCTTTTTGTTTCTAAAGTTTCCTTTGAATAACAAACAGCATGATAAATTATTGTCAATGGTTCCATTAATAATAGAAATCGATAATCGGATTGTTTATTAATTGGTGCCAATTCAAATTCAATATGAATTAATGAATTCAATGATTTCATTGCTGATGTTAACATCAACGGACGAGAATTGTCAGAAGATTTTAAACCAAAGATTTGAAAATATCCCAAATTGAGAACACATCTATTTCATAGAAAAACGAATTGCAAAATAACATTCTTCTTTGTAATAGAATTGATTTTTACAAGATACTCGATGAAATTGTTCGACGTTTATAACTAATTTGAGTATTTTCAATTGAAATATGACTTATAATGGCGTTATTTTCATGTGATCTAAATTGATCTCTCAAATCAATGTCGAATGACGAAAATCATTTCATTTTTACTTTCTTTTTCTTTTCGGAAATAATAAATTGAATCCAAGTTTATTGATTTCAATATTCACATCGGTATTCAATGACTAAAATGAAGAAATCTCATTGAAAAATCTTTCTGTCGAGACAAAATCAACAAACTTCTTCTGAGAAAAATTCTCCCGGATTATTTTGAAGTTGATCTAAATCGACGAAAACATTCTCCTTTGATAACATTGAACTAAATTCAAACTTTGAGTTGAATTTTCTTTTTCTTTCCACCACCAATTCCACCAAGAATATTCTTTTTCATTTTCACCTTGACGATGAAACTGTAAATATTCAAATTCATCATGAAAAAGTCTCTCAAACATTGTCGTACTTCTAATTCGATACTATGTCTGATATACGCCATTGTATAAACATCCAATTTCGACTCGAGGATCTTTAATTGAAAGCGAAAAAGAAAGTTCTTGTTTTGAGAAATGGAAATGAATAAGAATTTTCTTACATAAATTCGATTTGATTCTTCTGATGTTAATGTTGAATTTGAAAGATATTCTTTAAGATATAATTGACGATATTCTCGACAACGATCTTTTGAAAACAATGAAATGAAAATGAATTCGAGAAGAAGGTTGGAAATACCGTAAAAAACGGAATAATTTTGAAATTTAACAAAATCTAATAGATCAGAGAATTGTTTTGGATCAATTTCAAAATTCATTTCTTCGATTCGAAAATCAATTTTTACAATTGGTTTTTCGAAATTCTGTTCTGCAAATTTCATTGACATTTCCAATTGAAATTTCAAATTTGTTGGATGAAAAACTAAATTTGAAAGAAAAACAATTGAAATTTTCCTCAAACTTTTCCATTCGAACCATAATTCATCACATATCGTTTGGGTTTCTGATCATCTCGTGCGATCTTCGATTTCAAATCATCCTAAATTCGATTTTTCATTCACATATCGATGAAAACACGATGAGAATACAAACGAGAACACATTGAAAAGGAAGATTGATTCTCGATTGACAATTTGTATTCCAATAAAGTGAAAAATCATTCATTTCATTCAACTAAATCAACACAATGACTTTTTCTTTTAAACAAAACAAGTTTGTTCAAACCTTGAAGATGATCAAAGAATTTTCTTTGTTTTTTCCGATTTGTTCCGAGTTGGTTGATGACTAAAAGAAGAATTTGAAGAAAACAATTGGATTTGAAGAGAATTTACATGAAATTGTAAAGAAGAAATTGTAAATCCGAATGAAAATGGATGACCTAATTTCGTTGTTGACATCGTTTCATAACTAATGTGAAGATTTTTCACATTTAATTGAAGATTTTGCATCATTTGAATCTTCATTCGTTCGAAGAAACTTTTTTCTTTTTCTTCAAATTTCTTTTCATCTACAATTTTCATTGAAATCAACAAAAAGAAGATCAGAATCTTCTAACCTGACGTTGTTTTCCGAAGATTATCCAATTTTCTTTGAACTTTCTTCATTTTTTCTTCATGATATTCACGAAGATCTTGGCGAACCTCTACGAAAACAAATTCTTCGCAATGAAAATCAAATCAACGTACCGTTTTTCGGAACAATTAACATATATAAACCATCTAAATAAACTTTTGTTGGATTTGAATGAAGATTTTTCCATGGAATGACGATGGATAACTTTTCTAAAGAAAATCAATGTGATTTGATTTTCTCAAGATGAATTTACCGATAAATCCAACAGCAACTGTTACAGGAATACCAAATCCAATCTTAAAATATGAAATTGATTTCAAAGAAAATTACAACAACGATTTCACAAACCAAAGCTTCAGGTTTTAAATGAAGATTTTCCAATGAAACATCACCTGAAACGACAGAAAATGACCAAAATTCGAATAAAATGTGAGAAAAAATGTAACCGTGTCGTAAATCAAGTTTCAATCTTTCATCATCTAATTTTTCAATGTAATCTTTGAGATAATTATTGATGATATAACGAACAATACTTTTCAAAACCATTGGAGAGTTATTCAAAGATAAAAGTTGAATGAATAATTCGGTTGAATGTGGATCTCCAAGGACAAACACATCTGATCAAATCAAATACATTCGAACGAAAAGAAAAGAAATTTCTCTTTTTTTTACTGTTTTACTCCATCAAATGATGTCATTTCGAAAAGAAGAAAAAAAAGAAATCTTTTCGCACGAGGAGAACGATTAAAAGTAATATATTGACAATCAATCATCATTGTATCTCGAACACTCAAGAAGTCTTTTATTCAGTTCATTCTCAATGATTCTCACTTTTGTGAATGGAAATTAAATATTCGGAAATGTATCTACGGATGAGAATAGATTAAATATAAATACAAGACACATTCGTACTTGAAAATAACCATTGATTTGTAGGAAATTTTTCAAAACTCTATTCAGAAAATTATTTTAAAAAAAAGAGGAAAAAAATCATTTAAGATTAAATAGTCGAATTTCGATAAAGTTTCGTTGTTTTAAGTACAGTAAGGATTATCATTATTCCATGCACATCCTGATGGACAACGACGAACTCGTTTCCAACTTGAGTCTCCGACACATTTGACAATACTTGGTCCATTCACAAAGTAACATTGTCTACTACCACTGGACATACATCGACCAAGTGTTGTCCAACAATCACATGAACGACGAAGACGTGCTGATCGTTCGTTATCTTCAATACGACTTCCTAAAGACAGAAATAGACTATCGGAGTTTTTATATTCTGAAAAGATGAAACAACTAACCGTTCCCATCAACAAGACCAGAATCGATTCCTTCGAGTTCATTCAATGTCCAATCTGTTCTGTTATTTAATGTTTCATTTGAAATTGATGAATCTTCAGGTACTATTCCAGCTGAAATATAACTAATAACTACAAGTAATACCAATGATAATAATGATGTGACGAAAATTTTCATTGTTAATAGTGTAACCAACGAATCGAAGAAGTTAAGAATAAATTTCTTGATATATATTTTGTAGGATCCAAATAAGATTATACGATGTTTGTTTGATGAATAGACTATCGAAATTTGTTCGAGTATTTATACTACAAGTTTTGTGTGTGATGGGATTTCATCGTGAAAGTGTTATATACATGAGTCATGATAAAAACAACTCTTTCCCATTCTATGGGTCTCAGATGGGAAATCTTTTTCTCGTTCTTCCCATGTATCATCGTCTATGACCTAAATACTTTCCCAGCTTTATGTACTCCTATGACTTATTTTGTGTGGTAAACCAAACAAGAGTGTCATGTTCTTTGGATTCTATTTAGGTTAACAGGGGAACATTTAAGTGACACAGAGAAATGTTTCTTTTCAATAATTTTTGCTTTCAAATCAAATTACTTCATCATAAGTGATAGTAATCAACGTATCCTGAATTCTCATGTGATTCGATGAACATAACTTTTCTTTGCCATGTTTTGACGAATCTCTTAGCCCTCGTCGGATGACTGTGTCTACACAAATTTAGCTTCAAAATAACGAAAAGAAATAAATAAACTTATTTCTCTGAACATTTCTTGACACGATCTAAATTTACTCCTTTTACGAAAACTATCAAAGGTATTAAAATTTTTCAGTTTAAATTCACCATTTAAAACATCTTTATTTATGTAAACATTTATCAATATTCTATTGTCTGTTGAAATATATCGTATCGACCAGACTCGTAATGTACAAGAGTTTGGCTTGTTAGAATATTGACGTGAAAAGAATGTGTGTAGAGAAAATGAGACTATGAAAATGTTGCTTCTACGCTCATGTTGATGTGTTTATTTTTCACCTCATCGAAGAATTATCCACTTGTTCTTTTAGCTTTATCAACGGATACATCATATTTTTCTTTGAGTCAGTAACAGATAAACAAACATCATGAATATGAGGTATATAGAAAAAAAAGAATTTATTCGATTCAGGAAAAGCACTTGCACAAATACACATCAGAGAAAAAGACTAAGCATAGCAATATGAAGATTTGGACTATTCACTTCCACTTTTGAAAGTTAGAACCAAAACTAAATGATGAAGAATGTGAACTACTACAACGTCGTTCCGTTCTATAACCACCAGGAAATCTTATAGTCTTTTCGACACAATTGTTTCCATTTCCTCCTGTTGGTCTTCCTCCTAAAAATAGAAGAGAATAAGTTCAAACATTTCCACAATTTATTATAGAAATTCTCTTCCACGAAGTTCACAGAACCTGTATTGATAAAGAACATATTTCGGACAAAAGAGATCTGAAATTTGTCTTCATAAATATCAGTCATAAGATTTAACTGTTCTATGTTCTGAATGAAAATAAAGTGCATTCTCACCTGGCCCTGGAATTCTTATAACTTCTCCTTGCTCGTCATCATCATCATCATTGTCGGCACCGCCGTGATTTGAAGGTGGTGGTATTCTTATAACTTCTCCCGAGTCGTCATCATCGTCAGAAGGTGATGGTATTGTAGGTTTTGGATTTGCTCTACCACCAGTCTTTCTTCCGTATATCTTTTGGATTTCCGATCTATCAATTGGTGGCACGATATCTTGTTTGCGAAATTTTCCTTCTCTGTGTTGAAAGTACATAATCGCATTAGGATCTTCATCATGATGTAATCCAATCACGTGACCAATTTCATGTACAGCTACCAAAAACAAATTAATTTGACCATTGTTATGCGTTGAAAATCTAATAATATAAAATGATATCTGATAACTCTGCTCCGTCTTTTCATATGTAATTTAGTTCAGTTCGACACAAAAAGTCAACATTTTTGTTATTATTTGAGAAGGATGACATAAACCAATGATGTCATCAAAGAAATCTCTCTGTCAAAACTCTTTTTCTTGGTTTGCTTACTCCTGAGACCAATTTTCGTCTTTATCGAACACCATAATAGGTTTTCCGTCGTCAAAGTAGGGTACCGGGCTATTCGGTTGTACATATGCCAATGTTCTCATCGCTCCTAATGTTGAAAGAAAAGATCGTAATAATTGGTCGATGAAAATCATTGAAAACATACCATCGACATATTTAAATGAAACTGGAATGTCTGCTTTGCACGTAGCACAAACGTTAGTAAATTCTAATGGGACAATATCTGCCCAGCGTTGAAATGCTTCACTAATGATTTGGATTGTTCGTTGATGACCAATTCGTCGAGGAGCTGGTCCAAGAAATGCCCAGGTAATATGTCGCTTACGCCATTTGATTCCATGAGCTAAAGCGAATTTGCCATGGCCACCATCTTGTACACCACAACGCGGAGTTCTATCATCTTTTACGGGTGCTGTTTGAATTACACTGACAACAATTGCCAATAATAGTAAAATCCAATGACATTCCATGAATAAACGATCGACAAATCACTATTGATTTGGTTTAGATGGTAGACGAATGTATAGTTATTACCACATACTGATACGGGTTTTATACAATCCCATAGCACCGTTCCAGGGGTTTTCGCTCAACTCCGAAAGCCCCATCCATCAGTATGGGAGTTTCCAATGTTCCCAACGCGAGATTGTCTTACTACTGATAAATGATATCATTGTCTGTATCCATCAGATGGGAAAGATCATCATGACATGAGGAAGACAGACTTGATTCCTCTCTTGTGCCGAAGAGAATCGTTGGTTCTGTGGGAAGAACGATAGAAAGATAATCTTTCCCATATCCATAAAAATAACATGACTGACATATAGATCTTCTCTCGTTATATATAATAGATTGGTTTCACAATCGTATCAAAGTGATTCTTGTCGTTTTTTTCATTGATATTTTTCTGTCCATTTGTTATAGTTGTAGAACATGTTGTCGAGGTTAGATTTCATTTGTATCTTTTCAATTTCTTTTTAGCATAGTATTAGTTACAGTTGAGTATTCATATCTCAGATACATTTTTGATCATTTTACTTGTCCTATGAGTTTCAGATCTACATAGTGGAATTTCATTAAGAAAAGACAAATATGTTATATGTAATTAGAGAGCAGTGGAATAGATTATGATGTTTTCTAACTCGTTGAAATATTTTTAGATCAAAAAGAAAAATCGGAACGTCTCTATCGAAATGCATCACCACTCATTTATTCTCAGTATCTCACTATTATTAATCGGTTTTACTTGTTTCGCCAGTGGCCTCTTCTTTTTTAAAAGTCGAAATACACCTGAACCATCATCACAAGCTTCATCATCTCCATTAACAACGACTGGCAGTAAGAATTATCGAATTGATATTTTTCATGTGAAAGTCTTTTTTCCTTTCTGTCTCTGATAGATCCTATATCGATGAAACCCTATGTGACAGTACCACCGTCCACATCGAGTAACTTTCATATTGATAAGAGACGACTGAATTTCATTTCTATTGATTTATTTTCAAAGGCGTGCCGATGATTACTGAAACAGTCGATGAAGAGGGTAATACTTATGTAGGACAAATCGATTCTACTGGAAAGAAACATGGTTACGGAGTGTTCACTTTCTTCAATGGATTGATGAAATATAGTGGACGATGGGACAAGAATTACATGTCAGGCTACGGGGAAATGGTATGGGCTGACAAACATCGATATATTGGCTATTGGAGAGCTGGTCAAAGATCAGGTTATGGTATCATGATCTGGCCAAGTGGTAATCGTTATCAAGGTGAGTCGTTTGTCTATGATTCTACTTTTTTAGATATCGAGTGCCAAGAAGACAGTAGAGTTTTCTTTTCCTGTATCTTGATGTTTATTGATTGTTTAGGAAATTGGGTGAGAGATAAAAGACAAGGACAAGGAATTCAAACTCAACCCAATGGTCAAAAGCAAAGTGGTAAATGGTACAATGATAATTTTATCGGTAATGATGTTCAAACACAACGATATGCTGACGATGTATCATTCACTGGCAAAGATGAAAAGAATATCTTAAATGAAACAGAACAGCAATCAGAAACAAATGATAGAGCAGTTAATCTGTAATTACATCATTCTCTCAAAAAATATTGAGATGATTTTATGAAAGTTTGACCTTGTTCATATTCGTTTATTTTAAGTTTATGAAGATTCTAAATGATTTGTTTTCTTCTTCTATTATTCTCTTTGCATTGTATTTTATCAATAAATTTCAGCATATCTTCCTTCTTTATTCTATGCAATCTTGTTTTTCTCTGTAAAGAAGAATCAATCAGTTTATTTCAACAAGAAAAAACAGATGATAAATTGTTCTTCTAGAATAGTTTATGTACACAAAAAACGAACTTTAAGTTGTTTTTGGAATAACAGATGGACTAATTTTGGTAAAGCCGAACGAATTTGAGAAATATTTTTGACTTTCAATTCCTGTTCGATCTTTTTCAGCTGCATTTGGATTAACAATTTCCAAACCCTACAATTCATAGAGATTCACTTGTGTTTTATGAAAATATTTTCTTACTTGAAGTGGAGTAAATGCAACACTCGATGCAGTTCCACTGATTTGTTTTCGATTGTGAACTGTTGTTGTTCCTCCATATGTGTTGTTTTGTTGTTGTAAAGTTTTCTAAAATAAAAAGAAACGTTGGTTTTTGAAAGGAAGAGAAGAAAAGAAGGAAAACGAACTTGAAGTTTTTGTGAAATTCTTGCTTTAGTTTTTGAGTCAACTTGAGCTGCACGAACTTTTCCTGAACCTGATTTTCCAATTAAACCTGCTGAGAAACCCAAATCTTCTTGATAAGCATCTTCTTCGATCTAAAAGAAAAGTTTCGTTGAGAAAAGATTCGAATTGATATTCTTACTGTTCCAAAAGCAGTTTTATTTGCACCACTTCTCAATTCTGTCATTCCAAGACGTTCTTTCATCTTTCTGTGTCGTCTTCCACCACGTTTCTTTCTTCCCGAATCGATTGGTGCAGGTAATGGTTTCACTGCTTTGACCGGTGGTGGTTCAGTTAGTTTTTCCACTCGTTTTTCGATTTCACTCAGCAACGCTTTTCCTTGTTGACCTTGTGGACATTCGTGACAACTGTCAATACGTGCAGCTAATGTCACTTTACATGAGACTAGACGAGCAACTTTCACTCGAAGATCCTAAAAGTCGAAGTAAAAAAGAAAAATTCTGAAATAAAAGAAAAGAGACTCACCGGTGGACAATCTTGAACAATTTTCGAATAGTAAATCGCTCCCGCGTGTGGCATTGCTGTAGTTGTTGAAAATCCTCCGAGTTGTTTTTTCTGTGCTCCCAATAATAAAATATTACACGAAGGCATTTTCGTCAAATTCGTCAATCCACCAGCCATTCCAATTAACTTCGCTGCAGTTGATGCACCAACAATTGTTGATAAATTTGGTGCAATAAAACTCATTCGTGATTCGACATATGTCAACATTGTTTGTTTATCTTCACTCAATTTCATCGCCTAAACAAAAACAGATGAAATGAAAAGAAATTTACATCGAAATGAAATCCAAACCATTTGACATCCTTCCATCACTCTTTCTAATTCTTCATCTGTTAAGTTTTTCCTAAGAAAAAAGAGACAAAAATCAGTGAAAAGAATCTTTTCATCTGTTCTTCACTTACCCCTGAGTTGTTGATGCAGAAACACTGACGATCATAATCGTCGCTTGTGTCAAGAACTTCTGAAGGTGTTCATTGTTTTTTGCTCGATCAACATTATTTGCCAACACCTAAAAAAGATCCATTTCATTCTTCTCATCCACTTTTATCGAAGTTGATCTCACTTGAACAGTTTTAAGATAATCCAATGGTAATTGAACAAGTTGTTCTAATTCGGGAAATCGTTTTTTATAGATTTCTTTCACAAAGTTGTGAATGATGTCGATTTCATCATCAATTTTCACGAGTAAATGATTTGCATCAACAATGAGAAGATATTCAGGATCATATTCAACAGGTCCTTCGATTTCCATTGTTGATTTTCGTTGATGTTTTGTATGAAAATCGATTTTTCTCATTGTTTCTTGTAATAAGATCGATTCTTGTAATTTGGCAACATGATGAACACTGTTGACATTTCTCTTCAACTGATTTAATTCATTGGGATTTGAATCAATGTCCATTTTCATCGATTGATCTTTTTCTTCACCTGTATTTCGTTCATTTTCATTTGTTTCTTCCAAATCAGCCAAAAGTTCATCCGCTAACGACATTTTTCTATCTGAAATCACAAAACAAACACGTTGTCTTTCTTTCTCAAGTTATGCGCAAGATTGCTTGTGCAATTACAGCGGAATAAAAGACATGTGGAAAGAGTAATTTCATTGGGGAGAAGAAAAACACAACATGGATGCAAAACTTCATCATAAAGAGAGAAAAATCGTTCCTCGTTTTCGTCGTAAAAACGCGAATAATAATTTAATCGATGCTGATGACGCCGAAGCTCAAGCTTTGATCGACAAAGAATTAGAAAGTCATTACGTTTGGACAAGTGACACAATCAATGAAGATTTCAAACATCAATTCGATAATTATCAAAGTGAAGAAAATAATCAACAAATTTCAATTAGAGATGAAATTTACCAAAATCAACTTTACGATATAAATGACGGAGAAAATGAAGATTTGTGGAAAAAGAAAGTCGAATTAGATGAAAATTATGAAGTGAAATGGAGTGACGATCAACAGGAAAGAGAAATTCAATTTAATATTCATTCAATTCAAGACAAACAACAACAATGGTCTTTAGATAATCAAAATCACGAAAGAATTCAATTAAATCTTTTCGATAAACATCAATTAAAAAATAAACACGATTTAGAAACTGATGATCCAAATCAAGAACAAAATTTCATTCAAGGCGAAGAATTTCGAAATCAAGTAAAGATTTTCTTCATTAAAAATCACAATTTCTCCGTTTCTCTTTAGATGAAATTCGCTATAGAATCTCAATTAAACGATTTAAACCTATTTCCTGAAAACAATGAAGATCTTCGATCGACCATCATCGATCCGAGTCTTCCAATAATTGATACAAAATTAAGTTGTGATCAAGAAGCGATTATTCTTGAATGGGTCGAAGGAACATCCGAATATCAACTGTCATTACCCGTTGAGAAACTTGCTGAAGAATATTCACCACAAAATGATAAACAAGTCGAAATTGATTCGAAGAATCTCAAGGCACTTCATTGGTCATTGGATTTACTCAAGGAAAATTTGATTTTATCTTATTTAATCAGTTTACCAAGTAATGATCGAGAACAATTGTCGATTCCGGAAGATCTTCAAGTGAAATTATCGATCGATGATGAGAAGAATTTACAAATTTTCTCATTGAATGATTCGATATTTTGTCAAACAATAAGTTTATCATCGAATGATTTGAAACAACAATTATTAACCATCATTGATTCAATTCAAATGAAACAAAACTTCGGAATCGATGAACAAAACTCGATTTGTCAATGGTCGTTGAACGATTTGAAAATTTTCATTCAAAATCTTTCACCAAATGAAATTCTTCATCATCTCTATTCACCCGAAGACGCAACAAGTATTTCACTTGAACAAATTCTCATTGAAAGTGATGAAATCAGTGCCCGAGCATTTCGTCGTTATCGTTGTAAACATATGTCGATAAAAAGTGAAGAAAAACAACAATTCGATTCAACACAAAGTTCACATTTAGAATTCAAAGGAAATGAAACGATTGCGATTGGAGAAGAACAAATACAGAACGATTTCGATGATGAACAACAATCATTCAAAGGTTCATTTCAAATAATTTTCATTTTCTAAATCATTTCTTTTTCAACTTTTCAGATATAACAACATGTGAAATTCTGTTAAATGAAAATATTTCTCAATCTTACGATATCCAAGCGAGTGAAAGTTCTCCGATTAAACTTGGTCCATGTTTATTTCGATCGGATTACGAACGTGAACCACCGAAAACTTGGTCACGTCTTCGTCGTGAAATCGGTTACATTTCCTACGATGCTTCACTTGCTCAACCAACTTATCATCTCGATAAATCATTCAAACGTTATGTTCACATTCCTAAACAACGAACTCAATGTTCTTATAACGTTTATCGTGGTTATCAAGAATTCAAAGAAAAAGCTCGATTAAATCCTGAGAATTATTTTCGTCCTCATGATGGAACTGATCTTCGTCCATTACTTTCCTGGTATTCACAAAAACAACATTTATTCTCAAAAACGAATTCTACTCTATTAAAACCACCAACATTCATCTGTAGAAGATTAGTTTTACGAACGATTTTAGCTAATCTTTATTGTGATAGTGATCCGTGGAAATTACTTGTTGTTCGAATCAAAGGACAATTCTATTTAGCCATTGCAAATAAAGCAAAGAGACATGTAGAAAATATGACTGAAGATGAATATAGTGGATATAAATTCGAACAACTCTTTACAACACAACAACCGAATACAACGAGATTTGAAGAACAAATTCCTCTAGACAAGCCTCAAGAACAGTTTCACACTGTTCAATATTGGAGGTTTGGAGAATTTAATATTCTCTATTCAAATGAAATCGATGGAGAAATTCACCAAGACATGATACCGAAACAGGTACGAAATATTTTAGCAAATTTAATTCTCATTTCTTGTGTTTCTTTTTTAGACGGATGAGTCAGTAAAAGTTAATTTAACACAATCGACAGAAAACGAAGAAGAAGAAGAAGAAAGTGAAGATGTAGTTGAAGATGAAACTAAAGTTGCTCAAATCAATGAAAATCTTGAAGTTGTTCAAACTGATGAGAACGAAACAGTTGACAAGAAAAAACGTTTTGAAAACGAAATCAAAGCTGGTTATGTCGAGATGAAATGTACAAACAAAAAAATCTTCTATCGCGATGAAAACAAATTACAAACACTTTTCTGGTGGGCACAAATGTGGTTAGCAAATGTCAATACACTCATGATCGGTTACAAATCTTCTAATGATGGAACTATTAATCAAATCGACTTATTTTCTATTCAAAAACTTATTTGGAAGTTTCTTTCTCGTTACGATCTTCATCTTAAATATTGTCTTTCTTATCTTTATTCATTTCTTCAATTAATTCAACAAACAATTCATATTGATGATCCAAATACAATTCACGCATTTGCTTATATTCCTCAACCTTTAGAAATCGATCCATTGACTGGAGAAGCTGTGCAAGTTGATTTACCGCAATGTGTTCCTTTTCGTTACACACAAATCAAACGATCCAATCAACGACACGCGAATTTAATGCCTGAATGGTATCTACAAGAAACTCTACGAGCAATTCCAATACGAGGAACTATTAATGAGAAAACAATTGAACAGGAAATGAAAAAACGAATTGGTCATCGAGGAAGAGCATCGTGTACACTTAAACAAGAAGAAAATCACGAGAAAAAACGTCCGAAGAAAAGAAAATAGTCTGATAAGTTTTATTAAAATTCTGTTTCCGATTAAAATAAACGTCTTTTTAAAAGTCTAAACCCTTAAGATCCAAATAATTCGCATAAATGAGCACGGGTTTCCACTGGACTTGTCACCGAATAACCTTTTGTTCGGGGATCATTATAAATCTCATAATCATTGCCACCCTACACGGAATAACTCATCGCGCTCTTACTAACAAAACTTCTTTCAACTGACTTACCTTGAATGTTTTATCACCGAAAAAGTAGATATTTTTAACATTGTCTTTTTCTAAATGTTTTATCGCATAGCGTTTATCCCAACCTTCTGGAAAGATATCGAAACTGATACTTCCACCTAAAACGAAAACCGAATTTTATGATATTAGACGAAGAAAACAAGTTTTACCAATGGCATAAACTAAATTTAGATGAGCAAATTTTTCTTCGAGATCTTTGATCATTGTTGCGCGAATCTTATGAACCTATTAAGAAGAAGAAAACAAAACGATGACAAACGAAAATGCGAAGAGGAGCAATCTTACGGAATCGTAAGCTTCGAATAGATCTCTTTCTTTCTGTGTACAATTTCGACCAACAGGAGAAACATTGATAAGACCATTACGAAATTCAATAAAAGTTCCACTAAAAATTCTCCATTTGTATTAACGAAAGAAGAAGAAAAACAATCGAAAATACCGTTTAAATGGTAGACGAATTTCAGATAGATATTTTAGACAATAATTAATAAGTGTTTGTAAATCATCATCACCAACATACTTTTGAATATTCTAGAAAATAATTTCTAATTAAACAAAAATCTTCTTTTCGATAAAGTCAATCGAACTTCTTCGAAAAATTGTACTCCATTTTTATAACCAACGAGACCATTTTCAGCAAAAACATAATCGTATTTCGCAATTGCTACATCAACAAAAACATTTTTTTCAAAATGAAATTCTTCTAAAACAAACTCACCTTGTGTTCCTCCGATTTGTTCAGCAATTTTCACAATATCCGATCCTCCAACTAGACCAATGAGACATTTCTTTCTAACTTCTTGAAGACACATATCCATTTCCGGTGTTATCGATTGTCGTGGTATAGTTACTGTTCCATCCACATCGAATAAACAAATTGTATCTAATTTTCTTGAAATTATCCCATCGTCATTTCCAAGTGGTTCGCCCGGTGTTGTAAATGGTGTATTCGGCGTTGCCATATCTTATCTAGAATTTAAAAAGAAATGAATCTCGATTTGTTCAGAAGAAAATGTATTTATTTATATGTATGTATATGTTTTTTGTTTAGCATGCGCTAATACAAAGAAAGAAAACAAATAAAAATCAAGATCATAATGGTGTGTTTTGATGAAAATTTAATCCATGTCGACGACATCGTTCCAGATGTGCATAATAAAGTAAAAGATTTTTATTTCCATAGGTTGGATTAGATGTTGTTGATAATTCCGAAGGAATTGTTGTTAAACGTTGAATATCATGGATGACACAATCTCGATTGGGACATATACATAATTGAGAATGAATTGAATTCATTGAACTTGTCGAATTCGTTGTCGATGATGTTGATGACGATGACGAATCGGATTCATTTGAACTTGGTGGTGGTGAATAGTTTTCTGGATGAGAATAAATATTCATCGAGCTGAAAAAAGAACATATTGTCAATTTCTTCTGTGTTTACAAATGTATTACTTTGTCTGAAGATCCGTTCTGATTGCCATTCGTTTTGATAGATTTCCTCCTCCACTATCTGTCGACGAGTAGGGATTATCTTCATGATGTCGTTTCCTTTACAAAACAAAGAAATACAAAATTGAATTGTAGATTTGGAAAAACAAAAACAAACTTACATAATTTATATACAAAAATAATAAAATTAGATAATTGACAAAGAAATCTGGTCTTGATGAAATGCTCCTTGAAGATTTATCAAGACTTCTTTTTTCGTACTATTTTAAAACGAAATATTTCAATGATTAAACAGAATCAAATCTAGTCTGACTAAACAAAGATGGTCCAACGGAATTTCCCCATTTGATCATTACCTTAACTAATCAATTTTCCAATGAAATTTTTATTATCAAATTTTCATTTGAAACAATCAATACGAATTTTATTCCAGAAGTTTATCTTTGTTAAATCATTCGTGTTGATTATGGTAATTTAATCTTGTCTGAAGATGGCGCTAGTGTCTGATCTCTATTGTTCGAATATAATGAACGGGACGGGACATGTCTGATCAGTCAATAAACTTTAATCACATTTGACATTCAGTATCAGCGAACTTCGAAAAGAAAGAAAAAACTAGGAATGGCGGGAAAAAAACAAATAAATTCAATTAGTAAAAATCGCACAAATATCAGCAAAAGAAAGAAATCAAAATTCAATTGAGATATTTACAGAATAAGAAAGTTTATCTAATCGACTAGTTGATGTCGTGAATTCTTTAAAATAAATGAGACTGACTCGAAGAAAATGATTGAAATTGCTCGAATATCTTTTTCGTACGACTATTAATATGAATTCTATCGAAGCGATCAATGAGGAGTAATCTTATTTTTAAAAACGAATAAATTGTTCATTGACATTCCATCCAGCATCGTTTGCAAGTTTATAAACATCATCAGACATGTCAGGTGGACCACAACAAAGTAATAAACCATCATGAACATCTTGTATTTGATTTCGAGTTAAATGTTGATTGGAATTTGTATTTAAACGTGTAATAATAAATTGAACTTGTTTTAAAGATTGAAGTTCATCATGTAAAAGAATATCTTTTTCTGTTTTATTGAAATAAATTAAATTACATTGAATATGATCTCGAAAGGCATGTTGAAATATTTGATAAATTCTCGTAATTCCACTTCCACCAGCAATCATCGTCAGTTTATTAATCTTTCTCTCGATGCCGTGAATTGAAAAGATTTTATTCTGATGATATTCAAAATCTCCAAATGGTCCTTTACATTCAACTGTATCACCTATTTTCAATGCATTGATACATAAAGACATTCTCGCAGCTTTCGGTGTTCGATATAATTTAATAAGTAAATCAAATGTTCCACATTGATTTGGTTCAGATATTGGTGTATATGCTCGAACCAGTTTTGTATGTGATTCAGTGAAACATCGAATAAATAAATGTTTTCCCACTGGTACACCTAACCTTTGTTTCGAATGTTCCAATGTAAATGTAAAAAGTACCGTATCATGATTAACATTGATTTTCTTATGTAATTTGGCTTTTCTCCATTGCTTTTGTGAAAGAAATACTTCTCGTTGAGTGACATTGTTTGAATTTGTCTGAAGAATTCCAATGTGATATTGTGTTAATAATGATTTTGCATGATCACTATGAATAGCTAAGAAATCTTCGGAAGCATCCGCACCACTTGATAATAAAATCGAATTTGTACCACCGGGATGTTCTTTTAAATATCGAGTTACATCATAAACGTTTCCATTGATCGCAATCCATGTATCATCATTTGTATTATGTTTGGATAATTCTTCTTCAGTGATGATTTCTGTTATTGAATCATTTGTCATCTTAATATTCGATGATAGATATTCAGTAGAAATCTCATTTTGTGATCCCCAAAATCCATCGATAAGATTTCTCCCTTGTTCTTTCACTTTTTCCATCCATCCACCTTTTGTCAAAGCAGGTATTGTTGGATGTTCAAATAATAATTGATTTGTATTATCTTGTTTTGTAATTGTTATCCGATGCCAACAATTATTTAACATACTGAGAAGATTCCAATAAATATCTCGTGGTTGAATATTCATTGATTCATCCATTGCACGAACGAGAATATCTTTTGCTTTTGAAAGTTCGTTTATTGAAACTTCGATATTCCAAAAACACCAACAAAAACAATTTTCTCGATGTGACATATCTAATTTTCCACCGAACAGTTCTTCATCTGATTTTATTTCTCGATAAAGATCTTCAGGATAGTTAATCGTTGTCAATTTCCATGTTTGACCTTGATCAAGAGAGATTTCGACTCTTCCAACACGTACTCCACCTCCATTATAAGCATATCCACGAATATGATAATATTTCTCTTCTTCAATTTCAATTGTCTCATCATGAGTCGGATAACAAATGACACTTTGAATATTAAGATTGTATAAAGCATATCGTTCATCTTTATACCAAGATTTATCATCTTCCACTATTTCAGGTGTTACCATTGTTGGTAGAACTCGATTATCGTAAATATGATACCAATTATCACTTGGTTTATCACTGAGAATAATTCGTTTTAACCATTTAACACTTCTTCCACCAATATGTCCAGGAATCACAATACGAAGAGGACGTCCATGATCAGGTCTTAAGAGTTCACCATTCATTTTATAAGCTAACATGACACCCATCGATGGATTCATTGCAGTTGATAAACGAATACTTGTTCCATAATGACCATTCGGGAGTTGATCAATTCCTTCCATCCACATGTATTTTGCTTCCAATTTTGGTTTAGTTAATTGAAGAATTTCATTTATTAAGACTCCAGTAAATAAAGCTGTGCTAACGGCAGCACTTCCCCAATTAAATCCATGGCCTTTTCGTATGATATTCTGTTCTTTACGTCGATTTCCTGCACAAACCATTGTGACTGGAATTGTTATTTGAGGAAATTTGAAAAGTTCATTCAGTGTAAATGACATGGGCTTTTCAATCATTCCCTCAATATAAATCGTCCAATTAGAAATATCTTCGTCAGATACATTTGGAACAGGTCCATGATTACGAACAAACCATAATTCAGTTGGAGTTAAAAAGCCATGATCATATAGAAGTTTTAATGGTGGTTCACAATTGAATGGATGAATTCCCGTTAAACGAATTAATCGTGCATCTCTTGCGACATGTGAATCTGGAGTTTTTTCATCGCATTCTAAAATTTCTGTTGGCTTTTCTGTTGTAATTGGTAATGGAAACATTTATAGTCTTAAAATAACTTGTAATATCGAGATTTGATTTTCTATAACCAAACTGCACGACATGTGTATAAACAATAGTATATGTACGTTAATACCTTTTGAATGAATATCGTATTTTTCTTTTCACACAAACTACCATTAAGACGGCGCACTTTTTCGTCCTCTGTATCATAGGTCGAGAAGGGCAAATCATTATAATACAAAAGTCATTGATAAAAGGCAACTAACAGACCATTACGACCATTCCTTAAAGAACAAATGTCTTTGTATTGTCGAGGTTTGTGTCAATTAAACCTTACCCTGACTTCCAATTCGGTCTCTTCATATTTCCATTTCTAAACGCTACTGTTAACAATGATTCATATATGCGAAAATAGACGATTTGCTACTGTTGAAATGAATCATAGTTTTGATTGAAGTGCGACTCGGTATTATGAAAAAATCGAAATTAGTCAAAATCATTGATTTCTTTCTTTGTTTATATTCTAAAATATAATCGATATTTAAATGTATAACGCAGATACTGCGATTGTCATTATCAAAAAGATATATCAATGAGCGAAAGATTTCTATTGATTGGTATTGTTTATTTATCGTATAAAGTCAGATATTCCTAAAAGTCATCTTCAAATGATTCTACTCCGATCAAAGCTTATCGATAATATTTCTTTTGGTTTAATTTACTTAATAGGAAAGACTGAGGAAGCAGAAATCAAGTGAAATTTTCTATACAAAACATTTTTTACATATTGGGAAATGTACTCACCTTTTCTCCCCATCTGATGACTCACTAAGTACGATTATTGTTCGATCATGATATTTGATCGTAAAATACATTCAAAATTCGTTTCAGTTGAAAACACATAACGACGATACCGTCAAAACATATTTGACAAATTACTTTTGTTCGATCATGCATAACTATCAATATAAGTACGTCGTCGATGAATGAAATGAAGTATATCGTCTAATATTCTTTACCTGGTGAAATGCCCTTTTTCAAATGGCGTTTAGGCAAAAAGCAAAATGATGGAAAAGAAAAAGAGAAGAAAAGTAGAAGACGTGATCGATATGAGCAGCAAACAGATCAACAACCCAATCAAACTGAACAACCAACAGTCAGCGATGATGATACAATTATGGTTTATTTAGCAAGTGGACCACCAAAAGATACAATTGTCGAAGTTCTCAGATCACTTAATAATAATGAAATTCAGGTCAGGTTCGAATACAAATCGTGTATTCATATTTGTTTTATTTATTTCAGATAGCTCAAACAGAAGACGAGTGTGTTGATTTGATAACACCATTATCAGACAAAAAGGTTCTTCTAATTCTTGATACACCACCATCAGAGAGTATTCTTGAATCTATCAAAAGTCTCTCACAAGTTGATTCAGTTATTGTCTATTCAAAATCATTTGACAAGCAGGGGAATGAGCTGACTCCAGAACAGACTAGTCGTGAGATACTCCGATGTGAAAATCCCGACAATCTTGTGAATATTATTCAAACAGCTCGCAATGAGATTGCAAAACAAACGGCAGCATTTAGTGTATATAATCAAAAAGATAAAGCAACACGAGATTTAAGCAAAGAATCTGCTTCATTTCTATTTTTCCAATTACTTAAAACTGTTATATTAAACATGCCGAAGACACAAGAAGCGAAGCAAATGATGGTTTCAAAATGTAAAGAATTTTATCGAGGAAATCTGGTTGAATTGGCCAACATAAATGAATTTGATATGACATATAAACCTGACGAAGCTATTCAATGGTATACAAAGGAATGTTTTTTATACCGATTTATTAACAAAGCATTGCGTACGGAAGATGTCAATATTTTATATCATTTTCGTTTTTATATTGTTGATCTGTGCAAACAACTCGAATTGAAATTCGAAGATTTGAAAGCTAGAGGAAAGAATTTAGTTAAGTTGTATCGTGGATCGTGTCTCAGTCCAGCTGAAGTGGAAAACTTTCAGAAAAGTATTGGAAATTTGATCGCAACAAATGGTTATTTATCAACAAGTTATGATCGCTCTGTTGCATATGGATTTGCAACAAAACCAAATAATCGAGTTGGCGTCGTTCGAGCACTTTTCGAATATCAAGTTGATATTACTCAAGTGAAACATATTGTCATTGCCGATATCGCACAATATTCCGCTTTTCCAGAAGAAGCGGAAATGCTTGTTGATATAGGTGAGAAGAAAAACAAAAAAGAAAATTTTCTCTTTTAAAAAAAATATCTTTCAATTTAGGTGCTTCGTTTCGAATTGAATCGTGTACCTATGATCCAGCAGATAATTTGTATCATGTACAAGTACAAGCAACTGACCAAGGTGCTGCTTTGGCTGCTGAATATATAGAATATCAAAAGAAGAAAATGATGGATGCCAATATTGTTCTCTTATTTGGTCATTTGCTTCTCGAAATGGGCGAATATGAAAAAGCGAATCAGTATTTCGATAATATTCTAAACTCGTCAAAACCAAATGATGAAGAAATTGCTTGTATTTATTTTAACTTTGGACGCACACATCGTTTAAGAGATAATTTGGAAGAAGCGTTTCACGCTTATCTTCGTGCTTATAATTTACATGCACATGCCAAACCGAAACGTTTAGCAAGTGCGGCAAAAGCTTTGAATGGAATTGGAATTGTATTCTCAGCCATGGGAAGAGATGATGATGCTTTACAATGTTTCGTAAATGCTTTAGGACTATTCAAGAAAAGTGTGAGAAAAAAACATGTGGATGTCGCTGGAACTTTAATCAACTTGAGTACAATTCAGTGTGACAGAAAACAGGTACAGAGTGCATTTGTATAGTCTCGAATGAATAATAGAATATGTTGTTTATTTAGTATGATGAAGCATTGGTCAATACGTTGAAAGCGCAAAAACTTTTTCAAGATTGTCTTCCTGGCGCTCATCCAAATCATGCATCAACATTTGCAACACTTGGTAACATTTATTTTGGTCTTGGTCGACTTGATCTGTCAATCGAAAATTACAAACGAGCATTAGAAATCCAATTACTTTCATTACCAAGTGGTCATCCGGACATAACTCGAACACTACACAATATTGGTTTAGCCTATGAACGACGTGGAGATTATAAAGTGGCTCATGATTATGTTCAAAAAGCATTGGAAACAGTACCAAATCAAGAAAAACAAAAGAACGGACATCTACTTGCACTTGCTGTTGATCGTGGAAAAGATCATGTACTCGCTTCGGCGATGAATTGTCCAACATTTCGATTTTAAATCGAACATTTTTGTCTAAATTTCAAAATATATACGTCGAAATGACCCTTTTATATCTTGTAACTGATTGTACCTGTTTAATTTGAAAGAAAAGAAATATTAGATAGTCTTACATTGCTTGCTATCAGAGGTGAACACAGGACAAAAGATTTTCCATCCTGTCCTGTACTCAGCTCTGCTTAACACGAAGAATTACTACAGGAAAGCAAAATACGAGATTCATTAGTTCGTTAACAAATATCTTGAGCGATGGAGAGGATGTAGCACTGCTTAGGGACATATTTTTATGCAAAATGCACATAAAGACTATAGTATCTTGAGTAACCAATTCAGTCGAGAGTAATACGAGTCAGTCTTGATGAGCGGTACTTGTAGGTCTTGTTCTTACTCTACGGGGAAAGTCTAATTCGAATGAGTAAAGTGTTTAAAATGTAAATGAAAGACTAAATCGATAGAAACTTCGATATGTCTGCATTGGATCCTTAGAAGACATTCACAATATTTAAAGTATGAAAATATTATTTTTCTTGAAATTTTCTTGATATACGACAAATACGGGCATTTCACTCACAAAAAGCCCAATAAATAATTAAATATTTGAAGCTAATTACAACATGGACGTTGACATATAATTGTTTTAAAAGTTGATTTCAATGCGTCTAGTAATGCCTGTCGAAATGAACTCCCACCGGTTAATGTATAGATATAAAATGGTACAGCACTTGCTAAATATGTGAATAAAAGAATAATATCATAAATAGTTGTGTCAATAGCTTCTTGAATAGGAGAATGAAATGATTTTGAGTTCCAATGACGTATAATCGATGAATTGCTTGTAGAAGTGTCAGCACATAAAGAAGAATGATTCGAACTGAAACCATAAGTAGAAATCGATATTCGACCTTTTTTGAACGTTGTTCTGATGAAGTTGCATTTCCACGTTGTAAAATATGACGTTGACTCTGTCGTATATTCGAAAGTGTCATTAAACTAAAAATAATCGTACAGTATATCAATGGAATTGTTGTAAATACTGCAGATATAACATCAGACACAAGTTGACATGTAAAATCTTTTGCATAACATTTAAATGGTCCAAAAGTTAAGTTACCATCATGACAGTATAAAACTTGTGCATGAATAATCAATGATATGGTAAAAATGAATATTATTTGTTATCGAGCATTTTTTAATGTACTCTAAAATTGCGTCGATGAATTTCTACTGAAGATGATAGTCATCTATCAATACTTGCTGGAGTTGAATAAACTAGAAAATGACGTTTTTTACAAAGCCAACCAATTGTATAAGTTGGATCTACAGCTCAACCAGAAAGAACTCGAATGACAACACCTATAAGCCAACTGAAGTAATAAGACGAGCAATCGACGATGCAAACAACAAGAAAGCACAAGGAATTTGACGATGTACTGGTTGAGAAAGAGTTATGATATTAAGAATATTTCCAATTGTACTCGTTAAAAAGATAAACATTGAAAAGTAACTATTGACTTCATCTGATATTTTGATTAAATATGCAACTACGTAGTAGATAAACCTATCCTGTTAAATCATAGTGACAAATATTACAACTTTATTTGGACTTCTCAACTACCATACGAATCCAAAACTTTTTTTACCTTTGAGAGCTCTTTTCAAATATGAGGGAAAACAATGAAATATCTTTTCGATTGGAGATACTTTGAAAAACAGTTAAAAAAACACGCCTAAAAATATGACGGATATCGGAAGATTTTCTTGTAAATTGAAACAATATCCTTCGAAATTAGAGAAAATCTTGTAGAAATAACCCTCAAATGAAATATTTTGAACTACAAGTTGGCTGATGATCTTGATTTTCCCGTGAAATAGAGCGTATCCAAGCTTTTAATACATCGCAAGTTGAGCCTACCCAGACCTAATGGCTCCGCCGCCTATGATCGAAACCTAGGAAAAGATTTTTGTGAAGTATCTGCTTGAATCTTTTAGTTTGATATCAACACATCGATATGAGAAAATTAGAAATAATATATTTCAACACGTCAGATAGATTTCTTTTCTTTTTAACATGTGTTTAGAAACAACGGTTTATCTCAATATTCGACAAGTAATGTGCATCAGTTTTTTCTTTTCAAAATAGTTCTGCGCAAATTTAAAGTACCATTAGTACATTGATGAGAGTAAGAAAACACGGAGAATCTTACATAACCGCGGATTTGTCATAATTATAGCTTTTTAATCACCTTCAATGATGGAAACTATGATTCTTTTTTACCATGTGAGATACGACAAGAATATGCCTAACAGAATTAATAATTCTATCTAAAATTCATCTGAAAATTTGGAAAAAAAATCATTTTTATCTTTTGTATAATCTTTTTCAGTCGGTTACATACACGTGATTTTATTATCGTTTTGACCATGTATGAACTGTTCTATATTCGTTTTTTTGTCTTTGAACATAGAGGGCAGATTATATGACTTCGTGAAAGTTTCCTTTTCATTTTTCTATTTTCAACTCAAAGGCAGTGATATCCAGCACGCCTCTCTTTGTCTCACTGTTGTAATACAGGAAAATAGGACGATCGCCATGTAACTTAGATGTCTTTTAGTCACTTAATCTTGATACTATATTCAATCAGAAATGAATAATAGTATCAATATATCAATTCTTATAAACTAAGTCAGACGAATAAAAATAAAGTCATTATTCTATTTTAACAACAATACAAAGTTATATGTAATGTACTGTCACAAGAATCCTTTCTAAATCAGTTTTACATACAAAAGTTTTCTTTTTCGAAAGTTTTATGAAAACTCACAAAATAATACCAGAATCGACTGAGTTCTCTGAAGACAAAGTAAATCGTACAGAGTTTTCGAAAGACATGATTTTCTTCCAACAATTTCTGTCAGATATCATATGTGTTCTCAAAATTATCTATAAGTCAAAATATCCCATCAAGGTGCTTATGTTATTCAAATTAAACGAAAACATTTCAAATCTCCTGAACAGATTTCGACAGACAAAACGACAATGACAATATTATCAAAGATATTTAAATAAGAAAATTATCTGAACACTGAACTATGGGTTCTACAAGACGAAAATAAACGCTTTTTTCCTGAATACAAACTCATATTCCGCATCTGTTGCTTTGGTTCTTGGTTTATTGTCAGCCGGACATCTATATGAATGACAGAACTGAAAAAGGTGTAGTATGCAGTGAATTCTAATTGGTTTAAAGCTCGAAAATAGGTCACATACAATATATATGTAGCGTCTGAGTGTAGCTTTTATATCAACCGAACTGTGCTCAATTTTGTTCTGTGTAGAAAGGAAACAAAAGAAAAGAAAATGACGCAGTTTTTCTACTCTCCAGGATACACTGAAAACATTCTCTTTATGATGAATTTTATTCCGTCAGAAAATAAAAAATGATACTGGGAATTTTCCCAGTTGACTGAATAAATTCCAACGTTTTGTAAGCACTATTCACAGTATAAAGTAAATTCTAATCTTATAGATTTGAATCTTTTTCGTCGAAACCTATTTACATATTTTCAAAATGGGAATTCCAGGATTTTCTAGTTGGTTAGATGAGAAATATCCATCGATTATTACACCATGTACACAAGGTAAGATATATGCATTATTGAAAATCGATTTTGTGTTTTCTTTCTCAACTACACAGAAAATGGAAAAGCTTCCGATGACAATAGAATTCAAGTATAGTTTAAAACTCATCATTGTATATTATTTATTGAGTTGCAATTTCAGGTTGATAATCTTTATTTGGATATGAATGAAATCATTCATTCATGTTTCGACTCCGACGATTCGTCAACAGTGAAAAACGAAGACGAAATTATCGAGGCAGTTTTTCGGCATATTGATGAAATAGTTTCAGTTCTTCATCCACGTAAATTAATCTACATGGCTCTTGATGGTGTTGCATCAAAAGCGAAAATGCATTGTCAACGTGTACATCTTTTTCTTCGTGCAAAAAATGATCCCGACGATATTGGACAATTTACTAAATGTGATATAAAACCGGGTACAAAATTTATGGCAAAATTATCAAATAAACTTCAATCTTATATTTTAAAACGTATGAACCAAGAAGATTCAGTTTGGAAGTCCATTATTGTAATATTATCAGATGCCAATGTACCTGGTGAAGGTGAACATAAAATTATGGATTTTATACGTTCACAAAGATATTCAAATCCAAAAACAAATCATGTTTTATTTAGTGGCGATTCCGATGTGATATTACTTGGTTTAACTATGCATTCGAATCATATTCGAATAATGCGTCGAAAAACAGAAGAAACAAAATCATATACATTTAGAGATTTGAGATTATTACGTCAGGAAATCATAGAAGAGTTCGGAGGAAATTTAGAAAGAGTAATTGATGATTGGATATTCATGTGTCTTTTAGCTGGAAATGATTATCTACCAAATTTACCATCTATTGGTTTTAATCGAAATGAACTTGATAATACTCTTTTCAATACTTACAAAGAATATATACGCAAACGAGGTGGTTATTTAATTGAAAATATGCAACCAGATTTAAGGAATTTCAAAATTCTTTTGCAGCGTATTGGTGAGAACGAAGAAGAGAACGTTGTGTCTCTTTTAGAGCACAGTCAAACATCAGTACAATATTCAGTGGACAAAGTTAGGTAAACTAAATCTTCTCAATTTTAGGAAATATTTTCTCTATAAAATCGTTAATTTCTCTCGTAGGGAACAGGATAAAGATCCGCCGTTAAGATTCGGTCCGTCACCACCTCAAAAGGCAAAGTCCTCTGCGTCAAGTATCCAGACCGTAACTAATTGGCAACGACAATATTACAAAGACAAATTTGGTTTTACCGAAGATCAACTAAGAACAAAATCTATGGAAGTTGCTCATGATTATGCTAAAGGTTTACGCTGGATACTTGAGTGTTATTACAATGGTATACCATCCTGGAATTGGTACGTATTTCTATTATACTATACAACAAAATCTGTTTAGTCATATTTTAGGTATTATCCACATTACTATCCACCACTTCCTTCGACATTGTCAAATCTTGAAAGTATACCTGACCGATTCAGTTCAGACTCAAAGCCATTAACACCGTTAGAAGAAATGCTGGCTACATTTCCATCAAAATATGCACGTTATCTTCCGGAAAAATGGCAACCATTGATGCAAAATATAGAATCACCAATTATTGATTTTTATCGAACAGATCCGGCCATTGATACTCATGGTAAACGTTATGAAAAACAATATATCGTTAAATTACCATTTATTGATGAAAAACGTTTATTTGAAGCCCTTTCACTTATTGATTCCACATTATCAGAAGAGGAAAAAGAACGTAACAGAGTTGATGATGATCATCGTCTATTTATTCATTCGACAAATCCATATTATCAACAGTTCATCAATTCAAATGGAACAGCGTTGGATGTAAATACTCGTAGAGAAATTACACGTGATCATGCAAACAATAAAGATCCCCAGGTCGAACAATCTGGCACGGAAACGGCCGATTCCGTGGTATGCCTGAGATTTCATGGAATCCTGCCTCAGGAACCATCATCCTAGAATGTCATTTTGTGTGATATCATAATACAATATTCTGACACATGAAAGTGTTCGATCTAGTTTAGTATCAAATACGATTGAAAAGATGATGGATTAGATACATTAGTTAGAAGAACATGTTCATATGAAACTATTTGATATCGACCCTTTCAGTATTAAGATAAAAGTTATTTTTCAACGAATTCTCAATCATTCTCCTTTTGCTCTGACAATCCATTTTTCTTCGTTGAATTTTTATACTGAACCCTGGCGCTAGTATATCCGATAGATAGATGGAGATGGAGATAAGCGACTGACAATGAGAATGAAGCGTTTTCTTTAATTTATCATTAAATGTTAATTATACAGGACACGAAGATTAAAACGAGTATCATCAAGAGATTTACGTGCGCAGACCATATTATATTAAATCAACAACAAGTCACGCATGTTTGGATCTTTATTTAATTGAAAAGGCGAACGACATGAAAGATAATTTCTGAATAGAATCGCTTTATGTTGATCATTATGAGATAGATCATCGAAATATTCACCATATTATTCTGTTTAATCTGCTTATTTTAAAAATGTGATTATTGATAAAGAAATGACTTTGCATCGAATGATGAATATTCTTTTTCAACCTCTGATGGATCAAGACAGAGTTTACATCGATATCAATGAATAGGACGTCAAAATCGTATTTGACTGTGTTGGAAAATAACAACAGGATCAATAAACAGGCAAAGAATGCATTAATTCGTACAAACATTATTTTAAATGTTGTGCCTATTCAAAATTGCAAAGCATGTGTATAAGAAGCCTAAGTTGACCTTATTTTCCCTTTCGACTAAGTACATTGACTGCACCCAATCGCGAAGGAAAGAGACTCCAGACAGTCTCGTGCTTTCTATCGCGAAGTGTTTTTGCAGGAAAGCAAAATACGCACTTTGTCGGACAACAAAAAAATGCCGCCAGCAATTCAATTCGAGTTTTCTTTTTATTAAAATCTACGAGGTGAACAGAGGTATGATGATGAATTGAAAAAATAAATCAATAGACATTTTACCTCAGGTTCGAAATCAGTTTTCTTTTCTTTTCTCATTTGAAATTCAATCTTTACAATACAAAAATGTTAAAACCAAACGAGAAAATTCAGTGGTACTATTGATTTATTTTTTACTTTCTTCATTTGAATAAAGATATCATACGAAACAATTTCTCGTTTCACATTTTTATAGCAAAACAAAAACATGAAAAGAGAACAGAAGAACGAATGAAAGATCTTCACGGGGATTTGGATGACAGAATTGGTCGTGCAGATGATGAGGCGAGTAGAATTTGATTGGTACTAAATACTGATAAACCAAGTCCAAAGAGGGACATCAAAACAGCTGCACTGAATGATAGACGTTCTTTATTCAACAATGAATTTGTTAAATCATGTTTCTATACAATAAATCAACTATAATGAAGTCGATTCAATCGAACAAAAGAAATACATACGGGAAATAATTTTGATCCAGTCTTAGTAACAACACTGAATATCATGATGATTGATATTCTCAAAGAGATTTTATCTGGAAATGAAAAGGAAAGAATGCATTTACGATTTCATTCTCGTTCGTTCTTTCGAAATCATTCGTTGATGAATGATCGTATTATACTTTGTACTTTCGCATCTTGTGAGGATCACCCATTGTAATGGAAATCAAAACCCTCAAAACATATTTTACAATCAGAAAGGAAAAAGATGTCGCTCTCATACGATAAGCGAGTGAATAAATCTGAATATTTGAAGATCTAGAAAGGGGTTCAGTTTTATTGAATTAGAAAGAACATTGTTTTCAATAAATCAGTTATTAAGCTTTTCGAAAACACATGATTAAGTCCCGTTTGAAAATAGTATTACTGGTTAATCAATCGGTTTTCTTATCACAGCAAATTGAATTTTGTGAAGGGATTTTAATAAATATAATAACATTGTTTATTGTAAACATGATTCTGAGCTCTGTACGTATCATTCGATGTTAAAAGAAACAGGACTTTCCTTGGGAGATACTTCCTTCAACTCTGACATGTCATCTTCTCATTAGATAAGATATAATCTACTACTTGCTGTTTGTACAAAATATGTTTTGTTGTCGCGATTTCAAGTGAAAGGAATTTTTTCCCATGCTGCTATCTAAGCGTGTCTAGAACTATTTCATACATTAATATCAGTCATAGGTGGTGAAAGTTATAAAATAGTCTTTAGCAATAGAAGTCGGAAGCAGCACCAGCAAAGAACATTCTATCTATATCTCCATATTATTAAAAACGATGAGAGTAACACGAGGTTTATTCTTCGTACTGTTGTTGAATTGGACTCCTTTACAGAAAATCGTAGCAATCCCAGTGGATGAATTTGAACAAGAAGCTTCCACAACATCAATCTTCTCAACGGATACTACTCAATATAACAGTTCTTATTTCTCTTCATTGCATTATCTGACCGCCAGCACTGACTCAACGATTTCATCTACGGATAGTACCGTTAATACTGACTCAACGATTTCATCTACGGACAGTACCGTTAGTACTGACCCAACGATTTCATCTACGGATAGTACCGTTAGTACTGACCCAACGATTTCATCTACGGATAGTACCGTTAGTACTGACCCAACGATTTCATCTACGGATAGTACCGTTAGTACTGACCCAACGATTTCATCTACGGACAGTACCGTTAGTACTGACCCAACGATTTCATCTACGGACAGTACCGTTAGTACTGACCCAACGATTTCATCCACGGACAGTAATCCCATGGCTGCCGAGAGTTCTCTGTTTGATGTTGAAAATTCAACGCAGTTCAATGACACTGACGGTGCGTAACATGTCATAGATAATATTTGATGATTTTCTTAGTTCAAATATCTAAAGCTGATCTTGTTTTATTGAATAGACTCAATAACATCAACATTCGATAAATTAAGTACGATTGATGCAGTGAAATTGCGAGTTGTTGTTGGTCCTAAAATACTTCAAATACATCGTGGACAGATAACTTATGAGCTAACCTGTACCGTCTACGGTGTCGATGCGAGTACACATATCTACTGGAGTCATGAAGAGCTCTATCGAGTAAAATTCTCAAACAACATCATCGTTTGTCTCAAATAAGGCTCTGTACCTATTGTTTTAGCGTTACGTCTTTACCGATAAAGAGATTAAAAGTGCTTCACCTTGGAAAATAACACACAAAACGCATATTACAGTTGTCTTTCCAAATTCTCTGGATAAGTATACATGTGTCGCGCGAGATATAAAAGGCAATACTGTCTCCGATACTGTTTCTACGCAAATAGATTCTGATACTCATGATCAAAATTTTGGAAGAGTAAGTTTTGCATAGAATCGAAATTTATTTGGCTCTTATCCATCGTATAGAGTAGTCTTGGTTTTAAACCTTTGCGCATTATTGCACCGGATACGAATGATAAAGATCATGTAGAAATTGAATGTACAGGCGCAGATTCCTACGATGAAAGCAAAATAAAATGGTATTTTAACAATCGGGTAGGTATCTGTTTTAGTTTAAGTGTAATCTTTTACAAGTTCATTCATATATTTGTATCTTTTCATAATGATTTAAGCGTCTTGTTAATGGGCATCCCTTTTATCCTCGTGGAAAAATTCTTCTTATTGATCCAGTTACACCATCACAGTCAGGAAATTATCGTTGTACAATTGGCGATCATCGCTATGTAGAATCCTCTATTACTCTTACATTTTCAAGTAAATAGATAAAAAAGACGAAATCTAAGTGAAGTTTTTTATTTATAAGAAAAACCAGATGACATTGTTCATCCAGTATTCGATCCGGCGAGTCCATTATCTATTAACGAAGGAGAAAGTCAATTAATTCGATGTCGATCGGGATATTATTTAGCTTACTGCGTATTCCGTAACGGTCAAAGACTTCCATCGGGCGTCTATCAAAATGGCAATATTTTAATGATTACAAATGCAACTTCTCGTTACTCTGGAATGTATAATTGCACGCTAATGAATAATGACGGTAAACTTTTACGGATTCCATATGAAATTCAAGTGAAACGTAAGCAAACACACAATTTGTCCCGAAGTATGATTAAAATAAAACTAAACTCCTCTATTATCTTTTGTTATTTTTCTTTTGTATGTGGTTTACCAAAACTAATTGTCCGTCCACAAATCATAGATCTAGTTGAAGGTCAACGACTGATTATCGAATATACAGTTATTGTGAGTGAAGAATGAAAATAATTATTTCAAAATGAATACAATTTCTGTTTCTAGTCAGAAGAACCAGTTGAAATAGTTTGGAAGAAATATGTAAATCATAGTTATGAATCAATTTCATCTGCCTTTATAATCGAATCAGATCGACTTATTCTCCAACGTGCTACATTAGATGTAGTTGGAACTTATCAGGTTATCGTACGTAATTCATATGGTGAAAGTCGACAAAATCTACGTATAAATGTAAAACCACGACGTAGTCAACAACGAGAATCTGTTCAAGTAACAATTCAACCAAAGGAAATTATAATTGAAGCTAATGAAAGAACAATCTTGAACTGTGATGTGAAAGGTGCTCAACAATATCGAGTTACATGGAATAAATTCGCTTATAATACTAGTCTTCCCGATTACGCTCATGTATGTATTGAAAATTGAAAACAAACGAAACATCATCATGTGTTTGATTAAAATAGCAACAAGGAAATGATCTGATCATTTTCCCATCCAATGATACACCTACTGAAACGATGTATTTCGAATGTCAAGTTGATGTATCTGGTGAATCTGTATCATATAATGCTTACGTACAAGTTACCATTGGTAATGGAAAAAGTGAACGAAGTAATACCAATAAATAACTATTATGAATAATGATGCTCCAGCAGCGTTTGCTTCATTTTGTCTTATTTAACGTGTAATTTGTAAACTTAACGCTTTTCTCAAATTTTTTTATGAATCGAACATTCAAGTTTTCTTTTTCTTATATTGAAATGAGTAGATAATGGATTACTACAATCCATCATTGGGAAAGAAAAGAAACGAGATTGGTGTCATCGTTCATTGATTAAAATAGATGGAGTTAAATACAATTTTCATCTTGAAAATAATTGAATGAATTTTTCAAATAAAATTCCGATGAAAAGAAATATTTTCTGAATTAAAATCTGTTGTTTATTAGTTAAAGATAAGAGTCCACATTTTACCAGATTTTATTTGAGAAGAAAAGGATTTGGTTTGGTTGATGTCGAATTTGCCTCGGGTGAATTAATCTACTTTGTATTAAAAAAAAACTAAATGGATTGTCCACATTCATTGGTAGGTAAGTTTAATGAGTCTTTCCATCTTTCTAACAAATTCAATTGTTTTAAATAGAAAAAGAGAATGTTCTCGAACAAGCCCTTCGAACGTATGAAGAAAGTGAACGTTCATTGAAATCGATCTGCATTTCTGTCGAAGAAGAAAATTCTCAATTAGAAAATCAATTGAAAAGCCTTCAAAATCATCACACAAATTTATTAAAACAATATCATTTAGCCAAAGAACGTCTTCATCAAATTCGTGGTGAACATGCGCGATTAGCTGAACGACAACTATTTATCGACCAACAAACAAATCAAATTCATCAACGGTTTACTTTCATTTCTCCATTTTTCAAACATCAAAAGTCTCTTTTTAGTTATCGACAAACTCAATTAGCTTTGAAAAAGATTCTTTCATTTGCTAAAACAACCAATGAAGAATTGACTGGTGAAAGTTATTCGACTTTAGGATTGAAATTGATTCCAATCGATGAAGACAAGCGTTCGATGAATGATATCGGAACAAATTATGATCCACCTGCACTTTCATCAAAAAGAAGATTAACATCAAGTGAAACTCAACAGAAATATTCAAAAAATAGCTCCTCATCACACAGATCATCAAAGTAAAATAAACAATCCTTTTTTCTTTCTTTGAAAAACTAAATTTCTCAAGAATTGCAATACTTTCTTATCAGATTCTCTCTTTGTAGATTTGTTTATTTTTCTTTATTTATTCGTAAACTCGTCGAATGGCCGACGAGATCAATACAGAACTAATTCACCACGACAAAAGATCATCAAATGATGATTCATCACCGAATTATTTGAATGGAAACGACTCGATCGAAGATGATGCCAATGAAAGTTCTTTCGATCCATTATTAGTTCATGAGGAAAGTTCAAACATTGATTCAAGTCCGGAAATCGACTATCAGGAGAAACCAGTCGAACTCAAAGCTCAACGAGAACTTGACGAAGATGAAATCCCACCACCTGTCGTTCCAACTGAACAAACACCGAGTGAAGTTGAAACAACTCATTCGAGAACAGAATCTGAATCAAGTATAACTGATGATCGTCCATTGACAGAACTGGAAACACCTTATGAACATCATGAAGAAAACGAAACTTCACCTGTGGAATTATCGAATGATCAAAGTTCATCAAACAATCATTCATTCGTAGAAATTGAACAATCCCTTGAACTTGCTGAAACTGAACAAGAACAAGAAGTAAATGAAATACCAAATGAATCGATAACGGAAGAAGATAATGTTCAAGAAGAAGTACATTTCACCGAAGAAGATTTTCCACCTCTATCTTCACCTGCAATCACAACTGATCAAATAAAAGAAGAACAAGAACAACCATTAGCATCAACTATTTTCAAAGAAGAGGAATTTCCACCTTTACCTACACCAGAAGCGACAACAATTGTACAAACAAAAGAAGAAATCATCTCCTTACCCGAACCGGAAGACATTCTTGGAAATAAAACTTTGATTAAACAAGTAAATAACTCTTCTTGAGAATTCAATTTCATCGAACTGTCTTTAGATTATTGAACAAGGAACCCCATCCACACGTCCAACACGAAGTACATTGGCAACTGTTACTTATACATTATCATTAATCGATAATTTCACGTCAAATGTTCGTGTTATCGAAACAGTTTCTCATGAAAGTTTCTTTGTTAGTGAATGTGATACAATTCCAGCGATTGATCTCGCAGTTCAATTTATGAATCGTGGTGAACGTGCGATTATTGATGCGGATATTCGACATGGTTACGGTGAACTCGGTTATGAAGAAAAACAGATTCCATCAATAAATTCAACAACAAATCAATCATATCGAATGAAAATCGATTTAGAACTTATTGATTGGAAAAGTCCACCGAATATTCAATCGTTAACTGTTGATGAAAGACTCTTTTGGGGTGACAAGAAACGACAAATGGGTAACTTTTACTATCGTCGTCGTGATTATTCCAATGCACTTCAATGTTATCGTGGTGCACTTCGTTTCTTAGATGTCGAAACCAATTTGTTAGGAGTTCCTTGTGATGATAATCAACGATCACTTTTAACTGATAGTTACATTCAAGTTCAAAACAATGTTGCACAAGTGAATCTATTTTTGAATAAATATGAAGCTTGTTTAAATGCAGTGGAAAATGTTTTGAAATACGATTCAAAAAATGTCAAAGCTTTGTTCAGACAAGGCAAAGCGTTATTTGAATTAGGAAAATATGATCAAGCACTGCAGCCATTGAAATCATTTGCACAAATTCAACGAGGCAATTCGAATGCTGCCGGTGATTATGATAAAGTGACTGAAATGATTACAACTTGTGAAAACAAATTGGCTAATTATCAGAAAAAAGAAAAAGAAATTTATCGTCGTATGTTTCAACCAGCACCACCAACAACAAATCAACAACGTCAAACAAAAGTCCAGAAAAAGGTTAGATTTGATTGTTTCATCAAGATCAATCAGATCTCTTTTTCTTTTCTTATAGATTGATAATGCAAGTAGTAATACATGGTTGTATATTGGATTGGGAGGTGCAGCACTTGCTGCCATCGGTATTTTTACTTTTATGAAATATCGTAAAACTTCGTGAATACGTTAAATCCAGTGACCGTTCGTTTATTTTTCTTTCTGTTTTGTTCTTTTCTCGTTTAGCATTATTTGTTTGAGTGTGTGCTCCGATGTCCTTTTGTCTTTCGTTTTACTCTGTATTTTGTATACGAAAGTTTCCTTTCTAATCAAACACCTACAAATAAAAACACTCTAGCAACAAAATTCATAGAACTTTTGTGCATGATCGAGGATATCACGGAGTTTAGTCAACAACAGACCGAAGAGAATGATGTACGTTGTTGTATCCAATCATCAAATTCGATGACCTTTTCTTCTCAAATTGAAGCAAAAAGAAAATTGTACATTGAATGAACTTTCTCGTCTATTATTTAAAGGAAAAACCGGCGACAACATTGTCTGTGATGTCGTTGGTCAATGACCTATAAAAATGATACAGAAGGATGACATGTCAAAATTCGATGACATCTTCAACGAAATTTGACGCTTTACCTGATTTAGTATTAATTGAGATATTTTCTTATCTCTCATCTTTTCATATACTTTTCGGATTTACTTCTCTCAATGAACGACTTACATTATTACTTATTGAAAGAAGATATTTCAGCCGTGTTGATTTATCATCATCGCACTATTTCCAATTTAACCAAATTATTCAAAGAATTGATTTGAATAGAATCGAGTCGTTGACAATTGATATTAATGCATCACCACTACAAGTATCTTGTTGGCCTTATCTACCCCGATTATCCACATTACGATTGTTAGGTGTACGAGAATATAATGATGTGATTACTTTCTTGTTATTACACGCAGCAACATTAACTCATTTGACGATTGATACAAGATTTGAAATTGAATCAGTAAGTAAAGTTATAAATATTTTTTTGAGATAGATGTAATCATAAATGGAACTTATCTATACAGCTTTTAATGCGTCTTTCTTTTTTAAAGAGTGGTGTGACACAGAAATACATTCATCCCAAGTGTGATATAATCTCGATCGTGAAAAATATTATATTTCGTCACTTACATTCTCTTCGATCGCTTGATTTTGGACCAAATGATTTCAATGGGGTATATGATTGGCGCATAACACATATATCTGCCCGACTTACTTTTCTGCGTGTCTCCTTGTGGTGGCCGTCCGATGTAGTTCGTCTGATATCAACACCGCCTTTACCGGAAACATTAAAATATTTGTACATCTCTTTAAGTGATATTACATGTGGGATGCTGTCTCGTCTACCAAATAAACAACAGTTAGCTCCTATGAAACAATTGCGTAGTTTTACATTCATGAAGTCTTTCATATGGAGATTTGACAACGAATTAGCTTTCATCGAATTATTGACGTGTGAAGATATAATGCCGATGCTGCAACGAGTAAAGTTATCGATAATTCTGAATAACCACGAGTTCGATCGTTTCAAACAATGTTCTATTTTCAATGACCATCGATGTATTGATGTTCATTTCGCATTATGTATTGAAGATTACGACAGATGCTTTAATTCGACAGATTTAATTCCACATGGAAGTTTTTCTTATCCAAAAGAAGTAAGAGGTTCAGCACTGATGGTGAATTATTGGTACAACATTGGATATTCTACAACTGTGTCACTTAGTAGAGTAAATTCAAATTTTGAGACTGAAGATCAAATTGATTTTATTGACAAATGTTTTAGAAGTCTCGATACCAATTTGATCGACGTTGGGTGTGGTATACACATCCGTGGTCTTTTCAAACATTCTATATGATACCACTTTTAAATCAATGCAATCATGAAAGAGAACTATACGCAACGCCTTCATCATTCAATAGCATCTCACCACCCAATATTTCACCATTACTTCGCTATGTTCCTGTTTCTTCACGAGTTCTTCAAGATAACAAAGGATCCCATGGTGATATTAACACAAACATTCATGTAACAATTCCAGCTGATCGTATAGTTGTGACAGATTGTCTCGACAATTTACCCAACTTTTTATATACACCAAATCTTCGTTCTATTCAAATTATTTTCCACCACTCAGAACCTGTTACCACGATGAATTGGAATTCATTGCGCACATTTTCAATTCTTCCATTGCTGAAATCACTGCGAATAACTATTTACGACTGTAAAACTATACTTGAAGACCAGCATTGTCAATCAATTGTTGAAAAAATACCAATGCTCGTCGATTTTGTCTTTTGCTTTCGAGGACGTACTATACGTGTCCCCAATCACGAATATTCTTATATTCATCAGAAGTCGATTAGAAATTTATATCATCATGTATCCATGCTCACTTCCAATCGTCAACATAAGATAGTTATCGAACCAGATGAATGTGGATTGATGGTCTGGTTATGACTTAAACTCGACTGAATGATTTTTCTCATTGTCTCCTTGCTTTTCAATGTTACCATCGATTGAAATATTGATAGAATGGTTTTTCTTTGCTCAATAATATCGTTACCTATTAGAACTTTGTCAGTGAACTCCTACGAATAAATTTCGAAACTGAATCTTTACTAATTGTACTCGAAAATAATTAGATGTATCTTTTATTTTCTGTCGAAAACGAAAAAACATGTGATGATACATCTAAAATAAATTCTGATTATCTTCGTTGTATTGCACCACTCTATGCATATAAAATGCACGAAATTATACACAATCAAAGATAAACTAAATGGACAGAAAGTTCATGTTCTTTTATCATTCTGTTCACTTCTCCGATGTTGAATTTATCCAATTCTTTGCTGCAGACCATCCGCTGAGCGTGCTCATTTCTCACTGCACACAATACACTCATAAACTGCAGAAAATTCACGTTTCTTCCACAACTGAAAATCGTTCAACTCACTCGCGGCTTTCTTTGGCTGCCCACTACAGCAACAACACAGTTTTGGGCCAATTTTACACGACAATCTTCACAATACACCCCATCTTTTTTCATTAACTTCAGCATGCACTAAAAAAGCGGATCTCTTCCATTATTTCACACAATTCTAGATTTTACCGTCTTTTGTGTTGTACTAAACGGCGCAGATTCTGCCGACGCTGATGAACCAAACGAAGCAGCAACACTATTAGATGTTGGTGGAATAAACGGAGCAGGTTCATCACCATATGTCGAAAGATGTAATGAATTGTTTTCTGAAGAAAAACTTGGAGTAAATGCAGCGGGGAAGACGGAGGATGGCACAGCAGGAGTTGGAGCGGCAACCGGCTTCTGCTAAAGATTGGAAAAAGATAAAATAGCTTTTAAGAAGGGGAAAAGCCATACTGAACGAATAGAACAACGATCGAAATCGGCGATGATGTTGACTGCCGTGATTTCCTTGCAGAAACACTCCATTTCCCAATCGTCTTTGTATCGTAACATGGTTCGAAAGCAGTCGATACAGACGAAATGAATGCAATTAAGCATTATATATTTGGTTTTTGTCTGATAACAAGCGCCACACCTTGTGTCGCTACTCATTGACGAGATTTTACTTGAAAAGCTATCTAAAACATCGAAATACCCACTTTTCGTGTGAAAAAACGATTGGTATTGGGTCGTCGAAGTATGCGACAGTACGAAGAAAAGATAGGGAAGAGTGGATGCTATTTAATGTTGTTAGAGAATAATTTCAAATATATTTCCATGATCATGTGACTGATATTCGTCGCAGATGTCTTTCTCTCGTGTGCGGAGAACGATAAACGAAGGTTTTCCTAACTGAATTATTCTGTTCTTCTAACCATCGACCATTTGGAATATTTAGTCCATAACTAATGTGTTTCAGTCGTATGCAACACGTGGATGATATTTTTAACCACTTCACTTCACGTTCATGTTTTGTAAATATTCATTGGTTTTCCTTGAATTTAGCTTTCGTAAATTAAGTATCAAGACAAAAAGGATTCGAAATGGTTGCCTTCTCTCTCTACAAATAAAACAAAATGCAACGTTAAAGTTCATTCACAAGCGTTGCGCTCGAGATAAGATATGACTGGGAAAACTTAAACGACTTGTTTCTTCTGCTAATTTCCTGAAAGCGATGGAATCGTTGAAATCCTCTCGACAAGAAAGCTTGTATAAAATCTTTTTCGATTGATCTTTAACCATGAGTTTTTTTTGACAATATTCAACATCGAATAAAAAAGTCGTTTATTAAAATGGTTTTTTAATCTCAATCTGTTCTTTTTATTTCAAGTTATTCGAAGAAAAACGATAAGAATACAAAACCAAAACGAACTACATACAAATAATTACATTAAATAAACATTACTTTTGTTCATCTTCTTCAGCCTGGAAAAGAAAAAAACAATTAGAAAACACTCATCTTTCTCTCTCTCTCATTTCATCAAATCTTACTGGATAAACAAACGATGTTAACTTTTGACAATGATCAGTGCAACAAATTTCACATGTATACAAGCCCATATTGATTTCAAATGTTGCATTTGCAATGTCTAAATCCGTATTTTCACCGAGTGTATTTATTAATTCATCATTGGGATTAAACCACTGAATTCGACATTGTTTTTGCTGAGTACCCACACGACAAAACAACGATAGAGACTTTCTTGGTTCGAACAAAGCTTGCGCGGAATGAACTATTAAAAAGAAAAGAATTCAATGAGAAAGATTCCAAATGTTTGTTTACTGATAAAAGATGAATCTTTGATAAAATTTGTTGGTATCGAATAAACATCGGATTTGTCATTGAGATTTAAATTAACAGTAAATGTTTGTTGAGCATAGATTTCTTGATGAACTCCAATACATTGATAAAAACCATTCATATCAAAATGAACTTTTTCAATAGAAATTGTTGAAACAATTGAAACGGCAAGAAAAGAATTTTCGTCTTCATTTTCCTTTGTCTAATGAAGAAAAAGTTTAAAAGAATTTGTTTTTCAAATGAAATATTTACTTTTGATAGAAATGATTGAATTAATGTTCCATTGTGAAGCCAAAAAATATCAATTTGAGGAAAATTCGAGAGAAATAAACATGTTAAGTTAAATTTTGTATTTTCAACAATCTGAATTTCTTTCGGTGAACTAAATTTCGACTGAAATGTAATCGTTTTATGTTTTCTCAATTGATTCAATAAAGTCGACGTTGTTGTCAAACCAATCAAAATCGTGAAATTCTTTTTCAAACAAAACAAAAAAAAACAATTTTTCATTGAGAAAGGAAAAACATTGGAAAACTTACAAAAAAAGTCAAGAATGAATAATACATGATCAAGATTGATGTGTTGTTCGTTTCAAATTATGGAAATGACTCGTTGACGACGAATAGCAATGTTGACTTCTATTAACATATTATGCAATGAATGACGCCGCTTGAATGACATTAACAACGGTTCTTCTTCTTTTTTTTCTATCATTCGTATTCAAACGTACAGAAAAAAAAGAGAGACACAAAGAAATAATCTATGTCATCGTGACTTCGGTCGAAGTGACCGTTGTTAATCTCTCATTTTGCTTTTGTTCTTAGTCTCATCAACCAATACTATGGCTTGTATGGCATAATTGAATTACTGAAGAAAAGGAAGAGGAAGTAGACATGTTGTTCGATGGAGAAATTCATGTTTTATGCGTATCAAGAAGATGAACTTCAAGGACGTTTTTCTGATATAGAAATGAAAGGTGAAAATGCTTTGAAAATTCTTTGTTACTCCGAAATGATTTTTATCGGAAGTCTTTATAGTCTGTTCTTTTAACGATTGATTATCTTTCTCGCGTGAAAAGATTATCTTTTTCTTTGAATAAATTTCTTTCATCTTCTATTAAAAAAAACTCCTAATTATTTCTTATCTATTTCTAATAATTATCCTTTCAAAAGACATGAACATCAATTGAAATAAATAGAAAACTCCGGTAAATATCTTCATGCCGTTTTCGACAAAAATCTTTCATTAGAATTGATTATCTACGAACAATTTATGAATAGAAAATAGATTAGTTTTTGTTTGCTTTGTATTGTTCGATTGAAATTTGACATGGATTGTTTTATATGAGTATATACTACTTAAGAAAGTAACTGACTGAAGAGAATTGTTACACATGTTAAAAAGTATAAATGGGAGAGGAGAAAAGAAACTTTTAACATCCGTTCTTTGATGTTAATTTCAAACTGGTTTTCCTTTGACAATAATAGGCAAAGATTTTCATCATAACTTTAAAGGAATGAGGTAAAGCTCAAGTAAAACGAGAAGAAAAAGAAGAAAAAAAGAAAACGTCGCTGTTGTCTTTTTTCCTCTCGTTTCTATTCTATTTGAGAAAACGAAGAAGAAGAAGAAGAAGTCTATTACAACTAATTATATTTCAACATTACACAGTGTGAATAAGAAAAGGAGAGATCGATCAAGTCATAGCTCATTTATATCGATGCAACAACAATCTCAGGCTCAAAATCTTCGTGGTTCACGATTAAGTACAAGTTCTCATTCTTCAACATCTTTAATAACAAGTCCAGTATTGAATGGATTACTTCCCATACATCGTGCATCTCAAACATTACCTCCAAGTTTATCTATTGGAAAAGAACAAGCGTCTCCTCAAACGCGTTTTTTACAATTAACAAATGATCAAATAAAACGTATTGAAACATTTAAACAAATCGTATTATTTCTAACCTTAACAATTCTTTTTGCGTTTCTTCTTATCATAACAGTTGAATTAGCCAAAGAACTTGTTCGTGACAAAAAAGAAGAATTCTCTTCAAATTTATCTTTATCAAACAATCAAACAAAATCATTTGATGAAACATCGTCATCAATTCGCTCATTTTTTGCATCTGTTTGGATTTTCAATGTTTTCCTCTTCTTCATTTGTTTATTTATCCATTTAATTCTTTATCGACAACGTTTACAACGCGATCGAGCTCGTGCAGCTTTTCTACGGTGAGGGGAAATCTTTATTTTTTTTCCCATTTCATTTATTGAAGTTCAATCCACAAAGATCTTTTCTGAAGATATTTTTCCAAAAGAAGTCAATCTCGTCAGAAGAGTTCATTAAAAATTCATATCCATGGATTGTATAAAATAAGCTTAGTTGACAGAACATCCGTCGAAGAGAAAGAAAAAGAAGACCGGAAGAGAAATGTTACGTATCGTTACCTTCCTTTGAAGAATCTATGCATCAAAACATCAAAAAAAGAAAAACAACATTAGAAAGAAGATTTTCTCGTGTTTTTATCATGTTTCTGTCAAGAGATCGACCTTGATGACTGTGTGCTTCTCATTAACAAACTTTCACTGACAGATTTTATCAAAGAGAATCTTTTTTTTTAGAGAATTCGGTCAAATTTTTGATGGTGGAAAGAGTTCGTCAACAAATACGTTGATTGATTATTTATTAAAAACATGTTTGTTGTGTTTTCTATGGTATTTTTCATGTTATCTATTATTTCGCTCAATGATGATACTCTTACCGGTGGAAATTTTGATCTTATATTCCATAACAGTCACTCTACGTCAAGTACTCGGATGGATTTTTTTACAAGAGGAATTTATTGGAAATAAAGTTAGTGGAAACTTTTGTGAAAAATTGCCGATGTTTTGCTATTTTTTGTTAGATCATTGCACATATTCTGGCGTTGTCTGGTTTACTTTCGTTAGCGCATAATGATGGCTTTCGATTTAATCGATTTTTACTTGGATTAACAATGGTTGTTGGTGCTGTATCGATGAAAACAACATTTGACGTATGGGGAAAAAAGGGAAAGTTTTAGATAAAAGAGAGTTTTTTTTCTGAACATTGAAGGTACTCGTCAATGGTTTTGTAAAAGATTTTAAATGTTCGAAATATCGAATAGTGATGATCAATGTTTGTCTATGTGGAACATGTATTTTTTGGCCATTTGCTTTATTATTTCATGTAACTCAAATTGAACCAATCATAATTCGTCAATTTTATTCATTAATTCCAATTCTTATATTAATTTCTGCGCTTTGTAAGAATTTGAAAAAAGCTCCATACACTTGATTCTTTCTTTTCTGTTCTTCTATTGAAGTATTCAATATATTTTTAATAACATTTCCATTTAAATATACAACATTACCCAATGTAACTTCGTTACTCATCGCTATTCCATCTGTTGCAAGTAAATTCTTTTTCAAAAAATCGATATTCTCTATCGAATTCATAAATCATTTTAGTTATTGATCATTATATATACATGAAAACCTATTCCGCTCTGGTTATCACCGCAATTTTATGTGCTTGTGCTGGAATTCTTCTTTCCATGATTCCCAAACAATGGTTTCAACCAAGTGAAACAACTAAAATGAAACAAGCATTGGGTTTACTTAATAAAGATACCAATCCGAGTGCTTCTGCTGGTTTATTAAATCCAATGGGAACAACTACTGGTACATCATCAGCTTTCGAAGAAATTAGAGCTCAACGACGCATTAGAAACGCACTTCTATACAACGATGGTAAAACGTGATCTCTCCGTAGTTTTTTTTGCTCATTATTATTCTATTTCATGCAATTCTTACGTACATCTAAGGATGTCATCCATCCTCTTTGCATCTTTTCAATTAAAAAACTCACTAAAGAAAGATTCCGGTTAGCTTTTCTGCGTGAATTTTTATTTTTATTTCAAATAAAAAAGGATTGTGTTAAATTTTTCAATATTCTTGTCCAAGGCAAAAATACTCTGTTCACCAACAAACACATCGCTTCATTCTTCTATTTAAGTTCAATTGGTGCTACAAGGGCTCTTTCACTGAAAGAAAAAGCAGAATTTCTTTCTGTTAAGAATATGTCGCTGACCTATAAACATTCGAATATTTTTGTGTACCTGAAAGGTGAGTATTCACATATAACCAGTTCTTATGACTGATCCATCATAGAATAACTTATAAAAGATTAATTGGATTAGAATGAGTTTTTTCGTGGAATATTATTTCCATTGAAGTTCGATGTGAAATACATATCAAATAAGAAAATATTTTGAAAGAAATTTAATGAGAAAACAAAATATTTTGTGACATATAAATTGATTGGTTTATTGTATGAAGTCTCATTTTTTATTTATTTAGGTTTTTAATCAACAAAAGATGCCATCAATCAATGTACATCGACAGAAACATTTCGCGATAGGACATTGTTGATTCATTGCAAACCAATTCGACACATGTTCAGCATGTCCACCGTGACGACATAAACGACACCATGTAAACCATTGACTTGACATTAAAGTATGTTTATCTAAATATCCTAATTAACTTATGAATCTCATCAATCTCTTCTTACCTGGTAAGGGCTCATAAGCATAAGACGCATCTTCGATATATGTCGTTAAGCTCATCATACAGATTGAACAACGTGGTAAAACTTGTCGACATTTACTACAAACCATTAACTAAAGATAAAAAAAGAGATTAGAAGAGAATGAATTGTAATTCGAACCAAATCTGAATTTTGTGATTGTGGATATGAAGATGAAGATGAATTCGATATTCGATTGGACATTGTCTGTTGAGATCCGCGTGTTTGAGGTCGTACAGGTGTAGTTGTAATTGGCGTTGAATTGACGTTCGATGATAAGCCACCTGGCGTAGGTGTTTGATTTGACATACCGGGATGAGTTTCAAGAGGTGTTTGACAGAAAATACATGAAAAATGATGATTGACATTGATTGAACGATCGAATAGATGTCGACGATGTGGTGCTGTGCCGGAAATATGACTTCGATAAATATCAAATTCCGCACGTTCATTCCACATTTGTAGTTCATCAAGAAGAACTCGAAATCTAAATTTATTTTTATAAAACAAAAGATGATGATTTTGATCTTGAAGGAAATCTTTACCCTTCAATCCATTCTTGAACATATCGACATTCTTGATGAACATCTTCAGGTACATAAATAGCAAGTAATGCTGCTGTACGAATATCACTGGTTTGATCAAGATAATTTTGAATTAATTCACATCCACTTTGTTTCAAACCTTTTCATTTCTTTCAATTTTTAAAAAGAATTCATCTTGAAAAACAAAACTAACCTGTCAATAGAATTCCTTGTAAATCTCCTTTTTCTCGACTTTCATCCGCTAATTTTTCTAATTTTTTCTCTAGAAGATGATCATTCAAATATTTCGCTGCAAACGCCACTTTATCATTAAGATCCAATTGTTCATCCTTAAGAAAAGAGAAATAATGGAAAAATCTACAAATGAAATATTTACCAGAACACATTCATAAGAAAGATCATTTCCATCTGGTGTTAAAATAAATGCAAACATTGCTCGAACATATGGACGATGGAATGATTTTGTCACTGATGAAAAATCGTGAATCAAACTTTCATCATTATGATTTGTTGATGTCGCACGAATCGAACCAAATAAAGCAAGACTTAATGTAGCTAATTCTTCTTTTCCACCTGAAATCACATGTTTTCTATGAATTTGTTGAAGAAAATCAAACGAAAGTTTCACCTCTTTGAAGTCCTTCATTGAGAACTTCCATTGCACGAGTGACATTCATTTGAAAAATATAAATAGCAGCGGCTTTTTCATATTCGTCTTGTTCCAATAATGATGCCATACGATCATATCCACCGGATTTCGAATCAATATTTGACCAACCACATAATTGACCAACAATTTGTCTAATCGATCAGAATAATTTATTGATCTGATAGAGAGAAAAAAAAGAAAAGAACGAAATTTACCTCTCTGGTGAATCAAAAATCGTTTTGGTATGTGTGGAATTTGTCATCGAAGACCAAGATTGTTGTTTCACTATACTTTTCGATGAAGGTTGAACTTCCTTTAATGCTTCAATTACTCCAACGAATGGATAAGGATCTCTCGCAGTACTCGTGTCTTAATAAAACAATATTCTTTTCAAATTCACAATGAAATTTCTTTTACTTTTAATCCATCTTTGGATTTGTTCGATAGTCGATTGAGTTTCTTTTGACATCGTTCGTAAATCCATTTGAATTATCTAAAAAAGAAGAAGAATTTCTCAAAGAAGAAGAAGAAGAATTTTAATCCGATCAATACTTCGGTATTCCACGCTGATTGTGTTGGTGTTACACTTCGTCTTTCATTTTGCACATTCGAGAGATCGTATGTGAATAAAACTTTCGATGTTAATTGATTTTGATCTTGAGAAATAATTGATGGATACATTTCATGACCATTTGTCCATAAAAGTCCATTTCGTGATGAATAATTCTAAAGAGTTTTGTAAAAAACTTCGTCTTTTCAGATCAAAATCAATTTACAATTGTCGATCGAGATGGAATGACATAATCGAAATATTCTTTTCCACCAAGAAGAACAAGACGATGTTCATCGAAATAATTCCAATCGAACGAAGCTAAACCAATTCGATAACGTTGAATTGGACCTGAAAAACAATTTCATCCAAACAAAACAAAAGAAATTCTCCAATTTTACATTGAAGAAGTCGATGGACGAAAACATCGTTGTCTTGAACAATATTTGTAGCCATTGATAATAGATGAAATTTTGGAGAATCTTTTATACAATAACCAAGTTGTGGTGATCTGAATTTTGTTTATGTTAAAGAAAATCATCGAAGAATCGTCTTACCCAATTCTATTCCAAGATAATTTCACAATTGGTTCATGTTCTTCACGAACAATCAACGCTTTATCAGCCGAACGAGTATCATAAACATAAACAGTTTTCTACAAATTCACAAAATCAATTTGATTTTTATCAAATAAAACTCATCTTACATCGCTACTCGATGCCAAATATCGTTCACTTGTATCGCAACATAAATTAAATGGTCCTTTGGTCGAAAATGATAAAACACTTCCCGATGGTGCTAAAATTACAAAACGAACTTTTGATCTCAAACATCAAATTCACTTTTCATATTTTCTCTATGAATACAATTTCGAATTAGATTAAACTAATTGAAATCAATTTTCACCATCTTCTTCATTACATTGAGTCTCATAAAGGATAAATTACCTCTTGGATCATAAATTTTGATTGTTCTTGTATTATGTTGAGTTGTACACGCAGCAAATAGTTTTTCATTTGGTTTAAACCACGTTAATGAATGACATTGTTCATGTGTTCCTTGTTCAAAAATAGCTTTACAACTCTGTTGGTTATGTAAATACATATCATATCGTTTATATTCTTCAATATTTGTCGCTGATGACGATGTTGGAAGTCCAGTTCCATTTGGTATTGTTGGTGAAGACATTCCATTATGATTTATATCCCAAATAGTCAAACAATTCTCCG